TCTTCGTCGCAAGAGCTCAGACATAATACTGAAATGATTATGCCTCAATATTTACATTAATTCACGCTAAAAGAAAAAGTCCCATATGAATTGATGATAAACTTTAAACAAACGATTATCAATTTTTGAGCATGCTCTTTCAATTGGTGTCAGCCTCAAGAGTTCAGAATTTATAAAATTAGTCTTAAATGTTTTTATGAAATCTCTTTTAAAAAAGAAGTAATGTATCGCAGCTAATGAAAAACACTAGAAGCAATTTGATGGTAACCTCAAGCTCATCATCATCATCGATTTCGTCTTCGTCGCAAGAGCTCAGACATTATACTGAAATGATCATGCCCCAATATTTTCATTAATTCACGCTAAAAAAAAGTCCCATATGAATTGAGGATAACCTTTAAACAAACGATTATGAATTTTTGAGCATGCTCTTTCAATTGGTGTCAGCCTCAAGAGTTCAGAATTTAGAAAATTAGTCATAAATGTTTTTATGAAATCTCTTTAAAAAAAGAAGTAAAGTATCGCAGCTAATGAAAAACACAAGAAGCAATTTGATGGTAACCTAGCTCAAGATCTCAAACTTCTTTAACCCTCTAACTCCAACCAGTGACCAAGACAGAATTTCTCCTTACAAAATCAATACAATATCAACCAGATAAGTGATGAGAATAAAGAAATATATCAATTTGGGGATAATAAGTTTATCCAATACTAAATTCTCAGAACTAACATCGTAAGAATTGTATGGTTGACAGTAAGGAGAATTACAAATTTGATCTAGGAGTTAAAGACTTAACGATTAGGCTCGAATATTTTTAATGAATCATGTTAGAACGAAATTACGTATATATCATTCGTTGACAAACCTAAGATGCAATGAGAGAACCAAACATCAATTCATGGAATATGCTTTTCCAATTCGTTTTAGCCGTAAGAACTCGTATGATTAGTCTCGAAGATTTCTGTAGGAATGACCCCCCCAAAAAAAAGATTTATGTCAGTTGATTGTAAACTCGAGAAGCAATTTGATAAACAAAAATTAATTTATAATTTGGATATGGCCTCTGGAGTTTAGTGTTAGTACTAAGGCTCGAAGATCAACATCGAATGATTTAAAAAAAAATTCAATATAATTTGTTGACAAACGCAGGAGGAAGTTTGACATGAAACTATCTACTTTCGGTGTAGAAACTTTTAATTTGGTTTAAGACACAACTTCATAATACGTAAGCTCCAAGAGTTTAGCCGTTTGATCTGAAAAAAGGTTCATTTGTGTAAGAAACTGTAAGACAATTAACCTTATCAGAGATCTCACAAAGCATCCTGAAAAAAAATTATTAATAACAACTGTAGGAGCATGCTGATATTTTTTTTGCCTCAAGGGATGAGACATTCAAAAATTGAGCTTCAAGGTCTTTATCGTAGGAAGTGATAAGTGCATGTGAAAAAGTTATCAGAATCTCAATTTATCGGAGATCTAAAGAGAAAAATTCTATAACTTAGATTTAAAAAACATTTATATATTTAATTGTGTTTAGCCTCAAGGGACATAACAATCAGGCTGCAGGTTGACCAAACTTTGACATCAAAGGAACGCCTTCTTTAAGATCTTATGACATCTTGGCAAATTATGCAACAGCAGCAGAATACCTTAATTGCAGGAAAATGCCCGGCCAAGTATCTGTTATGAGTGCCGATCATGAATAAGCTTGGTGACTCCTTCTCCTCTTTTTTTCCTATTTATTATTAAGTAAAATCAGTGACTTCCCGGCACGTCACAACAACCAAAATATTTGCACTTGTTCAAATTCAAGATAAATTTTCCTAGAATCCAGTGGGAATAGAAAAAATTAAAGCCTCACACCCTTAGTTTGCGTATTATCTGCTGAGTAATACAGTCCAGTTTGTTTTGATGTCCGCGGTAACGCGCAGGCTGATAATTCAATTCAGCAAACACAGTTAGTTTTGTCTTTAAAGGCTTGCACGTGCCCACCCGAATGGCAACTAATTTTGTTTTGTTGACAGTAACCTTAAACAATCTAGGAAAATTTAGATGATCGATGTCATTCTTATAATTATTCCCTAATCTTACAACTTGAAGATAATTTGATGGAGTAAACCGTTGCTTTGGTAACTTGGTGGGTTAGTTGGATAGCCAAACCATGCACAATGATAATAAGGCACATGTATTTCCTTGACGTTGGTGAAACAGATAAATAGTATTCATGGTATAGATTTCATTCTTCGAAGGAACACTGCTGAAACAACTGAAAGTCACCTCAATCAGAAAGAGATCCAAGAAATCAGACAGTGAAGAACTTGATTCATTTCTTACTCTGCAGTTGTTCTTCATCGTTTTCTGAGTTAGTTTTGAATTGCAAACATTCGCTAAATCCAGGTTAAATCGTACAGCGCAGACGAATAGGCCAAGATAACTAGTTCTTTTTTCTTTATATACTAAAAGCCAGTTATCTAACCTTGCTAAAAGTTGTCATGTTACTCCATCCTTCCTTGATTTTCTTGATTTCGCGATGTTATATTTTCCTCTTGATACTGCTCTATGGATAAAAAAAGCGAAAAATTTATCATTAATACGCACATACCTGAGTACTTGTCATTTTAGATAATAAATGTAAACGTCTGGATCGAAAAAGTTATCGGGTTAGAGTCACCACGTTTTCTGCTGACAAATTCAGTGTGCCTATTCTTAATGAACAAAGGCAGTAGGGAATTTTATCACAACAAATCTCTAAGCGTTCGAAAAGAAAATCTGTAATTGACAATAACTTCGCTAACTTTGGCTTTGGCCTTTCACCTGAGACCTAAATGGAAAAGCCAACTGTTGCCATGGTATTTAATATCCATGTTTGCCACCACGAGAAATAAAGTTTCATTTCAAAGTGAACTTTGTTTTTTGATCACTACATTAATAACGTTTGAAATACTCTTTTCGTCAAAACGTTGTAATGATAAAATCTAGTTGAGAAATTATGTACAGGAATGAATATAGAAAAAAGTAAATGAGCGATAAGTTCACTAACAATAAAGTACGAATTTCTCACGCTGCCACTAAGTCACGTTCAAGAAGAACTGTCATGGCGGCTGCCTCAGAGGATTTGTCTTAAACTGTGCTATGTGTATTACGCTTTTCCTTCCCACAGCTTAACTCTGTAGATAAATTTTACAAGGGCCAAAACGAGAAATATGAGCACTGTATTTCGATAGGTTATTTACCTGAAGAAACGTCGTTTGAAAGTGAAAAGCGTGAATCCTCGACATGGTATCTCAACCACTTAATCCAGTGTAAGAAACACTCACCGACTTGGATAGAAAAGATAATAGCCAAGGTAATAGGGTCGAGATTAAAAGTTTGTTGACTCCGAAGAAGCGAGAAAAGACGCTTAGATTTCTTGGAACTCATAAGCTCTTTCCACGTGCACGACTGAGCGCAAATACGAATATTGATTTTGAAAATTATTTGTAATTCAAATGAGTTTCCGACTTCAAAAGTCAGTTTTGAAATAATCAACACCTAGTTCTTCGGTCGGATCCGTTCAATTACAAACGAAGTGTAGATTTCCTAGCTTTTAACAGATTTTCAACGTTTAAAAAATTTCAAAAGAGAACTGCAAATAGTTTTACAGTTTCAAAAAGTATCAACTCGAATAACTCGAACTTAACCAACTTGAGCTAGAATCAAATTAATGAAAGGGGAAAGTTTTTATAGAACCTGTGGTGCTGCGTCGGTGGGAGAGTATAACAGGGTAATTTAGTATTATCAACTGAGTTGATAACGTAAATTGGCCTGTTGAACTAAAGACAATTTTAGTTATTACAGAAATGTATAACTTAAGGGACCGGTCATTATTTTTAACCAATGAGGGGGAGGGGGGGGGAGGGGAGGGGGAGGGTGGTTTATAGGACGTTGGTTTTGTCACGAAGAAATTACCCGATGACCCTAAGCTCTGTAATGTTCCTATGATTCCTCCCTCGTTGGCAGTTAATTTTACATAGCCCCCCCCCTCTGTACTATGTTGGCGACGACTGATCCCCCTTCGCTCCCCCTGAAAACCGTATGATCCCACCAATATCCCCCAATATCTCCTGCACCCCCCCCACCCTCCGGGCGACAGGTAGTGACTGGTTCTTAAGTTTCAGTATTTCCCCATCTCAGGGGCCATCATATCAAACAAGCACCCGTCTGTTGAGTAAGCACCCCCTCCTCCTTTACTTTCTGAAATATTAGGATACAAGGAAAACCTGTTACTATTACCACAGCGGGTTCAGTAAAAGTTAATTAATAATTAATGATAATAAATAATTAGTTTCTTTATAAGCACTCACCTTGATTAAACGCCATCGTCTCCTATTAGCCGAAATTTTGAACGAGCGCCCGAGTGCTTACTCAAGGAAATTCAGTTTCTGCCTCTGTGATTGACTATCGGTTAACTATAACTACACGATACATGGGTAAGTTTTCCTTTTCCCAAGGGCATCTCAAGTTAATGAGGTATCGCTTTTCTTAAATCTGCTTATCCATCGTTCGAACAATTGTTATCGTCGCTTTTGAAACTTTGAATCTCTTTCATTCTCACGCATATTCTCCTCTTCGTTTGCGAAGTCTACTTTGATCAAGGATAGAGGAAAACGAAGGAAAGAGCACCATGTCGTTCGGCCTGACAGACGCTATTTTGGTTGAGTCGATCTCTCCATGTACTCAGTTAAACATTTCTGCCTTTGGCCTCCTCCCCCAGATATTTAACAGAAGACAATAGCACGACCCTGTGGACAGAACCCAACCTTGTAGGGGAGGCCGGATATAACGCATTTAATCAGAGTTTAATGCATAAATTAATCAGAATGTAGTAAACGAGAGGGTGAATTTTAGTTCTATTCCTACACCTCATAGGGTGGCTGACGCCATATCATAAGTAAAAAAGTAACAAAAAAAGTCAAAATAAACTAGATATATAGTCACACACTGACAAGGCATTCAGCATTCCTCTTTATTTTTAAGTTCACGTCTTTGAAAGTGAAGGCAAACAAAATCTCGTGCACCTGTCATGTGTTACCTGTCGTTAAATATATAAAACATTGCAGCAATAGGGGTTTCTCTAAAATGAAGCTAACATAAATTCGGCTCAACAACAAGAAAAGGTTCAGTGAATTTCCTAACCAACCACAACTCATCAGGAAGACTTTTAAATTAACAAGTTCTTTACCAAAGAGTTTGCTATGAGAACGTGTCCATAAGGTTACAATAGCGTGGGTAAGTCTTGTGCTTTACCTACTCAAAGGGGATTTCAAATTCCCAAAAAAGCTCATAATTTCGCTGCCTTTGTTTTATTTTCAACCAAGCTTATATGGAGATAGGAGATTTTATTCAAATTAGTCACTCCTCAAATAACTTTGGAGACACTTTTATTTCTGCGGGGAGACCTTTCATGTCAGAGCTATCAAGCAGAGGTTTAACAGTAAAAAAAATTATGTAAACAATCTATAAAAAGCTTCTAATTCACAAAATATATCTAAATGGGCAGTATTGTCAAGTGTGGTTAGGTAAATGTCTTTCACAGTTTACGAAAAATATTGTTGTTCAATTCCGCTTTAATTCGACCACTCCCAGAAATAAGAGTTTTCAACTTAGAAAGACAGAAACCCCTTATCTCAGCGTGATCATTAATTGCTGTTAGCAGCCTCTTTAACGTTATAATTTATAAAAATAATATAATTATTCTCTCTTGTTTTCTGTCATACATCCGCTGACGATCCTCTCTTTACTGTGATCATTTTGCGACGGACAACTGCAATCACCACAAGGCACAACACAGCAAACATTCCAAGAACAACAGATACACCAATCAAGGGGTGCTGCCACGGAGAATCTGAAGATGGAAGATAAAATTAATATCATTCTCAATTTTTGAAAGGAATTAAGGATGAAATGAACTTTGCTTTTCTGCTTCTTGTGAAGCATTAGCCTTTAGACCAATTATATGCCAAACTGAAACAGTCGCACCAGTCTCCCTCGCTCCAGGCCGGGTACGTGCATTGCAATTCTCATTGGCTCTCTCTGATATTTTCTTTGCTCTGATTGCCCTTTGATCTTGATTTTTCGCGAAAAATGTTTCAATATTCAAACAAGCAAAAAAGAAAACAATAACATCTAGCGAATGAAAAAAAAAAAAAAAAAAAAACAAATATATTAAACTTCAAAATCAAAAACAAAAGTACTTATAAATTCTTTGAACAAAACAATTTAAAAGGTTTTTTTGGTCTTGTTTTAAAGAGCAGAAAAAGATACAAAAAAAGTTATAGTATCTAGCTTTCTTGATTTGAATTATTCCCTCCATTAATTCATTAATGAAGAGAGTTTGCTTTTCAATTTACCACGTAAATTATTACTGTTGATAATATAACCCAAAATTCTGTACCTTTAACCCGCTCAGTGTTCGTTAACCAAATTGGGCCATGGCTGAGTAACGTGATATGCACAGGTGCACTATATGGGAGGGCTCTGCGATGGCGGTTTCTGGGAAGTACGTCACAGTTTTTGGAACACTCTGAGTTTGGATCTGATGAATTGCAAACCACGGCCTGGAAAATAAAGAGAACAAGATTGGTTCCACTGTGATTCATACACAGCTCGATTCCAAAACACGTTAAGTTCACGGGAAGTTAATCATAACATACTTGCCGCAGCCATAGGTTTTGAAATTCCCTTACTTTTCCCTGAAATATGTAAAATTTCCTAGACAAACGGAATTAACAATTTGACGAATGTGTCCTTACGGCCTCCAACCTCCCCTCACAGCCATCCTATCCACCCATTTATAAATGCACGTCACCTACAGGAACAACTTTTAACTTTTAAAGTTTTTGTGGACGAGTAACGAAAAGCTCAAAACTTGGAATGTCTCTGATGTCTCATGGGAATCTTTTTTTTTATCTTCACTTCTACGGAAAAGGTGTTCAGGATAATGTTTTAGGGCAAATGCGCCTGAAATGTGTCTTTTACCTTGCAGTGGATGTACACAAACGGATCCGGTGAGTTGACAAACTGGAATGTTTGAACACTAAACCGGTGAAGGCCTTTGTTGTCATCATTATGGTGATATTGCACCGTGGGATCCTGGGGACAACTGTAAAGAGATCAACGGGACACTATGATGAATCCGGGGATTTACTTTCTTCCACTGAGTGTCTACGGTGAGCTACGCGTCCAGTATACTGCTAAGTTAGCGAATTCGAAAGCCTCCGAAAGATTGTGAATTTTACGCTCGAAAATCAAACCCATAATGATGTCTTTAGTCTTTTGAAAAGCGCGGGACAAATAAAAAGTTATGTCGGGAAATCCTTACCCATTCAGAATAAGATTGTACTGTATGGTGCTGTTCGGGTTTGGATCAGGAGTTGCGTGACATCGCTGAGCCTGCACAGCCAAGCGACGATCTTCAGAGTCGACACTAAGTTGAAGGAATACTCTCTCATTGACTTTAACTCCAATAGGGAAGCTCTGGTCACCATAGGGACGAGTATAGCCCTGATCTTTGAAGACTCCCAAGTTTATGTCGAACATTCCGACATCAGAGGCGTTGCCTCGGATAATTTTTCTGCTGGTTTCCAGCTGAATGGCGCTGGCTTGGACTTCCTTTAGGTAACAGCATCTGAAGTTTATAATTGCACAACAATATGTGTCGTAAACTGATATACTTATTTACTTTACCAAAGGCACACGACACCAAATAATATCGGCATCTAGAGAGGCCTGCAAACAGAGGTTTGCATGAGGTCGAACACTAATTTATAGTGCCACGTCCCCTGCACATCCCTCCTCGACACGTCTCAAATCCTCCCGTGAGGCGAAGAAACGCGCGTCTTGCAGACGCAATAATAACGTGGGTCTGCGATCAGCCAAACACCCTGAGAATATTAACAGCAATTATTAACGATGAGGAGATGATTGGAAACAGTATGAGGTTGATGATGCCCATGCCCACAACAAAAACTTCCATTTTTTTCCGAGGGGAAAAATAAAAGACTTGATTTTCTGTTTCAAGTATCCGGCAATTCTAACTCATTAAATGATGGATGTAAATGAGTTTGAAAGTTTTGAATTCCAAGGTCGATAGATATTCTCTGGGTTTGGCGACGAGTTTTTATAAAAAAAGGAACTCGTTTCGAAAAAGAGGCCAAACGTAATAAGGAAATGGGCTATTCAGATCTATACAACATTTAGGCAAAAAGAAAAGAAAAAAAAACCTGTGAAAGCAATAAAACGACTACACTACCTGAATGGAATATCTACGTCTGCTAGCCTCGTAATGATGCCCTGTGGCGGCTTCTCTTGGATAGTGTTTTCATAAATGAAGAAGTTATCTGTATCTATCAGCTTCGTTCCACAGGAAGTAAAGTTTGTTTGAAACAGGAAATGCGTACCATTATCGGTTGGGAGGCATTTCGGGTTGTTTAGGCGAACGTCAGTTCTGCGCATACCCATAAGGAACGACTTATCCAGAATCACCTGTATGAGTGTCTTTCCACAGGAAATTGCTAAATGCTCGTTTATGACTTGAAGTGAAAAAACAAACACACAAACGAACAAGCAAAAAGAATAAAAATCAGAAATTCAGTAATTGACTGCGGGCGGGAATGGTTGAATGGTTTCGGAAAACATTAACACACATAAAGCTTATCCGCCGAAATCAAATTTTCGTTAGGTCTGTTTTTTCCACCTGTGTTTGAGAGGAGGGGATAGCTTTAGATAAGGGTTTATTATGGGAAATGTTTAATTACCTGTATTCTGAATTGTTTTGTTAAATTTAGGAACACCAATGACTCAGTATGCAAACTAATTAGAGCTGGTAAAAATATGCCTGGACCGCTTGAAGTAGGCTTAAACTATTTTGCAAAACGAAACAAAACGAAACGAAACCAGGCGACATTATAACAAAACTAAAGGAATAATGAAGATGTATTTTGTAATAAGGTAAAAATAATTTTCACAAGGATTTTGGAGTAATCTTTAGTTGACACGGAGGATTTTTATTCATCTCGCAGAGTGGTAATTAAAGAAGAGTTCCATTTTGCGAAATCAACTAATAGTCCATTTCGCAAAATATAACTCTCCTAAATTACTATTTTGCGAGATATATTTAAAACGGTTTAAGAAATAACAGTCGGCCAAACTCTTTATTGATATACTAGTTTGTAATGTTTAAATTTTTTTTAGTGACATGAAAGAGGTCACGTTGTCATCGCAGGGTGAAAATAGTCAATATAGCGAAATAGTAACTCTTCTGAAATTACTACTTTGCGAAATGAATAAAAATCCTTCTTATCAATTGACAATTACTCCAAAATCCATTTGAAAGTTTTCTTTCTATTTTTTTCAAGGGAAACGTGACTCATGCAGGGAAGAAGGTGTCACTTTTTAGGTTTCTAATAACGGTCGATCGATTTATTTCATTCAACTTTTGCCTTGAATGTTCTTGACCATCTTAAAAACCATACGCAAATTACCAAAAACATATTTCGTCAAAACAACTTAAAAATGAAGCAACAAACCTGTGAAGCCTCCAGTTGCACCAATGCTTTCTTCTCTTTCTAAATCCGAAAATTTCACAACATTTCAATCGAAGTTTAAAAATGTCAACCTAATATTTAACTCCCAAGATCTCATTATTAATTCTCCTTACTGTCTGCCATACAGTTCTTCTGATGTAAGTTTGGAGAATTTTGTATTGGATCAGCTTATCATCCCCTAACTGATATTTTTCTTCGTTCTCATCACTTTTCTGCTTGATATTGTATTGATATTGTGAGGAGAAATTCTCTCTCTGTCACTCATGGGAGTTAAAGGGTTAAGAACGGGAATGGTTACCTGAAGATGGTATGTTTGACTATCTCATACGTGCAAGCGAGTCTGATTCATCGATAAGTTAAGATCATGAATCAGGAGGCCGAAACTACATCATTACATGAGTCATTCTCTACTGACATCTAATAGCGTTAACCCTTTGACCCAAAGAGTGACCAGCATCTAATTTCTCCTTAAAATTTCACCCCAAATCACACATCAAGGTCACGAGAATAGAGGAAATGATCACCAACGAAAAAGGCTCCTGAGTGTTAAACAAATTGTCCTTGTCAGCACCATGGGAAATTTTCAGAGAACAGTGTGTAGAATTTGCATGGTGATGTTCGGATGTTAAAGGCTAAAGGTTCAACCCTACTCTTAGGGCTAATGCTATCGTTCTTTCACCTGTGTTGCACTGAATCTCTGGAACACGCATCACTAAAGGTATTTTTGAGGTAGGTTGAAATCTGCTCTTTTTGGCGCATTTCGCCGAATTAAATTTAATAAAAAGTAACGTAGAAAAAACCATGACGTTTCGACGATGACATGTCACCATTGGCAAATGCAAATGAGAAAAGAGTCCATTCCAGCACAACTTTTTACTTAGTTGTTCCATTGTTTTGTTCTCCACATTTTAACGCTATTTTTCTAAATGAATCATCGCTAATCTTTTCTTATTTGCATTGATAATGGCGACATGTCGTCGCCGAAACGTCGTGGTTTTATAGAGTTACTTTTCATCCTTAAATGTTTTACAAAATCTCTCGTTATCACAGCATAGATTCGTCATTTTATCATTATAATTAAAACAGTCATTATCTTTATGAATGTTATCATCCTTAACTTTTTGATCATTCTCATTATCATTACTATTTTCATCATTATCATAACTCTACAAGCGTCATTATTTACCTCTACAATCAAAGCCGTCCCCAATGTATCCATCCATACAAGAGCACTCGTACAAACCAATGTTATTGGTACAAAAAGCATTAGCGTTACAAATATCAATTCCCAATTCGCATTCGTCAACGTCTGAAAAGCACAAAAAATACGTCTTTTAGATCTGTCTGAAACTGTGGCTTTTTATGGTGTCATGAAACGAGAACTAGTTTTTTCTCGTTATGAGGCGTTCTTGACGTATTTATATTCTGGAAACATGGAAGATGAATGATTGAGTGATTGAATTATTGCTACAATTATTTTTATTTCTAAATAAGATAATCATAGTTGTAGAGGAGATGATTTAGAGGAGCTATATGTCTCACTGTTCTGAGACTTTTTTGGTATGTTGAAATTTTCCACTTCTCCTTAAATTACGATGTTCATAATTAAAGAAACAATCTGTTCCCACCTTCACAATTCTGACCGTTGCCTGTGTACCCCATTTTGCACACGCACGAGAAGACATCATCTTTACTAAGACAAACTGACTTAGAATGGCATTTGGTACAATCATCAGAACCTTCGAAAAGGAATACAGGTATATATTTGAATCTATATCGGTTCCATGAAGTTTGTTCAATTGCTAAGAAGAGTTCTGAGACAAATCTAGTGATTTATTTAACAACGTTTATTATTTAGCGGAGTATCTGGATATACCTATTTGGAGGGCGATATTATCGTATGAAAAACATACTTCATGTAACTTTTTAGAATGCTTCCTGTATATAAGCGCACGACCGCAAAAGACGCAAGAAAACTTAGAATCAACGAAAATAAACCCTGTAGCATCAGCCAAGAAACGACACGTGTTTGTTGATTGGTTTACTGGAATCCGGATCGAGAGGAATGGATTCGAGCCTTAGAGGGGTCATTTTATTACGGTCTTGGGCAAGACAAGTTACTTCTCAAAGTAACTGGAAATCAAACTGGTCTCTTTCAAGAGAGCGGCAATACCTATGATAGCTTCATGTTTAATAAGATTATAAACAAACAAATTAGGATGAGCTACGACAGGTTCAACGACTTGGGTCAAAAGGCTAATTTTAATCAACCCAATCTGCCCTAGAGGGATAGAAATGAAATTAAAAAAATAATACTAACAACAGTACAGAGGACAAAAAAAATCTACGAAATAACCAATCTTACCTTTCACGCCTTTGTTAATGATCTTTTGAGCGATAGCATTCCCATCGTCATCATCGTCTATTTGGATGACGATTCCTTTGCTAGGAGCAAGTCTAGACAATTCATCTAAGTCTGCAAGAGAACCAACAGCCACGGGCAAAAGAGTAATACCGCTGTCTTCAAACTCTTTAGCTGAGACCGACAACACTTGAGGAGAGTTCACTGACTTTTGATCAATCAAAACTACCAGGATCTTCTTGGCATCCGGTCGCGGTGGAGCATTTTCAAACATTTTCTTAGCTTGATCGAGAGCATTCTTCAGGTCTGGTGTCCCTTCAGGTCTCACTACCGCGTTTATGGCGTCTTTAAAACCTTGCGTGTTCCTAAAGTTATCCGTGAAATCGATCTTGGTACTGGCTTCCTGTCCACATGTGATTAAGGAGTATCGCGTCTTCTTTGTTCCATATTCGTCTACAATAACTTCAACAGTGTCTTTCATGATCTTCAATGTTGGATCAGATAATGAGGCAAAAATCACGCCAAGATCAATTTTTGGAGTAACAGCTAAAAAAGAGAAAGAAAGGTTAAAAATTTGGAAAAATCTATTACGCCCTTTGGAAAACGTCTGGCGTGAAAGTACCTTGGCAAGTTACTCCGTCTCCAGTGAATCCTGGTTTGCACGCACAACTGTAAGAGCCCTTAGTATTCATACAGTTGGCGTTCTTGTCACAAGCTGTGGGCTCTCTTGAACACTCGTCGACATCTAACATGAAAGAGAAAGGGTCACTTCAAGACTGAGTGACATCGCTACGCAAGCTATAAACAAGAACAGTACTGAACAGAACTTATATAAACAAATATTTATGTTTAAACAAACCAATGGAGGGGTAGATATACAAAGTAATGGAGACTTTGAAGGGAGTTGCAGTCCTTCATGATGATTTTAGGGTACAAAAAGCCAATTTTTTCGCAACAATCTTATCGCCGAACGTCACACTACCAATGACAGGCACGACACTTTCACATAATTTAAAAATGGTGAGGAAGAGCGAGTTCCCAATGTGAGTTTCCTTTTCTCATTTGTGTACAGTTCAATAATTTCTTTAAGAAAACTACCTTGGCACGTTGTTCCATCCCCAGTAAACCCTGCCTTACACGCACAGCTGTAGGAACCAGCGGTATTTGAACATTCAGCATTTTCGTCACACGGGTTACGTTCCGTAGAGCATTCGTCAATGTCTGAAAAAAAAAGTGATGAACACACGGAAGTTCTTCCCCATCAAACGCCTATGTCCTTCTGATAAAAAGGGTTGAGGACATTTTTGGGTTTAAGTAATAGCTCCGTACAGAGAATGTAACAGCGCAAAATATTGATAACCTCGTTGCTGAGAAAGAAAAAGATTTCCTTTGTTATTGAATCGTGGACGTTTACTTATTGATCTATTAAATTTATAATATGTAGCGGAAATGTGGTTGGATGAGGTGAAATGTGATGGGAAAATGCCCCATTAATGCATGGTAACAAAATCAAAGAGAGAACGTTATATCACCTAAACGCTTTAACTTGGTGCAGAAAATGAAAAATATAATTTGTTGTACGGAATAGGTCTTTGCTAGTTATTGAAAGTGCTCCGGTAAATCTTTCTTCATGTTGAACGAAATATGAACAGTGTTGGTGGCAGAATCCATGAGTTGAGTAGAAAACCTTTTTCTGATCTAAAGGTTGACTGTGCGGTAGAAGCGATGAAAGGAATGCTCTTCACTCTCCCACACCTTAACAAGAGTCGGCGAGTCCCTTTTTAAAAGTAAAGCTTTAAGAAAGCTTACTGCTGGTGCAATCAGCATTTTCGTTACCCAGTCTGGACTCCCCTGAACACTCATCAGCTTTTAGTTTAAATAAATAATAAAGTAGGAGTGGTAAAGAGGTGGCGAAACGTCAGCTTACATACCGCACAAAAAGAAATCTTAAACATATCCTCTGAAAACGAACTCCAAGAAAACGTATCGTTTGCATGGTGTCCTTTATTTTGTGTAGGTACCTTCACAAGTTTCCCCGTCGCCATCAAAACCTTGTTTACAAGTACAGCTGTAAGAACCGTCATTATTGATGCAGTTTGCATTGTCGTCACAGGGACTGGAATCCGCAGAACATTCATCGATATCTGATTTTCCAAGAAAGATCCAGAGATTATCAATATTAGGAGACATTAACTGAGTTATTCTGAACGAAATAAAGAATGAGTAAAGAAACACGGAAAGAAGGTGGTTAAATGGACTAACTGACGGAACGGTCAATTGAAGTTAGCTGCGGCTGCAATCAGTATTGCTGCCACAAGGACTGGAGTCTACTGAACTCTCGTCGACTTCTGATTTGAAGGATTATTTAGTTATACCGTCATTAGTTAACGACCACACTACAACAGAACTTTTTTATGTGGACCATAGCGATGTGAATGTTTTTCGATGAAATTGTAGTGTCAGCACTAACGGAGATCATTTCGAGTATGCACGACCACACTTGAAATAAGAATAAAATTAAGAAAGATGGAAGATTGAGGGAAAAGAACCAATAAACGAAAGAACGAAAGATTAAAGCAAGGTGAAACAGAAGAATGGACGTTGCAACGGACTTATGATTAGCGAACGAACCCTGGCATGTCGATCCATCTCCTGTAAATCCTGTTTCACATTCACAACTGTATGAACCATCGACGTTCGAACATCTAGCGTTTTTGTCACATGGACTGGGAACGGCCGAGCATTCATCGATATCTGGAGATGAATCAATCGATCAGCTGTGTTCTTTAAGGACGATATTGATTGGGTATGAGTAAAAAAAAGATGATGTGATTGGCTGTTGTCGCTGATTTGGAATGCAGTTACATGGAGGGGAAGGAGATTTCCACCACTAAAATACGAAATTGTGAGAGAAATCGCAAATCTTGAATGCTGCGTACACATGTGCAAAACGTGGTTTTGTTTGGCCATGTTTCATTGTAATGAAGGCTCGTTTGAGAACTTTCAAAGTAGGGATATTAATAACGGGTTCAAAGACGGGGTATGTATATACAGTGACGAAAGTGGAATGTGACGATGACGAAGTGGATAGTTTTGCAGTCGCACACCTTGACAACGTCCATTACTTCCAGTAAATCCCTGTCTACAAGAACAGTTGTAAGAACCGTCGCTATTGAAACAAGAAGCGTAATCGCCGCAAACACTTGGCTCTAAGGTGCACTCGTCGAAGTCTAATAAAATCAAGACGAAAATTGTTTATCTCAATGTCAAGCTGGGTAAACGCATTTAGAGGACTCGCAGATTCTTAAAAAGGAGATACCTTTACAGCTTCTTCCATCTCCATCAAATCCTTTCTTACAGGTGCAGCTGTAAGAACCATCACTATTAATGCAGTCAGCGTTCTTGTCGCACGGACTGGAGTCCTCAGAGCACTCGTTAATATCTGATTCGTGTGAACAATAAAATACGTTTAAGGTGTACCCAACAAGGCGAGCGTACACGTATGCCGTTTACGTACTCAATGCGATGGAAGCAACATGAGATGGTAGAACGAAAGACGGCTCGTGGTGTAGGTTACAAATCCATTCGAGGGGTGGTGCTTTGATAATGTAAAAAATATGATGAAAGATCATCATATGACCTTCCCAGACTTGCAATGTGAAATATAAACTATGACAACATAGCACTCGAGATCTCGAACAATAGTGTGGGAAGGACTCAAGAATACGATGAGCAATCCAATGAGATGAGACACCAAGATGTATGTCGTGAAAAATATCAATTTGCAGAGACCGCACTTACATTGATGAGGAAACTGAATCAAAAGGAACTACCACAACCACAACAATAACGGAAATAGAAAAAGTTGCTCACCTCGGCAAACTAAACCATTTCCAGTGAATCCTTGTTTACAAGAACAGTTCAAAAAATGATAATTTTTCATGGCAGAAGCACGAAAACAAATTAACATATGTCATAGGATGGCTTAAAAAAGTTGCTACTCTTTCAGTAACTAAATATTAGGAACCTCCAATATTGGTGCACTGCGCGTTATCACCACACGGACCAGGTTCTGTTGAGCACTCATCGAAATCTAAGGAGGTCGAAGAGAAAATATTACCTCAAGTGTAACCTGTACTTACCTAACGATACAGATGTATCAAGATTTTATCTTGATAGGGATCATTCCTGAGAAATTACCTTTACAAGTTTTTCCGTTTCCATCAAACCCTTCTCTACAACTGCAGCTGTAAGAACCTTCACTGTTGGAACAATTAGCGTTAACATCACACGGGTTGGTCTCCGAGACGCATTCATCGATATCTAATGGTGTAAATTGGAAAACAATTTCATTATTCCTCTTGGTAAAACGTCTCACCGCATTAACTTTGCCAAAAAATGGATGTCATAACTATGAAGCGTTTGTATGAATTTCAACAAACTTATTCCTCATACATGTACCTTGGCAAATGGAACCATCTCCAGTGAATCCCTCTTTGCATGCACAGCTATAAGAACCGTTACTGTTGCTGCAATCCGCGTTTTTATCACAGATGCTGCTGTCGGCTGAACACTCGTCAATATCTAGTAGTATTTGAGACTTATGTCATTCAAATTGACTTCCACACCCTTTAAGGTTCCTAAACTTTACAGATAGTGCGGTTTTTTCAGGAAAAATAACTGTTGTTGTATTATCTTGTTTAGCCAGAGGCATAACCACTTCATATTCAGTAATGACTAGGCAATTCATTGACCAATTAGTTTGACATCAGACGAGATGGAGTGTGCTTTTTGAAGGAGAGCGTGGTAATTAGCCATCTTAAATCATACGGTTTTACAAAATGGTTTTTACAAACCATTTACTGTAAAATGTATCTACTTGGTGCCTACCTTCACAGGTAATGCCGTCTCCTGTAAATCCTTTTTTGCAAGTACAGTTGTATGAGCCATCAGTGTTGTTGCAACTGGCGTTATCACCACACGGACCAGGTTCTGTTAAACACTCATCGAAATCTGGTGAGATCGAATAGAAGAGATTACTTTAAGTGTAACAGGTACAAAATAAACGATTCAGATTTCTGAAAATGTTCTCTTGACATGGGTCCTAAAAAAATACCTTTACAATTTTTTCCGTCTCCATCAAACCCTTCTCTACAACGGCAGCTGTATGAACCTTCGCTGTTGGAACAATTAGCGTTCACATCGCACGGGTTGGTCTCTGGAGCGCATTCATCGATATCTAATGGTGAGAATTGGAAGGCGATTTCATTATTCGTTTCGGTAAAAGGTCTCTCTGTCGACAAATCGATGTCATAAATATGACGCGTTTGCATGAATTTGAATGAACAAGCTTTAGATCTCATACCTTGGCAAACGTAACCATCTCCAGTGAATCCCTGTTTGCATGCACAGCTATAAGAACCGTTACTGTTGCTGCAATCCGCGTTTTTATCACAGATGCTGCTATCGGCTGAACACTCGTCGATATCTAGTGGTATTTAAGACTCATGTCATTCAAAGTAGCTGTTAAACCCTTAACAGGAAGGTTCTTAAACTTTACAGAATGTTGCATTTTTTTAGAATACTAATTGCTGTTGTGTTATCTCGTTCAGCCAGAAGCATAACCTCTACATATTTAGAAATGACTGACCATTTCATCGGTCAATAGTTTGATATCAGACAAGATGGAATATGGCTTCTGAGGGAGAGGATCAGAAATCGTTACAAGTACTAGCCATCTTAAAATCTTGTTGTTTTATAAATATAATAACCTCCCGCCTACCTTCACAGGTTATGCCGTCTCCCGTGAATCCTTTTTTACATGAACAGATGTATGAGCCATCAGTATTATTGCAATTGGCATTATCACCGCATGAACCAGGCTCTGTAAGACACTCATCGAAATCTAAGGTGGTGGACAAGAAATATACTTTTAGCGACCTTTTTATCCTTAATTGAAAAGATTTTAAGACTTGAAATCGAACTTTCGCCTAGCCATTATTGAATTCTGATACCTCTACATGCGTGTATGTATGAGCCGTCAGTGTTGATGCAGTCTGCGTTTTTGTCACAAGCACTGGGATCCGTAGAACATTCATCGATATCGATCGATATTGATCGGAGAGTACCTCGGCGTCATTTAACAGATATAAAATAAGCAAAACTTTGGCCTTAGCTCGATTAGGATTACAAAGAGAAAACATTCTAATTAATTATCACGAGCGAAGGATAATCTTGCGGATCAAATTCCTCCCCCCCCTCCCCTTCTGAGAAATTAACTACACCTTTCTTTCTTCCATAACCAAGTTTACACTTGGTTATGGAAGAAATTATAGAACATGCAAAAAATGTTCGTTCCAAGAATGGGCACGATGAAACCTAACTTCAGATAGTTTTCTATCCTAAGCAAATCCTTGCTGACAATTAAAGTTGTAAGAGCTGTCATTGCTGCAGGCATGCAGTTTTCTTGTCACAGCGATTGGAATCCACAAAGCACTCATCGATATTCGAAATTTCACTCAAAAAGTGTCACTGGGTGCTTGTAGAAATTTATGCACTTTTGTTCACAAAGCGATCTTTTACAACGACGTCATTTTTATACTCTTGCTTTTGAGCAAAATTATCTCTAGCACCCACAGACAGCCAACCTGAGCGCGTTTTACATCGGGTGTAAACGCCAACCTTGTTATAAATTACCTTGACAACTTGCATTCCTGCTGTCTAAAGTTATTTCCCATGTAGGGAAATACAAACCTGTACAAGTGATGCCATCTCCAGTAAATCCCTGCTTACAAGTGCAGCTGTAGGAACCGTTACTGTTGGTGCAATAAGCGTTTTGGTCACAGGGACTGGTATCCACCGAACATTCATCGATATCTAATAGAGAGGAAAAGAAGACATCAGAGGAGGGTCGACCCTGATTCGGACCATCTCCACGGAAACCTCGTTTTCAAGTACAGTTGTAAGAACCGTCTGCTGCTCATTTTTAGAAATTTAGGCAGCCTTTAAGACAAACAGTCAACCTGAGCGCGTTTTATATCAGGTGTAAACCCCAACCTTGCTCAGTATAAATTACCTTGACAACTTGCATTCCTGCTGTCTATAGATATTTCCCATTTAGGTAAATACAAACCTGTACAAGTGATGCCATCCCCAGCATATCCCTGTTTACAAGTACAGCTATAGGAACCATTACTGTTGGTGCAATTTGCGTTTCGGTCACAAGGACTAGTATCCGCCGAACATTCATCGATATCTAATCGAGAGGGAAAAAAGACATTACCACATGCTCTTGCTTTCAACAGAAGGGCCGCTTTGAAATAAGACAACCTAAGTACGGGCTAATGCTGGAAACAACGTAATGAAGTACCTTTACCACTTCTGTTTCTGCCGTCTAAAGGTATTTCTCAAGTTGGACTAAGATGTAAAGATAACTCAAAATTAAAGCAATGAGTAGCAAAATACAAACCTGTACATGCTACACCATCCCCAGAAAATCCTCGTTTACAGGCACAGCTGTAAGAACCGTCACTGTTGGTGCAATCTGCGTTTTGGTCACAAGAACTGGTATCCGAAGAGCACTCATCGATATCTAGTTTTAGAGAAAAAGTAGACATCAGTGGTAGCTCGATCTTGCACATTTATTAATATCTGAGTTCAAAGGGAAAAATAGTAAAAACTTTCAAAGGAGAGAAATATATAGTATTCATAAACTTCACAAGTTTTTCCATTTTAACTGAGTCCATGTTTACCTAAAACAGCTGTAAGAGCCGTCACAGAGCTTGGGTCGCAAGGATTTTATTCCGTAGAACATTTCATTGTTATCTAAGTTCATTAGAGACGGAATAGTTCTAGAACTTTCTGATCAATTACATGTAGAACTCGAGCGAACACTTTCTGAAATACTGACCTACGCACGTTATACCATCCCCACTGAATCCCCGTTTACACGAACAGCTATAAGAACCTTCATTGTTGGTGCAATCGGCATTTTCGTTACAAGGACTAGACTGCGTAGAACATTCATCAATATCTAAGTCCCAAAGGAAAAAAATGATGGGGGTCTCATACCTAAAAATAAACTCGATTGAACACTCCCAGAAATCCCTTCCTTAACAACTAACCTGTACACGTTGTGCCATCTCCTGTGAATCCTTTTTTACAAGAACAGCTGTAAGAACCGTCACTGTTGCTGCAATTAGCGTTTTGGTCACAAGGACTGGAACCCACTGAACATTCATCGATATCTTAACGAGAATAAAAGAAAAAGACACGCAAGTTTAAAACATCTATCATGTACCATATAAAAAAGACATTGCATCTCCTACGAATCCTTGTTAACAAGTGCAGATGTAATCAAATGACCGTCATCAATGGTACAATCGACAAAAATTTTACGACCCTGACCCTGTTTGCAACTACAGTAGTACGAACCGTCGCTGTTGGTGCAATCAGCGTTCCCGTCAAAAGGATTAACATTTATATTGCACTCATCGATCTCTTATGGTGTGGAAGGAAAGTTAAAAAAATTACGGTTGTAGATCTCTCTGACCAAAGTAAATTGGGCACTTTATTATTAATTATTAATTATTTAATTATAGTCAGCGTTCTCGCTACAGGGATTGGTATCTCTCACACTCATCGATGTCTGATAGCATGGAATTAAATATAGAAATGAACGGTTATAAGACTAACTGACTGACCAAAATGAACCCCAACACTTACAGAAACACCATAATCTGCCATATTTTACGCCAATTAGTACCTTGACAAGTCGTCCCGTTTCCAGTGAACCCCTCTTTACAAGTACAACTGTACGAACCGTCATTATTGGCGCAATCGGCGTTCTCGTCACAAGGATTCAAATCTACAGAACACTCATCGATGTCTAATGGCAAATAAAGAAAGATAACAAGATATACTTGTAAAACTCGCCCACCGAAATAAAACTGACAAAGACAACGTGGCCCAGACTAACTTAAAATCTCCTTTACCTTCACAAGACGTCCCGTTTCCTGAGAACCCTTGTTTGCAAGTACAGCTGTACGAACCGATATTATTGGCACATATGGCGTTCTTGTCACAGGGATTTGTATCTGCAGAACACTCATCAATGTCTAATGATGCGAAAAGAAAGATAAAGAGAAATGACTTTACAACTCTCTGACCGACATAAACTTAACACCTTAAAATGCTACGTTATTACCTTCACAAGCCGTCCCGTTTCCAGTGAACCCCTGTTTACAAGTACAGCTGTAGGAACCGTCACTGTTGGCGCAATCAGCGTTCTCGTCACAGGGATTGGAAACTGCAGAACACTCGTCGATGTCTGATCGTAAGGAAATATATATAAAAAAGGAATTGTCATTTTGACCGAAATAAACATTAACCTCTCACGTCAAAAGGATTTGTATCTGCAGAAGAATCATCGATGTCTATTCGAAAGGAAAGAGAGATAGAGAGGAATCGTTTTAACACTCTTTGATCGAAAAATAAAAGAACTCCCTCAGAAAACACATGGACCAAAAAAATATTTCAATCGTTACTACCTTCACAAGTCGTCCCGTTTCCAGTGAACCCCTGTTTACAAGTGCAGCTGTACGAGCCGTCATTATTGGCGCAAACAGCGTTCTCGCTACAGGGATTGGTATCTGAAGAACACTCATCGATGTCTAATAGCGAAGAATGAAATATAGAAAGGAACGGTTATAGAACTAACTGACCAAAATGAACCCCAACACTTACAGAAACGCCATAATCTGCCACATTTTACGCTAATTAGTACCTTCACAAGTCGTCCCGTTTCCAGTGAACCCCTCTTTACAAGTACAGCTGTACGAACCGATATTATTGGCACATATGGCGTTCTTGTCACAGGGATTTGTATCTGCAGAACACTCATCAATGTCTAATGATGCGAAAAGATAAAGAGAAATGACTTTACAACTCTCTGACCGACATAAACTTAACACCTTAAAATGCTACAACCGTTATTACCTTCACAAGCCGTCCCGTTTCCAGTGAACCCCTGTTTACAAGTACAGCTGTAGGAACCGTCACTGTTGGTGCAATCAGCGTTCTCGTCACAAGGATTGGAAACTGCAGAACACTCGTCGATGTCTGATCGTAAGGAAATATATATAAAAAAGGAATTGTCATTTTGACCGAAATAAACATTAACCTCTCACGTCAAAGGGATTTGTATCTGCAGAAGAATCATCGATGTCTATTCGAAAGGAAAGAGAGATAGAGAGGAATCGTTTTAACACTCTTTGATCGAAAAATAAAAGAACTTCCTCAGAAAACACATGGCCCAAAAAAATGCTACAATCGTTCCTACCTTCACAAGTCGTCCCATTTCCAGTGAACCCCTGTTTACAAGTGCAGCTGTAGGAGCCGTCATTATTGGCGCAATCAGCGTTCTCGTCACAGGGATTGGAAACTGCAGAACACTCGTCGATGTCTGATCGTAAGGAAGTATATATAAAAAAGGAATTGTCATTTTGACCGAAATAAACATTAACCTCTCACGTCAAAAGGATTTGTATCTGCAGAAGAATCATCGATGTCTATTCGAAAGGAAAGAGAGATAGAGGGGAATCGTTTTAACACTCTTTGATCAAAAAATAAAAGAACTCCCTCAGAAAACACATGGACCAAAAAAATGCTACAATCGTTACTACCTTCACAAGTCGTCCCGTTTCCAGTGAACCCCTGTTTACAAGTGCAGCTGTACGAGCCGTCATTATTGGCGCAAATAGCGTTCTCGCTACAGGGATTGGTATCTGAAGAACACTCATCGATGTCTAATGGCGAAGAATGAAATATAGAAAGGAACGGTTATAGAACTAACTGACCAAAATGAACCCCAACACTTACAGAAACGCCATAATCTGCCACATTTTACGCTAATTAGTACCTTCACAAGTCGTCCCGTTTCCAGTGAACCCCTCTTTACAAGTACAGCTGTAGGAACCGTCACTGTTGGTGCAATCAGCGTTCTCGTCACAAGGATTGGAAACTGCAGAACACTCGTCGATGTCTGATCGTGAGGAAATATATATAAAAAAGGAATTGTCATTTTGACCGAAATAAACATGAACCTCTCACGTCAAAAGGATTTGTATCTGCAGAAGAATCATCGATGTCTATTCGAAAGGAAAGAGAGATAGAGAGGAATCGTTTTAACACTCTTTGATCGAAAAATAAAAGAACTCCCTCAGAAAACACATGGACCAAAAAAATGCTACAATCGTTACTACCTTCACAAGTCGTCCCGTTTCCAGTGAACCCCTGTTTACAAGTGCAGCTGTACGAGCCGTCATTATTGGCGCAAATAGCGTTCTCGCTACAGGGATTGGTATCTGAAGAACACTCATCGATGTCTAATGGCGACGAATGAAATATAGAAAGGAACGGTTATATAACTAACTGACCAAAGTGAACCCCAACACTTACAGAAACGCCATAATCTGCCACATTTTACGCTAATTAGTACCTTCACAAGTCGTCCCGTTTCCAGTGAACCCCTCTTTACAAGTACAGCTGTACGAACCGATATTATTGGCACATATGGCGTTCTTGTCACAGGGATTTGTATCTGCAGAACACTCATCAATGTCTAATGATGCGAAAAGAAAGATAAAGAGAAATGACTTTACAACTCTCTGACCGACATAAACTTAACACCTTAAAATGCTACAACCGTTATTACCTTCACAAGCCGTCCCGTTTCCAGTGAACCCCTGTTTACAAGTACAGCTGTAGGAACCGTCACTGTTGGCGCAATCAGCGTTCTCGTCACAGGGATTGGAAACTGCAGAACACTCGTCGATGTCTGATCGTAAGGAAATATATATAAAAAAGGAATTGTCATTTTGACCGAAATAAACATGAACCTCTCACGTCAAAAGGATTTGTATCTGCAGAAGAATCATCAATGTCTATTCGAAAGGAAAGAGAGATAGAGAGGAATCGTTTTAACACTCTTTGATCGAAAAATAAAAGAACTCCCTCAGAAAACACATGGACCAAAAAAATGCTACAATCGTTACTACCTTCACAAGTCGTCCCGTTTCCAGTGAACCCCTGTTTACAAGTGCAGCTGTACGAGCCGTCATTATTGGCGCAAATAGCGTTCTCGCTACAGGGATTGGTATCTGAAGAACATTCATCGATGTCTAATGGCGAAGAATGAAATATAGAAAGGAACGGTTATATAACTAACTGACCAAAATGAACCCCAACACTTACAGAAACGCCATAATCTGCCACATTTTACGCTAATTAGTACCTTCACAAGTCGTCCCGTTTCCAGTGAACCCCTCTTTACAAGTACAGCTGTACGAACCGATATTATTGGCACATATGGCATTCTTGTCACAGGGATTTGTATCTGCAGAACACTCATCAATGTCTAATGATGCGAAAAGAAAGATAAAGAGAAATGACTTTACAACTCTCTGACCGACATAAACTTAACACCTTAAAATGCTACAACCGTTATTACCTTCACAAGCCGTCCCGTTTCCAGTGAACCCCTGTTTACAAGTACAGCTGTAGGAACCGTCACTGTTGGTGCAATCAGCGTTCTCGTCACAGGGATTGGAAACTGCAGAACACTCGTCGATGTCTGATCGTAAGGAAATATATATAAAAAAGGAATTGTCATTTTGACCGAAATAAACATTAACCTCTCACGTCAAAGGGATTTGTATCTGCAGAAGAATCATCAATGTCTATTCGAAAGGAAAGAGAGATAGAGAGGAATCGTTTTAACACTCTTTGATCGAAAAATAAAAGAACTCCCTCAGAAAACACATGGACCAAAAAAATGCTACAATCGTTACTACCTTCACAAGTCGTCCCGTTTCCAGTGAACCCCTGTTTACAAGTGCAGCTGTACGAGCCGTCATTATTGGCGCAAATAGCGTTCTCGCTACAGGGATTGGTATCTGAAGAACACTCATCGATGTGTAATGGCGAAGAATGAAATATAGAAAGGAACGGCTATAGAACTAACTGACCAAAATGAACCCCAACACTTACAGAAACGCCATAATCTGCCACATTTTACGCTAATTAGTACCTTCACAAGTCGTCCCGTTTCCAGTGAACCCCTCTTTACAAGTACAACTGTACGAACCGTCAATATTGGCGCATTCAGCATTCTCGTCACAAGGATTTAAATCCACAGAGCACTCATCTATATCTGATGGTGCATAAAGAAAGATAACAAGAAATGCTTGTGAAACTCGCCCACCGAAATAGAACTCACAAAAACAACGTGGCCTAAAATAAATTACAATCTCCTTTACCTTCACAAGCCGTCCCGTTTCCAGTGAACCCCTGTTTGCAAGTACAGCTGTACGAACCGATATTATTGGCACATGTGGCGTTCTTGTGACAGGGATTGGTATCCGCAGAGCACTCATCGATGTCTGATGATACGGAAAGAAAGATAAAGAGAAACGACTTTATAACTCTCTGACCGACATAATAAGCTAATAGTAATAATAAGGTTTTTTACCTTCACAAGCTGTCCCATTTCCAGTGAACCCCTGTTTACAAACACAGCTGTACGAGCCCTCACTGTTGCCGCAATCAGCTTTCTCGTCACAGGGATTGGAAACTGCAGAGCACTCATTGATGTCTGATCGTAAGCAAATATATATATATAAAAAAATTATTATGGAACTATTTGACCGAAAAAACCAAGAACCCCTTGCGTCACAGGGATTTGTATCTGCAGAAAAATCATCGATGTCTATTCGAAAGGAAATATTTACAATCACGTATAATTAAAAGGAAACATTAAGTTTTGATTAAGGGTACATTTCATCTAAACCATTGCTATCGTTTGTTTGCGGCTTGATGTTGTATTATTATTAGTGGCTGTTAATCTCATCTGTATGTAGGCCACGGCATGATGTATTGCTGAATTAGGTCTTCCGAGATCAGAGGCCCTTAAGAAGAAATTCACGAAAAAAATACCTGTACATATTGTGCCATTTCCCGTAAAGCCTTGCTTGCAAGAACAGCTGTAAAAACCGGCGCTGTTGGAGCAATCGGCATTCACATCACAAGGACCAGAGTCAGCGGAACACTCGTCGATATCTGATGATCATTGCATACAAACGTTGATCATAATCATGTTATTTTGTCATACGAGAGAGAACCAAAGTATTAGGGCCTGCTTGTAAGACTGTTGCTAGTCAAAAGGGACGTTTTTAATGGTTCCACACTTACAAGAAAAAGGCCACTAGTATGGCCTCCCATACCTTTACAAGAGGTTCCATTTCCGCTAAAACCTTGTTTACAAGTGCAGCTATAAGAACCTTTACTGTTCGCGCAGTCAGCGTTTTGGTCACAAGGACTGGAATCTTGAGAACACTCATTAATATCTAGAGTAACAAACCAAGGATAGAGTCATTACACATTACAAGAAGAACAAATGGAAAAAAAAAAAGAAAGGAAGAGCTAATAGCACCAATTCGTCACTACACCTCACTTTTCAACTAAAAATACGAAAAAGGACGGCGAAATTGTTTTTTAAGTTCAAATCGGAGCAATATTGTGAATAAAAAAATTGTGATTATCTACTCCTCTAGAAGTACCTTTACAAGTCAATCCATCTCCAGAGAATCCTTCTTTACAAATACAGATGTGAGAACACATACACAGCAGACGTGACAAATAATCAAACTTTGTTCACAGTTTCAAAAGCATGTACCTTCGCATGATGCGCCATCTCCAGAAATGGGAAAAGACAATAAAAAATTCAGCTTGAAAGAGGTTAGCAAATCATGTTCCTTACCTTCACAAGTTGTGTTATCTCCGGTAAAACCTTGTTTACAAGTACAGCTGTACGAACCGTTATTGTTGGTACAAATAGCATTCTCGTCACAGGGATTGGTATCTGCGGCACACTCATCGATATCTGTCATTACACCAGTAGTAAATACGTCAAACGTGAGTTACAATTTGTTCAGCAAGGTGATGTAATCAAAGTGCTCTGTGAGCAAACTCGTGAATGACAGATGACTTACGTGATTTTTTGGATTATGTTTAATATTATCTGGTTTAGGGAATTTTGTGGTTGATTGTCATATTTAGAGTACGAGCAGTATTTCAGTGTTCGCTAATGTAGCATAGAAACAAAGTAACGTTGGGATAAGAAGGCATCACAATTGAAATGATCATGCTATTACATTTGACAAGGGTGGATGATGTCATGTGTTTTAAACATATATCATTTTTGTTTCTGGTTCAAAAGAAAAGTTTGGAAGTAAATGTGGGTAAAAAGTGAAATTTACTGTCTATCATTGTAAATAATGGAAAATCAAGGCAATACTGTCTTAATGAAAACATTAACGAATCCCTCTTTATCAAATGAGACAAACGGGAACGAGTTTTGAGTGATATAACTAAGCCCAAACTGCAACTGTCATTTTGGATTTCCGCCTGGGTAGATTTTGGTCACGTGCTAGGCAACGTATAATCAAGAACAAGATAGAATTTCATTTCAGGCCTATTTATCAATTTTGTGGTGTACAACTTTCGGATTTTAGTACGTAATATTTATTTTGAATCTTAAAATTGTCTTGAAACTTAAAAGAAAATTGTTATTTAAGAATTCACTGAAAATCGGTAGCCAAATTATTTGTTTAGGTGTTATTTGATTTTCGTGCTAACCTGTAATTTCGTCAATCGCCGGCACCGTTTGTTGCTTCACACAGAAAAAACACACGATACGAAATGTAATGATCGATTTTGTCCCCAATCTCACGCCATAACAGAGAAAGCTTTTGAACACCTGTAAACTCCAAACGCTTCGGAGTAAGTGATATTTTTAATGAATCTTCGGATTGTTTTCAAGTTCAAGGATTGTAAATTACAATTGCATGAAAAACGAAGGTTGTTCTCTTATTTCAGAGTGAATCCTCGCACGCCTGCCAGTCGCTGGCGCCGCTTGTTGAAACTAACACGAAAAAAATAAACTCTTCTAAGATTATCATGGGCTTATTTTTCACCCCACCACTATTCTTAGCAACAAAGGTCACCATTTCGTTTGTTTGTTACTCGCCAAAAACAATCAAATGCACTCAAAAGCCTAAAATCGAAAAAATGTTTAAAGGAATCGACCTATCGAGCGAGCGAGCGAGCGAGTGCCATTCTCCACATCATATCTACAACTCGCTCTTGCGCATGAGCGCAATTCAGGAGTTAAAAAGTGATATTGTACCTTTACAACTTGATCCATCTCCAGTGAATCCTTGTTTACAAGTACAGCTATAAGAACCCTCATTGTTGGCACAATCAGCGTTTTCGTCACAAGGACGTGGCTCTGCTGAACACTCATCGATATCTGATATGAGAGAAAAAGGGCGAGAGGAAGGTAGGATGGTGGAACATTTTTAGTACAATACGCGTTTATGCGTATAATTTGAACGCTACGAGTAGGTCAGAAAGAGAACAAATGACCGCTTAAGGATGGTTAATATCTCAATAACAATCAGATTCGCTCTTTTTCACCCTATTGCAACAATTGAGTAAAAAAGATTATTTTGACTACAGCTGGTCACCTTTGCTAAACCGAGCTTACGTCTAGCGAAGAGTCATCCACTAAATATTATATAATAAGCTCAGTTATGCACGCATTCTGATTGGTTCTCACTTATGACCTATTGGAGGACAGACGTATAGATGACGTCATCATTCAAACTTTTTTTCACAGATGACGTCAAAATGTGGTAAGAACATCAGTGACACACTCGGCTGCGCCTCGTGTGCCACTTTTTTGTTCTTACCACATTTTGACGTCATCTGTAATCTATTACTGAATAGACGCACTGCAACTTGGAATCTATTTGTTAAATGTAACCATCTGGATAAGTCAGGTCACCTTGGCAGTATGTTCCGTTTCCTGTGTATCCTTCCTTGCAAGTGCAATTGTATGAGCCGTCAGTGTTATTGCACGCAGCGTTCACATCACACGGACTGCGATCGGCCAAACATTCATTGATATCTGAAACGGTGTAGAAAATGAATTTATGAAGATTTTTCATGTAGACTTGTAGTGATTAGAAAAATAGGAGAGCAAAACAATTACCGACGAAGCAATCTCTATTATAAAATTAATGATAATAAATAAAACACGATTTACATAGCATCAATTGCAAGCGCTTCACACAATGAAAGAGAGGAAAACAGATATTTCAAATAAACATAAAGTGCTTGAAAATCTTAACTGTTAGGAGGTAGACCAGTTGGTTATTTATCTACACATACAAGTGAAGGATTTTTTTTTTATTGACCGCTCTACATTTTACGTTATGTGTCGCTGGTTAAACCTTCAAAAAATGAAAAGCAATGAAAATTAAAAAAAATGGACTTTTCTACCTGTGCATGTTTCTCCATCTCCTTCAAATCCAGGAAGACAAGTGCACTCATATGAGCCTTTGATGTTCAAGCAGAATGCATTATCATCACAGGGATTAGTGGAACACTCATCAATATCTATTGAAGAACAAATATAAAAAATTCGATTATACTATGCAACAGCTTGAATTGAATACTGGCGGGGGTGACTCTATGATTTGTCTTTGCCTATATATTTGTCTATGTACTTTAGTCGAGTTTTCAATCCTTTACACCCTAACATCAGTGTGCTTGTTCTCAACACTTTTCTCTATACATTTTCTCAGATGCCGACTGCGAGATTTTGTTTAATAATCAAGACCTTCTTTAGTAGGTGATTATTTCCTTCATTCTCGTGACTAGATGCTAGTTACTCTCAAGGCTCAAGGGTTAAAACATATAGTCACAAAAAAACATTTCTTTCAGTGAATACCTCTGCAGATTGATCCGTTTCCAGTAAATCCTATCCTGCAAGTACAGATCGATGAACCGATGGTGTTGACACAGTCCGCATTTTTGTCACACGGATTTGAAATCACACACTCATCAATATCTATCAAAAACAAAACATTTTAATATTTTCTCATCATTTTTGTTTTGTTTTGTTTTTTTTTATTGCCAGCAGGCGTTTGTTGCTCTTTACACAAAAACGGCGGATTTTCTTGCATTATGTAACATTATGAATGAATGTATTTACAACTAACAAGAATAACGACGTAATTGACAAGATAAATAGATAAATAAATAAGTACCCCACCTGTACATGTTTTTCCATCTCCTTCAAATCCGGGAAAACAAGAACAATCGAAAGAGCCATTGGTGTTCAAACAGGTTGCATTAGCATCACAAGGATTTGTTACGCACTCATCAATATCTGAACAAAAATAGAGGAATAACTTTTATTTTAAAGGCGGAGTCAAATTGGTTCTCTTTATCCTCCCTTTCCAACACCTTGATCATACTGAAAAACAATTTACCTCTCTCTTCTCTCTCTCCCCCACTTATCTATCTACTTTCCTTACACCAAATTTCTCAAGTTATAGATGCGTTTGATACACAGGTCATCCTTTACCTTCGTGGAACTTCTTTTACTCGAAAAATGAAACACTGTGAAGTGATTTCACCGCGTAGCATTCACAAGGTAATTGATGACTCTAATCAAAGCCCCCATCAATTACGTCTAAAGCAACTAGAAACAGTTTTTGGCTTTGTGTGAACAATAGGCGGAAATTCAACAAGGCAACTTACCATTACAGACTATCCCACTTCCTGTAAACCCGTTTTTACAAGTGCAAGTGTACGATCCGTCTTCGTTGGAACAAACCGCATTTTCGTCACAAGGGCTGCCATTCTTTGAACACTCGTCAATGTCTACGTTCCAGCAAAAGAAGTAAAGAGATCACGTAGTTTACTAAAAAGCATCTTATATTAAGGACTAAAATAATACCAAATTAAATACCAGCACAGGATGTTCCATTTCCAGTGAATCCTTTTCTGCAGGTACAGACAAATGAGCCATTTGTGTTTTTACAGTCAGCGTTTTTATCACACGGATTGGAGATCAAACATTCGTCAATATCTAGAGAAAGACAAGAATCGTCACCTTCGTAACATTCCTAATGCTGAGGAAGGTGTGTAAGGAGATTTGACAGACAAACTGAAGTAAAAAGAAATTTTTGTCACGGGTAAGCGTTCTTCTTACCTTGGCAAACCTTGCCATTTCCATCAAAACCAGGACGACAAGTACACTCGAAGGAGCCGTTTGTGTTAGAGCACGCCGCATTGACATCACAAGGATTGGTTGTGCACTCGTCAATATCTATAAAAGGTTTTAATACATCAAAGTTAACTGTTTCTTTGACAAAGCAGTTTCTTACTGTGATTGACAAAAGGATTTTAAGTCTAACTTCTACGAACACTTGAATAAGGTAAGCCTTCTCTTAGCAGAAATCACTCTCGGTCTCAGCCTTCTGAATATGGGATGAAATTTCAATAGTTGCACAGGGAAAGAAAAGTGTTCCTCACAAACGTGAGAAGAGCGTTTGAAATATAAAATATCTCCAACGCGTTCACAAGTGACCTACTTCTTACCTTTGCAAACCTTGCCATTTCCATCAAAACCAGGACGACACGCACAATCAAAAGAACCGTTTGTGTTTAAGCACGCCGCATTGGCATCACAAGGATTGGTTGTGCACTCGTCAATATCTATAGAGAGTGAAAATACATCAAAGTAAAGTGTTTCCATGACAAAGCAGTTACTTACTGTGGATGACTAAAAGCGATAAAGTCTAACTTCCACGAACACTTGGATGAGGCAAGCCTTCTCTTAGCAGAAATTAGTCTCAGTCTCAGCCTTCTGAATATGGGATGAAATTTCAATAGTTGCACAGGGAAAGAAAAGTGTTCCTCACAAACGTGAGGAGAGCGTTTGAAATATTAATATCTCCAACTCGTTCACAAGTGACCTTCTTCTTACCTTGGCAAACCTTGCCATTTCCATCAAAACCAGGACGACACGTACACTCGAAGGAGCCGTTTGTGTTAGAGCACGCCGCATTGACATCACAAGGATTGGTTGTGCACTCGTCAATATCTGTAGAAGGTTAAAATACATCAAAGTTAACTGTTTCCTTGATAAAGCAGTTTCTTACAGTGATTAACAAAATGATTTTAAGTCTAACTTCTACGAACGCTTGGATCAGGGAAGCCTTCTCTTAGCAGAAATTACTCTCGGTCTCAGCCTTCTGGATATGAGATGAAATTTCGATAGTTGCTCAGGGAAAGAAAAGTGTTCCTCACAAACGTGAGAAGAGCGTTTGAAATATAAAATATCTCCAACGCGTTCACAAGTGACCTACTTCTTACCTTTGCAAACCTTGCCATCTCCATCAAAACCAGGACGACACGTACAATCAAAAGAACCGTTTGTGTTTAAGCACACCGCATTGGCATCACAAGGATTGGTTGTGCACTCGTCAATATCTATAGAGAGTGAAAATAAATCAAAGTAAAGTGTTTCCATGACATAGCAGTTACTTACTGTGGATGACTAAAAGCGATAAAGTCTAACTTCCACGAACACTTGGATGAGGCAAGCCTTCTCTTAGCAGAAATTACTCTCGGTCTCGGCCTTCTGAACATGGGGTAAGATAAGATAAGATAAGAAAACTTTATTTATACACGGTATTTCCATCAGTTGTTAATTATCTATAAAGGTATATCTATCTTCCTAACTATAATAAAATCTAATAATAACAATTCAAATAAAAGAAACAAATAAAAAATCTGCTTTTCATGGAGGCCATGTCTAAAATTTACTTAAAATTAAGATATTACTTTAAACTGTGGCGACTTAATTTAGATTTGAAATCGGTCAGTGAAGACGGTTGTCTTAGGTCTAAGGGTAAGTCGTTCCACAAGTGAGCTCCGCTGTACAAAAAACTTCTCTTAAGATAATCAGTTCGAGGTTGTGGAAGAACTAATTTGTTTTCCGTATTCCTTAAACGATAAGCACTTATATTGTCACGATATACAAATCTTGATCTCAGATAATCTGGTGTCATACCATGTAAAGTTTTATACATTAAGATAGATTTTTGTTCCAATCTTTGATAGTAGAGTCTTCGCCACCCTAGTGCCCGGAACAAATCATCTAAATTACTATCATAGCTCGCAGACATTAGGATGCGAGCTGCCCGATTTTGAAGCCTTTGCAGTTTTTCAGACAAGGCCCTTGTTACAGTTTCCCCACACTACATTACAATAATCAAAATGTGGTTGAACAAGGCTATTATAAACTTTAATTAGAACATTAAATGGAGTGAGGTGCCGAATTCGTTTAATTGCACCAATGGCACAAGCTATCTTCTTAGAGATGTTTTCAATATGACACTCCCAGTTGATATTTTGATCGACATAAACTCCAAGGGACTTAGCGGAGGTTACTTGTTCTATTGCGATTTCGTTTATAGTAAGAGAAGGACTTTCCGTAAATTGTGACAACTTCTGCCTTGATGCAATAAGCATAAACTCAGTTTTTGTCATATTTAGGGTAAGCTTGTTAGCACTCAGCCATTCGTACACATTACTCAGGTCGTAATTAAGGCAATAATTTATATGATCAAAGTCATTACTGGCAAGCGTCAGGTTGGTATCATCTGCGTACATTCTGGGTTCCGAATATGTCAGACAATGTGGTAAGTCATTAATATATATTAAAAACAGAAGGGGTCCCAAAATTGTTCCCTGGGGAACACCACATCTTAGATATTTCGGAGTTGACTTACAAGAATTTATATGGCAAATCTGTGTTCGATTATCTAAATAAGAAGCAAACCATTGATGACTGGTCCAACAAATCCCATAGTATTGCAATTTTCGTAGCAAAATATCGTGATCTACTGTATCAAATGCCTTTTTGAGGTCTAAAAACACTACGGCATTAACAAGACCACGGTCTATATCCATTGCCCAACTATCTGTAGCTTCGATAAGCGCTGTGAGCGTGGAATGCAAAGACCGAAAACCAGATTGATGGCACGAGAGAAAGTTGTTGTTAGTTAAATAACGATAAAGCTGATCGTAAATTATCCGTTCAAAGACTTTGGCCACAACTGAAATTATTGATATTGGTCGATAATTAGTCGGATCAGAGCGCTTCCCAGTATTTTTATACAATGGAGTGACTCTGGCAGATTTCCACTCATCGGGAAAGATGCCAGTCATTATGGATTGATTGAATAGATGAGTAAGAGATTCCGCTAGAACATCAGGACATTCCCTTAGAAGTTTTGCTGAGATATTATCTAATCCAGTTGCCTTTTGGGTGCAATTCCAATAGTTGCACAGGGAAAGAAAAGTGTTCCTCACAAACGTGAGGAGAGCGTTTGCAATATAAAATATCTCCAACTCGTTCACAAGTGACCTTCTTCTTACCTTGGCAAACCTTGCCATTTCCATCAAAACCAGGACGACACGTACACTCGAAGGAGCCGTTTGTGTTAGAGCACGCCGCATTGACATCACAAGGATTGGTTGTGCACTCGTCAATATCTGTAGAAGGTTAAAATACATCAAAGTTAACTGTTTCCTCGATAGCAGGTAATTTAGTGTTAACAACTGGGTTGAAAACGTAAATTAGCCACCGTGAAGGGTAAAAAAGCTGACGTTTCGAGCGTTAGCCTTTCGTCTATCGCTCTGACGAAGGGCTAACGCTCGAAACGTCAGCTTTTTTACCCTTTACGGTGGCTAATTTACGTTACGCTAATTTACGTCGACCCAGTTGTTAACACTAAATTACCTGCTATACTCTCCCACCGACGCAGCACCACAGTTTCTTTAGAAACTTACCCATTTATTCATGTTTCCTTGATAAAGCAGTTTCTTACAGTGATTAACGAAAGGATTTTAAGTCTAACTTCCACGAACGCTTGGATCAGGGAAGCATTCTCTTAGCAGAAATTACTCTCGGTCTCAGCCTTCCGGATATAAGATGAAATTTCGATAGTTGCTCAGGAAAAGAAAAGTATTCCTCACAAACGTGAGAGAGAAAATATCTCCAACGCGTTCACAAGTGACCTACTTCTTACCTTTGCAAACCTTGCCATCTCCATCAAAACCAGGACGACACGTACAATCAAAAGAACCGTTTGTGTTTAAGCACGCCGCATTGGCATCACAAGGATTGGTTGTGCACTCGTCAATATCTATAGAGAGTGAAAATACATCAAAGTAAAGTGTTTCCATGACAAAGCAGTTACTTACTGTGGATGACTAAAAGCGATAAAGTCTAACTTCCACGAACACTTGGATGAGGCAAGCCTTCTCTTAGCAGAAATTACTCTCGGTCTCGGCCTTCTGAATATGGGGTGCAATTCCAATAGTTGCACAGGGAAAGAAAAGTGTTCCTCACAAACGTGAGGAGAGCGTTTGCAATATAAAATATCTCCAACTCGTTCACAAGTGACCTTCTTCTTACCTTGGCAAACCTTGCCATTTCCATCAAAACCAGGACGACACGTACACTCGAAGGAGCCGTTTGTGTTAGAGCACGCCGCATTGACATCACAAGGATTGGTTGTGCACTCGTCAATATCTGTAGAAGGTTAAAATACATCAAAGTTAACTGTTTCCTTGATAAAGCAGTTTCTTACAGTGATTAACGAAAGGATTTTAAGTCTAACTTCCACGAACGCTTGGATCAGGGAAGCCTTCTCTTAGCAGAAATTACTCTCGGTCTCAGCCTTCTGGATATGAGATGAAATCTCGATAGTTGCTCAGGGAAAGAAAAGTGTTCCTCACAAACGTGAGAAGAGCGTTTGAAATATAAAATATCTCCAACGCGTTCACAAGTGACCTACTTCTTACCTTTGCAAACCTTGCCATCTCCATCAAAACCAGGACGACACGTACACTCAAAGGAGCCGTTTGTGTTTAAGCACGCCGCATTGGCATCACAAGGATTGGCTGTGCACTCGTCAATATCTATAGAAAGTGAAAATACATCAAAGTATAGTGTTTCCATGGCAAGGCAGTTACTTCGTGGATGACAAAAAGCGATAAAGTCTAACTTCCACGAACACTTGGATGAGGCAAGCCTTCTCTTAGCAGAAATTACTCTCGGTCTCGGCCTTCTGAATATGGGATAAAAATTCAATAGTAACACAGGGAAAGGAAAGTGGTCCTCAGAAACGTGAGAGGAGCGTTTAAAATGTAAAATATCTACACGTCTTTCACAAGAGGCCTACTTCGTACCTTGGCAGACCTTGCCATCTCCATCAAAACCAGCCTTACATAGACACGAAAAACTTCCATCGGAGTTTGAACAATTAGCATTGACATCGCAATCGTTAGATCCTGTCTCACATTCGTTAATGTCTGTGAAAAGTAAATTTTTAAAAAAGGTAATTTGCAAATCATTCTAGAAAATCAAGATGCAACTGTGTAAAATGATATAACTATTCACAACATCATACATACGTCTCTGTAATCTTAAGTGTTTTTTAAGCCAATCACATAATAAAGCATCACTAACAAGAAGAGTAGATCACGTCTGCATACGTGACCGCTGCAGTTAGCACAGCGGGTTTCGAGTGATTAGCTAAATGCTAATTCTGTGCGGGTAACTTATAGAATCTCCTCACGTTCCCGTGAAAGATGACTAGCATCAATTTTTGCTACTTTGGCACTTCAAGAGGAAAGTTTCTTGACAAACAATATCATCCAAAGATCTCGACCAATGCTCGAATTAGGACCTTTCGATCCGGAGACCGGCGCGCATGGCATTCAGCCGTCCTATAGGCACGTAAGTTCAAGGGTGGCCTGTTCTATCATCAATGCAGAACAAAAAGAGCAACCATAGGTCAAACACTTTGTCGTGACGCGATTAACTTCTGTGACTTCTCCATATCTGCATTTACGGGGCGCCCACACGCAATTCCACCAGACTGCAGAATCACACAAAACTGGTGAGTCTTTCTCCGTTCTGCGGACTGCTCTACAGACAAGAAAGTCAGTGGGAAGGTTAAGTCTCGGTCTTCATATCTTACCAGAACAATTCCCATCAAGTTCTTCTTTGAATCCTGTGGAACACTGGCATTGGTATGAACCATCTGTATTGACACATTCGGCACCACTTCCGCACGTTACATTTAAGATGAAACACTCATCGATATCTGAAAAGGAGGATGTAAAACTTTGTATTTGTTCTATATACTTTCTGAGAAAAACGATTATCGAGCCTTTTGTTAATGCAAAAAACCTTTGCACAGCTGAAACGAAGGTTAACCACCCCCGTACTTAACTCTCTCACTCTCAAGTTGTCAATATCATTTCTTCAAACTGTTTGCTACAGATAATCTGTTCAGAGAAATTGGTGAAAAATGAAAAGATACCCCTGGGTTGATATTTGCCATTTTTCTCGTCAAATGTTTACTCTGGAAAAAAAGGTCGAAACGAGTACAGAACACAGTTTTTATCTGACCACGTGCTTTTTTATCAACTTGACGAATTATTGAATTGCAAGGAAAAATCCCTTCGCTTCCACCGGTGGTAGTGAAAGGGGTCAACATGTCAACATGTCAAGCTAACTAAAGCTAATTTGTTTCATTTCTTTTTTCCCGCATCGTTCAAATTGTTCGTCTAATTGGCAAAAAAAGCCCTGAAATATAAACACTGATAAAGAGGTAAAGGGAAAAGGGCAGAAAATTAGTATACTGTAAACCAAAGAACCAGTGAGAATGGATAAGAAAGAACAGGGTTTCAGATTAAGAAAAAATTCAGTCTAATTTTCGCAAGACGAAGCACCGAAGATGTGTAGTACACAAATTATTTCGCCCGTGAGAAGCAATTTATAAGACCATTAAACGTTTTACTACAAAGCTGGCTTGGCGGGCAAGCAGTTCTTTGCTGGTGTAATTACTATTTGTCTTGTGAACATTATTATTATTATTAAAAGGCAAAACTCACTATTACGTCTTTAGACAGTCAAAACACCACGAACCCACGACAAGGGTCTCTAAAAATCACCTACACTAAGGTGAAATCTTTTTGGCAAGTGACACCTCTATACACCATCCCGTTCGATGAAGATGGCTGGATACAGGATAATATTTTATCTATTTATTTGTTTGTATTTTTGCGCCCAAAAACCTCGATTTTGTCTCAAGAAAAAAAAAATAAAATAAAAAACGCACAACTTGGCTGATATTCAGCCACATTGACCTAACGGTTAGTCAATAACGCCTATGTATAGCAAAAGTGGCCTTTAGAAACGAGCGGCACACAGACCACACAGAGCCCTTGAAAAGTGAAACCTAAGGGGACCTCAAAGCCGGTTTAAGTTTCCTTCCGTCAACATGTCATTTTGAAACGTGGCCAAAAAATTGAAACCAGAGGGGCAACACCGAATGTTGCAAAATAACAAAGTTAACATTACCGCATCATTTTTTTAAAGGGCAATCGACCTCATCAACAGAACTCTTCAAAGTAACGCTACTGAGGACTTCAACATCATTTAACCCTTCCTCTTAAAACCGCTAATCCTTTTTCCGATGCGTGTTATGACAGCCTATGGCTATGAATCAGTCTAGTGCTAATCTTGGTGCGCGACAAAGACTCATGAAGTTTTAAGCTTCTTTAACTGGATGTCTTGTCTCTGCTTAATTATTACTCTCTGAATTTAAGTCGATGCAACTCTAGTTGTAGTAGTTAGGTTCTGAAAATAGAAGACTGAATCAACATTGACAAAATTATCGCCAACTTTCTGTTTCTGTTGGAGATCGATGGAGACTTTGGAATGCGTTAGCTATAATATCTCAATGAGACACACACCAAACTAGGCAAGAGTGTTTACATCGCTAATGACCAATTAAAAATATATCTATGGACCAGGTAGGCTTCAAAGAGAATTAACCAGAAGCGAGACGCGAACAGTTGCAGAAGATTCATTGTGAGAACTGCTGTATGAGTTTCTAAATGACGGACAGTGGGTCTATCGCAAAGCACTTCAAAGTCAATTTGGAGTCGGATATTCCACAATAAAAAATGCAAACATCGCGTCTGCTATTTTCCTCTTACCAGCCGTTCTGCGGTTAACCGAAAAAAGTCATGCGCCCACAATAAAAATTCGCAGCACGCTTCCTGATTCGTAAAACTGTTATTGTTTTGTGGGGGAGGGGGGAGGGAGGAGGGAGGGGAGAAATTCAAGCTGGCCATAGACCAGAGTAAAATTTCGTTTATCGATAATGCACGAAATGAAGATAACCACGCAGATGAAGTAGGCGAGAGAGCGCTCGAAATGTATTTCGAAGTTTCCGAAAGCCGGTTTTTGCAACCACTTCAATCGAACTAATTTTCAACAATCGAACGAGTCGAATGTCAACGAATGTCCAGCGAAATCTTTTTGAAAGAGGGCCGGTCAGAGGAAAACATGGAGCCGCAAGCATTTCGCATGGCGGATTAAAGAGGAAAGAGAAGAGATGAAGGAAATGGAAAGAGAAAGCGTAGAATTAAGTTGGAGACAGTTTTATTTCATCCATTGATGTCCCACCATTCCCCGCCTACCTTCCAAGTGTTTTTTTGTACCTGTACAATTGATTCCGTTGCCTCGAAAGCCATCTTTACAAGTGCAGTTGTAGGAGCCATCCGTGTTATTGCACAGAGCGTTCTTGTCACATGCTGTAGGGTCTCGCTCACACTCATTAATATCTGTAATCATCAAAAGTAAACACAGTCATTATCAGGGTCTTTTCAAAACAGATAAACCATTTGACCTTGCAATGTTTGAATCAACGTAAACTAATTGTATAATCATTAATTAATTTATTAATGGTGGGCCGATAGCCCGTTTAAGATCAAGTGCCTATTTCAGGCGTTCAGATCGGAATCAGTAAAGAAATAACCGGTGAGCCGCCGCGAAATATATGGTAAATGGCCTTTATCCTTTTTTCTTCCAACGTTTTCCTCGCTCCGCCGTATTACTTCGGCGCTGCATACTTACTGTGCGTCAAGAACAAGCTAGTTAATAAAGCCGAGAAAAGGACCTTGTGCGACCTTCCATTCAATTAAGCTTGTGGCAAGGCGTCAGTTTGCATGAGATTTTCCAGTTACGACCACTCTGTCGCTTATTGAATTCTAAGTGTTCGAAATTTGTATCTTTTATGAGTAGGGTTATCGTCTGTTTCGCGGAGGAATTAAAAAAACCAACGAGTATAGGAACGCTAAAGGGTAGATTTTGTACACAACGTGACATCAAGCAAGACCACCGCGTCCCAATTAAGATCATGTTGAAGTTGTCAATTTATCTTCAATCGACGATAGTTTTATAGTTACCTTTACAACTTGTTCCATTGCCTGTAAAACCAGCCTTACAAGCGCAGGTAAAGGAGCCCTCGGTGTTTCGACAATCAGCATTGACATCACACTCAGTCAAATCCGCAACACATTCATCAATATCTAGATCGAACGAAATGGTTAGCTTTACAATGACGGTGGGAAACCGGAATCGCTGGAATCTCTGCTTATTCCCAAGTGACAGACAAGTGATGAAAAACTATTGTCGTCACTTGAAAATTTTCATCCGGCGCCGGAGTGCAAATCGTTCTTCACCTCCTGGTTTGGAATTCCTTGTTTCTAGGGGGGGCAGAGGGATTTTAAGATAAGGAAAATCTTGTACAGAGATGGTCGAGAGAGTTAAAGATGAAGTAACACGAACTGGAAAGGATTTGAAAAATGCGCGCTATTTTAATTTGAAGATACACAGACCATGTCTAGACCGTTAGCTTTTCGTGGTTTAACCGCTATTAAAACAAACAAAAAAATTTTTGCATGAAAGATTAGCCTTAAAGAATTGCCCTAATTCATAACTATATCTTGCTTTGCCTTAATGCCAGGTAACATAATGTTTGTTTAAGAGTTAACCCGTTTAAAACATTTATTCATGGATCTTGTTTTCTTTGCCTTCCCTGCAGATCAGTAATGGGACTTCCAAATAAAGACGACGAGCTCACAACTTCTATGACGCCCCTAAATGTCCTAAGACGATCGATCATTCCATCGTTTCTCCCGCGTGTAATTCCTATCGTCAAGCATTGTTTGTGTAACGGGCTGTTCCGCTCTCATGTTCATCAAACACCCAAAACCGCCGATTACGAAGAATACAACATACTAACCTGTGCAAAATGTGTTATTTCCAGTAAACCCTGCTTTGCACGTGCAGTTGTACGAGCCTTCTGTGTTCACGCACTCTGCTTTGCTATGGCAGTCGGCTGTTTCAGCCTCGCATTCGTTGATATCTAATATGACATGGAAAAAAAACTCAAATTGAAAGTTCATTTTCCATACTTGATAGCACGCAGTCATGCGACTGGTCAGTGCGTCAGTCATTCCAGTACAGTCCAGTCCAATCCAGTTCAGTCAGTGGGTTAGTTCTTCCTTCAGCCAATCCGTCAGTCAATTAGCCAGTCAGCTAGTCAGCGATTCAGTGAGTCAGGGTCTGGAAGTTCGTCCGACTTGATTACCTACGTATATTCCGTACGTATATTCCGTGCTTGGAGGAGTTGAATTAGAAACCAAACAGCCATTTAAAATGTTAAACTTTCCCATACCTAGGCAAACATCTCCCAAGCGTGCGAATCCAGACTTGCAAGTACACTGGTATTTGCCATCTACTTCTAAACATTCCTCGTTGCCAGCGCATGGCCTGTCACAAACACCCACAGCTAAAAAGAAAAGCAATGATAACAGTAGGTACTTGACTTGTACAGAATTGCGATATGAACTGGACAATGGTTTGCTTCATAAAACAACTAATGATCGATTGCTTTAAGCGCCTGTTTCCATTTTCCGCTGTTCCGTCATCTCTCCTCTCCGCAGAAAAGACAACCCTTGCTTTTCACTGCTTTCTTCACTTAAGCACACAGGATATTTTCAGTTATATTTATGAATAAATCGTCCATGCAAACGAATACTTTTATCAATTTCCAGATAAATATAATTTTTAACAATTCAAAAAAATTCAGGATTGATTATGGTTATTACGCTCGACTCCGGATCGAGTGGTCCGGGTTCGAGCCCTGGCCGAGGTCATTGTAATGTGTTCTTAGGCAAGACACTTTACTCTCACAGTGCTTCTCTTCACCCAGGTGTACAAATGGGTACCAGCAAATATGCTGGGGTAACCCTGCGATGGACTAGCATCCCATCCAGGGGGGAGTAGCAATACTCCTCGCCGCTTCGTGCTAAGGAAACCGGAGTTAAGCGCCGGCCCCATGGACCACTTGGACCTGTATAAAGGCTTTACTTTTTTAACAATTCAGAAGAAGGATGTTTCTCGGTCATATCAACACATTTCTTTCTCAAATATGTATTTATGTATACAACACTAAAAGCTGATTCTAACTCCACTATAACAACAGAACAAACCGATGCACGTCGTTCCATTTCCAGTATAACCAGGATTGCAAGTGCAGTTAAACGAGCCGTCAGTGTTGGTGCAGTATGCATTGGAGTCACAGTCGGAAAGTCCCTCAGAACATTCGTCCAAATCTGTCGAAAAGCGGGACAAGTTTGCATTAAGAACTGTAAATACGATCTGCACTGGTTGAGAGACCTATCCATCTACTCCTAACTTTTGATACACCGTTAGTTAACAGCGAAAATTTAGGAGACAGACCCATGCAATAAATCCTTAACTGCACCAAATAACCATGAAAATGACACGAAAAGAACGGAATAAAAATGTGCCGATGTACTTTTTAGTTACTCAGCTTGAATCAGGACTAACTTAAAACCAATTTCAAAAGTTCGATTTCTCATGTTTTAATCGTCATTATAATGATCACATAAAGATAAAAAGAATATCACCATTAACAACGAATACAAATACAATCGCATTGTCGCACAGACGCTCGAAAATTCTTGTCGTTTATTGTTCTCGTAAACGTCACCTGAGTCTCGCTCACATTTCTTAACACTTGGCGAGGTTTCGTAACGAAATGATAAGTTGTTTGTGACAAACCTGTGCAGTCTCCTGCCTCATTCCTTCGGTATCCCTCGTTACATCTGCAGCTGTACGATCCCTCAGTGTTCACGCAGTCCGTGTTGACGGGACAATTAGCTGTGCCATCCTTACACTCATCGACATCTGAAGGAAAAACAAGACGATCAAATAGATATGGTGTAACAAAATATAACATGAAAAGAAATACAGTTTGAATAATACAAGTACTCTTCTACTGAATGAAAAAACCATGCTCATTTTTTATGTCATAAATGACCTAAAGATCAGCCTGATTCAGTTTTAGAGGAAAGTTAACCCTTTGGCCCCTAAGAGTGACTAGCCCGTAATTTCTCCTTACAATATCACCCCTGAATCACACATAAAGGTAACGAGAAAAAAGGAAATGATCAGCAATTGAAGCAGCCCTTTATTATTAAACAAATTATTCTTGTCAGCCTCTTAGAAATGTACGGAGGGTAGTATGGAGAATGAGTTTACTAATGTTAGGGTATAAAGGGTTAAACTCATTACTCTGAGCGGTGATTAACCTAGCACTCGAAAGAGCTATTAACCTCTACTTACGGAAGTAAGCAAACAGCTATTTTTCGCCCTGTCCTGTGCCTTCAAAACTAACCTCTACAAGTCCTTCCATCTCCCTCATATCCTCTTATACATCTACACACGTACAATCCAATCGTGTTGGAACAGAGGGCGTTTACGTGACAGGTCGCTTCTCCTGTGATACATTCGTCAACATCTGTGACGTAAAAAAAATGGACTCATTAGTGATGGATTTGCCAGCGACACTCCCTTAAAATGGTTTCACTATTGACAAAACTGAAAAAAGGGTATCAAAAGAATTTTCAAGGTTTCCAAGAGTAATTATAGCAAATAGATAGGTATGTCAGAGCCAAAAATATTCAATCGCCGGCCACATTAAAGATAGCTTCACGGGGGCCTCAGTGGAAATTGAAAAACAAAAGCAAATGGCATACAACTAAGGTAATGTCTGGTTTTAAGTATTTTGGGAGCGTTTCATTGTAATTAGTTCCAGTAAAGATAAAAGCCAAAAGATTACCTTGACAATTGCCGGCCACTCCAGTGTACCCTGAGGCGCAGTTGCACGAGTATGACCCAATCGTGTTTACACACTCCTCACCAACACCGCATGTGTCGCTCGTGTCTTTACATTCATCGCGATCTGATGGAAATCAAACGTTCATCTGTCTTGTTTACGATAAATGCAGTGAAATAAATTGTAGCAACGCACATAATGGTATTATCGTTTTTATTTTCTTTTAAGTTAAGGTTTAGTTAACTACATTACCTATGCACGTAAGGCCATCACCGTCAAAACCCCGGATGCAACGACACACGTAACTTCCCAAGGTGTTCGAGCACTTTGCGTTAGCATGGCAGACGTTTTCTCCACTTTCGCATTCTTCGACATCTATTTAAAAAAAAAACAATAATCGGCATCCCATTAAAAATTATTTAGAAGCTTGGGTAAATAACGGAAACGTTTTTAGACGCCAGCCGGTGGCTCTTGCTCATCCCGATTCCCGTTAAATGAAGTAACTTAGAGTAACGCTGCTCCTTCTGAACAAGAAAATCGCCAGTTACATTACCCCGCTATTATGACGGTCAGAGTGCTAGACTCCGGGTCGAGAGGTCCGAGTCAAGACCAGGCCGGGTCACTGTGTTGTGGTATTTGGTAAGACACTTTATTGTCACAGAGCCTCTCTCTACCCAGGAGAGGATACGGGCGAAATGTCAGGGAAGCCTAATGAAATAGGGGGGTAACCTTTAGATGGACTGGCATCCGTCGAGGGGAAGTTGCTTCATGCTAAGAAAACCGGGGTAAGCTCAGCCTGGACAGGCTTCTTGGCTCTAGTGCCGAGTTTTTTTTACTTTCATTACTCCGGCATGGTATTTCATCAGGTTTCTCGGACAGTTCTTCGGAACTCATTCATATGTGTGTGTAAAGAGGCACCGTGACAGTATAAGACTCCATCCAGGGTTGCTAAACAGATTAAGGGCTAACCAATAAATGCATCTTCCTACCTGTACAGTTCTTTCCATCTCCTTCAAATCCTCTCACACAATTACAGATATAGGATCCTTCAGTGTTGTTACACACAGCGTTGGGCGAGCATTCGTTTAGCTCGCTACTATCGCATTCATCAACATCTACAAGTTTAGAATTCAATTCATTGTATAAGTAGTGACTTCAAGGAAAGCATGACGTATAAAAGCTTAAAGGATTCGGAAAATTAGAAATAGAAAATTCATTCAACTCTTTATCTGGTTTACGCATACTAACCTAAGCATTGGTACCCGTCTCCTTGGAAACCAGTTTTACAAACACACTCAGGTCGCTCATCTTGATTCTGGCAATTCGCGTTAGGACCGCAGGATGGGGAGCAGCCTGAGACGATAGCTAAGGGAGTACAGAGAATGAGTTTAGAAATATGCTGATAAAACTACTGGATTGACTATAGAACATTTTATCATATGGACTAGAGCGTTTTACCAGGAACTAAAACAATCGTAGAAAAATCACGACTATCCGGGAACCGAGTGACGTATTTTTTTTGCATGTAACACGGTCATATTGAGCAACGATGTCACGATTTCCTCAAATGTTTCTGAATGAACTTGGTTTGTTCGATGTTTGGAATAATGGCCGCCTTACATCTGCTCACCAATTTGTAATATCTTTTATTTACCTGTGCAGTTTCTTCCATCGCCTTGGAATCCACTGAGACAGCGACAGACATACGACCCGTTAGTATTGGTGCACTCAGCGTTGGGATCACACTGGTTTGCTTCGGAGTTTGCGCATTCGTCGATGTCTATGATAATTAAAGTGTTGTTGCTCTCAGAATCAATTCTTGGACATAGGACCAGAGTCTCCAAGATCAAAGTAAGTAGCGTTTCTGACCTCATGCAGTGTAAACGAAACGCAAAACAAACCTGAGCAGTTTTTCCCATCTCCCTGATATCCATCTTGACAGCGGCAGCGATATGATCCTTCGCTGTTGGTGCAAACCGCATTTGAGTCACACTGATTCGTCTGGGGAGTTGTACATTCGTTGATATCTGCGTTGGATTTCAATTATTACGAATAAAGGATTAATAGTCCAAAGGTTTAACTATGAAATAAGGTTCATGAAATATGTCTATTACTGAGCTCAAAATATTTACGGGGACTTTTTTTTGTTAACCACGTCCGAATTGACCATCTCCTACACGGCACCAGATGACATGGACACGCAGATTGAAAAATATTGCTAGACTGTAAAAGTAATTAAGAGCAAAAAAAAATGACACACACACACACACACACAAAAGAAAACAACCACAACAACAACAAAAAAAGCTTAAACAGTTACCTTGACAACTCCCTGCCTCCCCTCTGTATCCAGGGGCGCAACTGCACGTATAATTACCAACCGTATTGACACACACTTCATTAGCTGCACAGGTGTCATTCTTGGCACATTCGTCAAGGTCTGTAAGGTACAGCACAAGCATAAAAATGAAACTGAAATTGTATATGGTTAAAATTAAATAAATAAACAAGGAGAAAAGCGTAGCCTTGACCTAGCTCCCCTCTCCAATCACCATCAAAACCCCGGATGCAATGGTACATATATCTTTCCCGCGTGTTGGATCACAGCGCATTGAATTTGCGCAAGATTTTCCATTTTCACATTTTTCGAGTCTACAGTTAGACGCAGGACAAAGTTGGAGAAAGACAAACCAGCGTGTGCACAACTTTTTTGACCTGAAATTGCAGTAGATTATAATAAATGAGGCTCGGCGGTGGAGAACACTTTAACAAATGTAAATATCCGGTGGGAAATCGCAACCTGCGCAAGTCCTTCCATCTCCTTTATACCCTCTTACACAGCGACAAACCTTTCCACACTAACTCTCACACAACCTCGCATTCAATTATCTCTTATCTTATTTCTTTCTGTTTTATTCTTGAAGTGTTCATCTCATTTTCTTGTGTTGGCAATTCAAGCTTTTCGACTGTTTAATGAAATACAAGGAAACCTTTCAGTCGACTGCACTTAGAGAACAAGAACGCGTTCGCAACTGAAGGTAAGTAAAAATGACTAACTTATGATTGATGTCAATGAATGAAATGGAAACATACAAAATCGCCTTTACCTGTGCAGGTGGCTCCGTCACCCTGATATCCATCTCGACAGCGGTATAAGACCCTTCACTGTTGGTACACCGAGCGTTCGGATCACACTCGTTTGTTTCTGAACTTGTACATAAAAGAAGTAAACATTCATGAGAAAATCCCTACCTGTACAATTCTTTCCATCTCCCGTGTATCCTTTGAGACAGCGACAAATATAGGATCCTTCAGTATTGTTGCATAGAGCGGTAGGAGCACACTCGTTGGCTTCGAGTTTTTCGCATTCATCAATATCTGCGTGTAAATAAAGGTTGATAGAAGATCCTTAGAGGAATCCCTGCGATTTTACATTTCTTTTCATCCTCACAAGAAAATTTCTGTGAAGAGGATGGGATGAATTGAAAGAGGAAAATACAGCAACGTGTTTCAAAAGTGTTCAGGGAATCTTTACCTGTGCAACTTTTCCCGTCGCCTATGTATCCTTCCCTGCAGCCACAGGTGTAAGATCCCCTGTTGTTGGTGCACAGTGCGTTAGGAGCGCATTGGTTTGTTCCAGGGTTGGAACATTCGTCGATATCTGCAGTCAAGGATCGACATTACAAAAGCAGAAAAGCCAAGAACTCGTTAAAAATGAGAGAAAACCTCAATACTCTTGTGTCGTATTTCAATGAAATTCCAAAATGTGGCTCAAATTGTAAGAGAGTATTTTTCTAAGGAGAAATATTTACCTGTACAGTTTCTACCATCGCCTTTATATCCACTGGCACACAGACAGACGTAGGAGCCGTCCGTGTTGTTGCACACAGCATTGGGACCACAATCATTTGTTTCAGAGGTTGCACACTCGTCAATGTCTGTGTTTACGATAAAAAAGTCGATGAGATGACTTATTTTTCCCCTAATTTGATTGGAAATCATCATAACATGGAATTCAACTGTGTCACTACACCAAATAATTGACAACGTTAGCCATTGTTCATTTAACAATGCCCTGTTTCTTTTTCACTCAAAGTTGTACCACGCACTAGAATCTGAATGTAAGGTTATGTAAGCGTGAACGACAGCCTCAGTGGTCTAGCAATGGGTGTACTTTGGCACACGCAGTATACTTTGTATGCAGAAAAGCACTCCATTGCCTGTCACTTTGACATGCTCAATAATATAAACTCTCATCGCGCATCCTAGTTCTAGGTTCCCAGAATCATCACTCAAGTGGATGGTCACGTGTAGATAGTTTAAAATGTACATAAAAAAAGTGATGGCGACGAATTTCAATGTGTATTTCGGTTAACTGCATTTAGAGAACAAGAACGTGTCCCTAAGAATGTGAGTGGAGAAGACTGACTCATGACTACATTCGTTGATGTCTAATAAGGGGAAATCCATACTGAGCCAATGCTTTACTAAATAGCAGATGAGTCAGTTGTTTCGATGAAAATAACGTAAAATGTTGCGTGGAAGAGATTGATTGTTTAACTACACAAGAGGGCGAGAGTCCTGCGCCCTTAAAAAAAAGCGCACCACCAAACCTTGGCAATTCCCTGCCACTCCACTGTATCCGGGGTTACAATTACACGTATGGCAGAACAGATACCTAGAGTAACTTAATATGATTATATGAGTAATAAACGTTTATTATCTCTTGGTTCTCACGGATTTTGTGCGTCCAAAAGGAAAGGTTGAGAAAAAAATACCTTTACATGTATGACCATCACCAAAAAATCCCTGAATGCATCGACAAACATAACTTCCTGGAGTGTTAGTGCATTTTGAATTCTTGTGACAAGAGTTTGGCCCATTACCACATTCATTGATATCTAGAACATGCATGGAGAAATTTCCAATAAATGATCTACCTTAAACCTGTGAATAACATCCACACGCATTTAAGTAGTACATTAAATGTTCGATATACAGCGGGGACCATAGTGTTGCTATCCGATTGCTCTAAGAGTTCGTCGATGCCTAGACAAACCTCAATATGGAATTATTGTGATTTCAATCGCAGACGAAATTCATGATAGAATTAAAAAAAACTCCTACAAGACATGTTTTAAAAGAGTACTTCAAACCTGTTTGTGTAGTTATGGGGCGAAACAAGAAAACCTTTGGTTAACTAAGCTCTCTAGTTCACAGTTTAAAATGGCGATTTTACATTAGTAAAACACTTTAATCAATCGACATTACTGTAAGAATTTGCAAAGAATTTTTGAATTATTTTATTTAATAGATTGATGTTGAGTGAATAAACTTAGTTGTTGTAGTTGTTGTTGTTCGAGTTTCATGAAGACCGCCAAGATACACTAACCTGCACATACATATCCATCACCCTCGAATCCTGGATTGCATTCGCACATAGGACGCGCACCAGTTTCCAGGCAGCTCGCATTTGCTCCACAAGCTGGTACACAGCCAGTGACGACAGCTGTAATATTCAGACAATCAAGACTCAGTGATAACCCATACTTGACCACGACAATGACAATTTCGAAAGCAAATTCTACCTGTACAATTCCTTCCATCCCCCTGGTATCCAGTTTTACAACCACAGAAGTAGGATCCATCGGTATTGTTGCAAACAGCATTTGTATGACAATCGTTTGTCTCATCAATGGCACACTCATCGATATCTGAAAAGAAAGAGTTTGAGGGTAATGGCCATTTGCCCACCTTCGGCCCTGATATGTGTTGATCATAATGGTTGAGATTGAAATGGAGTTACAATGGAATAATTCATGTTTGACCAAGGCGGGGTAACTAAAGAGTTTTAAGAGAACTGGTTTAGAAATATGGGAGTCCTCGTTCAAAAGCGAAATTCTACTCCCCGACTGAATTTGTTCCTCGGTATTCCTAGTTGAAATTCTCTACTGTCTCTCTATATATCGAGCCGGCTTGTCTCCTACAAAATTAAACTTTTCCTCAATAATTGGAGAACATTTTACCCTTTTTTCACTATTAGAATATTATGCATTGTCCCCTGCAGTAAATATACCAACTATAAAATAAAGATGTTTTGCTTGAAACCTCTTTACTATCCAAGTCAATTATTATTCACTCTGTGTCTATGCCACTGATTGCATGTTTCCATATCCTGTGTAGGACTCTTGCATTAGGATTTTATTATTTTTTTCATGGCTGTGAAGTCTGTACCTGTGCAGTTTCTTCCATTGCCCCGATAGCCACTAAGACAGCGACAGACGTACGACCCGTCAGTGTTGTTACACAGCGCTTTGGGATCACATTCGCTGGTTTTAAGGTTTGCACACTCGTCAACATCTGCAATTGGAAGAAAATATATGGTTTAACTCTTACTTTAGGGACGGAGCTACTGAGACATTGGTACTCTCCATGTCTCACTAGTCCTGCTTAGGTGCATACAACTTCTCAGACGGTAACTGCACCCGTAGGAAGATGTTACTTATGATAAACGAAAGAGTTAATTTTTCCTTACAACTGGCGGAAACAGTTAACAGTTAACAAACGATACATCCAATTCTGTAAAGTACCAATCATTTTTAATCCGTGAATATAACAATCGCAGGGGACTAATTACCTTGACATTTTCGTGCCTCTCCAGCATACCCAGGGGCACAACTGCAGGAGTAAGAACCAATTGTGTTCACACATTTCTCATTGGCGTCACATGCATCCTTATCCGCGCATTCATCAAGATCTTTGAAAGGAGCAAAAGAGAGAAAAAATTAAGGAAGGATAGAAGGGAACCATTAAAAGCATGTGTTTTTCATTTCACTCTCCCATAAGATGTGTGCAAACAGCTGTTTCGAGAAAGGAAAGATCTCAAAAGGTAATTTGGGTATCTGGTAATCACTGGATGTTAATAAGTGAAACAAATAGATTAATTTTAAAACCTACTATGCTTAGTCCTTACAGTGACGTTTTCTCAGATTTCTAAGAAATCTTGAGGTCAAGGAATAGTGACTTGAAGAATACCCACAATGCCTTACGAGGTTGCCATGTGTACTCAGTTTACGTTTTTTTTCCGACAACCTTCGTAACACAGTTGAGTAATTAACCATCAATGAATCCATTTTAGATAATGAAATTAAATCTATTTGTATTACCTCGGCAAGTCTCACCAGCACCATCAAAACCTTGTTTGCATTTGCACACATAACTTCCCGGGGTGTTGGAGCAATTCGCATTAACATCGCAAGAGTTTTCACCATTTTCGCATTCGTCGACGTCTATGCCAAAAGAACAAACAACCATTTGAAATTATCACCCGCTTTCCTTTTTTCAGCGATAACAACACTTTTGCTAAAGTTTGCTCTGGAAATAATTAACCAGGATAAGTGACTGGCGGGCTTTTTTTTCTCCTTATAGGAATAAAATTATTCTACTAGTGTTTATGGGTTTACAGTTAAGGTGCTCGGTGAGAAGTTTATCGCTGAACACACTAGTAAGTCGAAAAGTGTGCTATTTATTTTCGCTCCTTGGAGCTATCAATTGTCGCTTTGATTTTCCAACAAGGATTCGTACATCCCATGCAATTTACTCCCTGCCATCAATATCGATCCTCTTAAATTAACGAGGAAAGTTATTAATTTCTTCATTGAAAAGGTTATGCTGCATCGATGAGGTGAAGTTTAAAAGGTTAACTTAAACACAATGGTAAATTTCTTAAAGGTGGTTACGTCTCGAACTTAAGCCCTTGGTCGCTCTTAGGCGCTCACGCTAGACATGTGATAAACCCCCATCATCCTAACTTCATACATAGGTGAGTCAATCCTTTTAGTTAGCCGTCAATAAAAAGCATGAGGGCAGGAGACTTGCCATTGCAGCTTCTACCATCTCCCTGATATCCACTACGACAGCTACAAAGGTAGGATCCATCGGTGTTGTTGCATAGGGCATTGGAATCACAGTCATTCATTTCAAGGCTTGAACACTCATTTACATCTGAAAAATAGTTCGAAGCAAATCTTTGATATTACGATCCTTCTATTGGATCCAGCTGTAAAGAGGTTATCAGTATGGACGGCACAAGAGTATTCACACACAAAATGGTTTAAAGACAAGCAGGGATATCTAACACTTTCTTAAGAATGATCGCTGAATCATACACTCAGTGGTTCACGAACATGAAAAACTGAAGAGCAGACTACGAAGAAGGAAAGCCAGACAAAAATGATCGCGTTCTGAGATTTGTCAAGCTACTCTCCTTTTGCAAATGTGAAAGATGTAAATATTGTAAATTTATAGTCAAATTACAACTTTCTTTTACCTTGACAATTACCAGCCTCTCCTGTATACCCTGAGGAACAGTTACAGGAGTACGATCCAATCGTATTCACACAGTCTTCATTAGCTGCGCATGTGTCGTTTTTCTCCACACACTCGTCACGATCTGTAAAAACATGACGAACGCAAACAGTCGGATGTCGACAATTGGATGGAAGTGGCCAAAATGAAAGATTTAATTTACCCTTTAGACCCTAATGTCATTATGCATATTCTCCATACTGTTCTTTATACATTTCCTAAGGTGCTGACAAGGAGATTTAGTTTACTGATCAAAAGCTTCTTTTGTTGGTGATCATTTCCTTTATTCTCATGACCTTAATGTGTGATTCAGGGGATGCTGGTCAATCTTAGAGTTTACAAATAGATTACATGTTACCGTGCGTCTGTTCAGTATGAGATCATGGATGACGTCAGAATGTGGTACGAACAAAAAAAATGGCGTACGAGGCGCAGTCGTCTGTGATCTATTACTGTGCAAACCTAAGGTAACATTTATTTGACGTCATCAATGCGTCTGTCCTCCAATAGATCACAGGTAAGAACCAATCAAAATGCAAGTGTAATTCAGCTTATCATATACATAAAGATACACCGCGGTAATAATAACTAGAATCGAAAGAAAATCACAGGAAATTATCATAAAGCCACCAAACAACCAACAAACATGCGCGACAGTGAAACGTTTACCTGTGCAACTTCTACCGTCGCCTTGATATCCATCGAGACAACGACACACAAAAGACCCATCAGTGTTGTTACATACCGCATTGGTGTGGCACTCGTTTGTTTCGGAGCTCGCGCATTCATTAATATCTGTAATGAAAGACAAGTAGTGAAAACTACAAATGAAGAAGTACATGAACAATGTAACACTACATATTTGTAGATGACATTTTCTCTCTTTTTTGATGTGTGTCGCTATTTTTCAAAATATCTGGATCGTCAGAAAAAGCAACAAAATATCTACGTAGAAATGTTCATGCAGCAAGGATGCAAGTGATAACCAACACGGTTGGGTCCTGACGACTACCCATAGCGCATAGTGATCTGGTTCTGTTTTAATGGCCTAAACACACAAACCCTATTATTCAGGAGGCAAAAAGGGCAAATCCCAAGAATTTCCATAGTATTCATTCACGGTGCTCATACAAGCGTGGATGTTGACATGGAAGTCAGCTAGGTACCCTAGATTTGACACTAGGTGAACCCTCCCCGTTGAAATATCTTTGCCACATCTCTGATAAGGACGATTACCATTACCATAATAACGCTTACAATTTCATCACATGAAAACAAAATAACAAGAAAATAAGAAGCATAGATGGTGCTATAGAGGAATCCTGTACCTGAACAATTTTTACCATCACCCTGATATCCGTTGAGACAACGACAATTATATGAACCTTCTGTGTTTGTACACTGGGCTTTGCTGTCACACTCATTTGTTCCTGCACTTCCACATTCGTTTACATCTGTTATTGGGAGCAAAGACAAGGAGTTAAATAGCGACACCGGCACAGTTACTGGGCATCGGTAGTTAATAAGAAAAGATAAGCTGTCAGGTGTACACTGCATTTTTGCGATCTTCATCGGAAAATGCGGCAATCAATGAGTTTAAAATTCTTTTCGCTTGCACTCGCTTTATGGCGTCAGTCTTACAATGAGGCACTTTCTCCCTTCAAATTTGACTTATAAGTTTGCAAATTTTCCAAAATGTTGGTAGTAAGAGTACTCTTGGCCAAACGCATATTTAAATTCTTAGAAGAACGCGACGAAATATAAGATTTCTAAATTAATAACAAAACCATTAAAAACTAGAATAATCCGTCAGCATTTACACAGAGAGCATTGGAATCGCAATCGTTTCTGTCTGAACTTTGGCATTCATCAATTTCTAGAAGCAAGAGATTAAGCTGTTACGAGAGCAAAATGGTTACTTGAATGCTGTCTGCCTCGCACAGTATCAGTGTTTTTAAAGAGATTTTCATATGGGCATAATATATATTTGATTCTGATAGCAAGCTAGTTATCTTGACAATTCCTTGCCTTTCCAGTGTACGGAGGGGCGCTGTTACACGAATACGATCCAATCGTGTTGACGCACACCTCATTAGCAGTGCTTATTCGTCAAGATCTATTCAAAAATATTTATTCATAACTTAGGGACGGGGTCGCTTAGAGTAATTTTCAAATTGTGTACTTACCCTTACGGCTTAAACCCGGCCATTTTTAACGAAATAAATATTGGCATACCTTCACAAGTTCTGCCATCGCCACTAAAGCCTGGCTTGCACTGACAGACATAACTTCCCAGGGTGTTGGTACACGAGGCATTAACATGACAAAGGTTCTTTCCTTGTTCACATTCGTTTACATCTGTAAAAAAAAAAGACATCCATTTATGATCTTATAACTTCCTGGTACAAACTGCGTTATGGCTTAAACACAGCCATTTTTAACGAAATAAATGTTGGCATACCTTCACAAGTTCTGCCATCGCCACTAAAACCTGGCTTGCACTGACAGACATAACTTCCCAGGGTGTTGGTACATAGGGCATTAATATGACAAAGGTTCTTTCCTTGTTCACATTCGTCAACATCTGTAAAAAAAAAAAAAAGACATCCATTTATGATCTTATAACTTCCTAATACAAACTGCGTTATGATGAAGGTCCTCTCTCAATTATGCGTCGATCAATTGGAAGCTTCAACCCCACACCCACCCCCCCCCCCCCCCCCCCGCCACGAGCAAAAATTGCGTTCAAATGCCCCACTCAAGCACAATTCATTATTGAACAGTTCTTCGTGCGATCAACGAATGTTTTAGAATTTAGCAAAGTCACGTATTAGTTTTCGGTTCTCCCAACCTCAGCAACACGGACGATAGTCAAATGCCCGTGGGTTGTCCAGGAAGAATTAAATTGATCAGCGCATTAGGAAGTATGGTGAGGGTACAAAACGATGACTAAATTGCTTGCCAACAAATTACAATTCACTTTACCATGAGTGAACGAAAAAGACCCTCCAATTACTCAGAGAAGACTCACTGATAAATAAAATACGTTGGAATTATCACAATAAAATTAACAAACCTATGATCAAAGAGAACACTAAATACAAAAAAATATATATATACAAATTAAACCTGTGCAATTGTCGCCATTCCCAGTGTATCCACTTGAACATGAACAATAAGGAAAGAAATCATCCTCGACGCAGTAAGAATTGTTGCCGCATTTCGGATCACAGCCTTGAACTACGGCAGAAAATAACCAAATAATCGGAATCATAGCATAACAATTGTAGTACGGGAGAAAAAGGCTCACCTGAGTTTGAGGTGTGGTGAGACAGTTTCTTTTACTATGATATTTTAAGTTTAATCACCTTTACAACGTCTGCCGTCCCCAATGTATCCAGTGAGGCAGCGACAAATGTAGGATCCTTCAGTGTTAGTACACAATGCATTGGGATCGCATTCGTTGGTATCGTTTCTGGCACACTCGTCAATATCTACATACATCAAAATACAGAAAACTGTAAGACTGGTTTTAAATTGACAACACTTCTTGGCTAAATCCTTGTTCTTTACTTGTGATTATCATAATTGTAGCAGTAATGAGACATTTTTTATAGTTCCTACAGGTTGTATGTCCTCAATATTAATGCTCGGCACATTTCAAGGAAGAAAATCACTGATAGAATAATGCTTTCATCAAAGAGTAGACTATCACCTCTTCTAGTGAATACAGGGGTAGGTTTCTAAGGAAACAGTGGTGCTGCGTCGATGGGGGAGTATAAGAGTACAAGATAATTTTAGTTTTATTAAACGAGTTGATAATGTAAATTTGCCACCATAATGAGTTTCAAAGCTGACGTTTCGTTATCTTATCACCTGTACAGTTCACTCCGTCTCCTTGGTAACCAGCTTTACAGTGGCAAGAGTATGATCCGTTCGTGTTGGTGCATAGGGCATTAGCTCCACAGTTATTTGACTCAGCATTTACACATTCATCAATATCTGCGTTTCAAATATAATCAGAAACTTTAACAATGACTGATGGGGTGAGTAATGGTTATTTGGTGATTTGTTCCGGAATTAGAGCAGTTTTCAAATAAGTTTCAAAAACCACAACCAAAACCAAAGAAATCACAATAGCCAATCAGAACGGAGGTCGACATCGGCGTTAGCCAATGAGAATTCAAAGTAAAAACAGGCAAAGAGCATGAAACGCGGGAAAACGCGGGTGGCCAAATCGTAATTGTTTTTTTAGTTTTGAATCTGATTGGATGAGAAGTTGGCGCGAGTTTTTTGGACCAATCACAAAACGAAGTTAAGCAAATTTAAAGGGTTCATAGATTACTTTCGACACATATTTGAAAACTGCTTAATACCCCAAATAGAAAGTTCTGGGTTCAAGCTCCTTCATGAGCTATATATTTCTGGGGCACGCCACTTAACTTTCATCGTACTTGTCTCCAATGAATATTCATAGGTACCCAGCAAGCGGTCAAAAAACTTAACAAAATTTTGGTAGGTCATGCGACATAAACTAGTATCCCTCTTAGGAGAAGTACATTGTCATACCCCTAATTGGCTCATACTGTGGAGTCGAAGTGAAGATCTATTAGATTGGTAAGATTTTTAAAGCTTTATGACTGATGTGACGAAAGATGTCTAAGCTAGTATTGTATCCAACTAAAACTTCTATAAAAAAGCAAGTACACGAAGCTCGAATTTTACTGGTTTGACGGTAACAATGGGAAGATAAATACATTTAGGAATATGATCGCACCTTCGCAAAATCTGCCATCTCCCTCGTATCCTCTAAGACAACGGCAGATGTAGAAACCTTCCGCGTTTGTACAGAGAGCATTGGAATCGCATTCGTTTAGATCAGAATTCTCGCACTCATCCAGATCTACAGCAACGGTAAAGAAAAATGAATCATTCGTTGCAAATAACTCATTGCATTAATCAATATAATTCTGCGTTGAACAAGCAAAATGGCAAAGACAAAAATAAATATTTCAAATAGCAGTGTAAAATTTACCTATACAGTTAAAACCGTCTCCCTGGAAACCAGCATTGCATACACATTTAGGAAATCCATCGCTATCCTGACAAAATGCGTTTGGACCGCAAGATGGAGAACAACCAGGTAGAACGGCTAAAAATTTAGAGTAGCAATGAACTGATTTAGGCGAACTATCATGTCTTTCTTTCGTGCTAGATCTTATGAATCTAGTGGTCATGTACATCTAGGAGCTTATTCCGAATTTCAAAGCATAGGATCTGAAATGTTACTACTCCCGGTGAATGGCATTCAAGTTCACTGCAAGCAACCCTTTCATAGTTCCTCTGTTCCTCTCCTAGAAATTTTAATAATACGCACCCATACTCTTGAGAACAGATGGGCAAAGTATCTTGCGGAGAAAAAAAAAACACGCAAGGACCCTAATAAGCCTTGGACCCTGACCTCTCGCCCCTGCCCTTACCACAAGACCACCACCGCATCTCTCCCTAACCATGTAAGGATTATGTGGTTATGATTAAAAAATAGGTTCTAGCGCTTACAAATGGTGTAGCCTTGTTTTCACCTGTGCAATTTTTACCATCGCCCTGATATCCACTGTTGCAGCGACAGACATGCGATCCCTCAGTGTTGTTGCACACAGCGTTGGCATGACATTGGTTTAATTCAGGATCGCTGCATTCGTCGATATCTAAAGTTATATAGAAGTCCTTTTGAGCACATATTATTTCTAGGGCAGTCGTAAATAAGCAAGAATTAAAATTTGCTAGGAAAGAGATTTTTGACATATGATACCCATAGCTGTTGGATGAACTCCATTTTCTCCGAGGTCATAGGAGGAATAAGGAATTAGCCCTTTTAACTCCTGATAGCGACTTACACGTAACTTTCTCTCTAATACCCATACATTATCCAGCAAACAGGTTCTGAGAATACTCACACTTATCAGGTAGAAGTTGTTATCTTGATCTAATCCCAAAATTCTCTAACGAATGTACAGTGAAATGTGTAGCAGTTGGGAAATTAAAAATAAGATATTGGGATTTAAGGGTTAAACACGAATGATTTGTGTTTACATATTGCGTACGAGGAAGGCAAAAGGTGTTAAGTTTGACTAAAGAACCGTTTATACTTTTTCACACCTATACATTGTCTTCCATCTCCATTGTAACCCTTCAGACACCGACAGATGTATGACCCCTCGCTGTTGCTGCATAGAGCATTGGGGTCACACTCGGAGAAATAACGCAAAAATTTATGAATGAAATAGACTCGCTTTAAATGACCAATTTAATTGCTAATTGGTCAAGATAAAGAGAGAAACGTTGAAGCACCTCCTTTACCGATCCCAAAGATAAATAAGGGCTCAAGTCCGAGCATCCCCTGGATATACTCCCTTACAACTAAACACATATGATCCCAACGATAACTGATGATCTGTTTACTAAGAGAATCTCCCAAGTATCACATTTTACCTGTACAGTTTGTTCCATCTCCCATATACCCTCTCCGACATCGGCAGGTATAGGATCCTTCAGTGTTATTACATAAGGCGTTTGGATCACACTGGTTTGATTCAGTAGTATTACACTCGTCAAACGATTTTTGAGCGATCGTTGGATGAGAGTTTTCTTTAATCTACATAACATGGTAATTATTTGTATAGGTAATCACATGAGGCCAAGTACTATTAAGGATTAATTGCACGAGAGTTTTCAAAATTTTCCAAAATTTTGAAAACTCAAGTGCAATTAATCCTTAATAGTACGAGGTCTCATGGGATTACTTGTTTATCAATAAGGGGCAAAATTTATACGAAGGAAAATCACGCGCGCAGTCTATTTTTAACAAATTTCAAGATAACGAACGGTTGCTATGCAACGGATTAGCCAATCATTAACAGGTAATCATGCCCTCTCTTGATTACTAAAAATGCCCTCGATTAAGAAAAAATTCCCTCTCTCTCAACCAATCAGCGCTCAGTAATTTTGCCCTTTATTGATAATAACCATTAACACCCTAACATACCAGTGCAAAACCGCCCGTCACCCCTGTAGCCTTGAAAACAGCGACAAACGTAAGATCCTTTTGTGTTGGTGCAGAGAGCATTGACATCACACTCGTTATTGTCGTCACGTGCGCATTCATTAATGTCTGGATCAAAAAATATATGAAATTAAATGTTGAAGGCAACTGGTGATTATTTGGAAGCCTATGGCTCAAAAAGAATCAGAGCTAAATTGTCAGGATTCATTCATCGATATCTAGAGATACGAAAATTCATTTTCAAATAAACGATTGCGATGTGTTTTAAGCGTAATATATGCTTTACATTTTCAAACATCCTAAATCTATCTCTACACAGGTCTTCTTTTTGCTCCATCCTTTGCTGTTCTGGTGAGTAGACAATTAGACATTTACAAACACGCCCAAGTGACCCACTTCAGTAAAGCTCTTCCTAGGTTTTCATAGCATGAAAGTATTGCTAGTCTCCATGTATGGAATGCTAATGAAAAGAAATTTATCCTCTGACACCTTCCACAAATCCCCTTGCACATGTTACAGGGTATCCCTACACAATTTCTCTGTTGAACCTTTGTACTACTGGGCAGAGGAACTGTGACTTTCCGACTGAGGGTTCCACGCTGATCATCATAAAATCAAGTCTAGTTCCCCGCAATACCTCTTTCATATACCATACCAGCTCATTTATAAATTCATGTACATATACTTTTCGGGTAGATCACTGTACCTGAACAGTTTATTCCATCTCCAGCATACCCCCTGACACATCGACACACATAGGACCCCTCGATGTTAGTGCACAGGGCGTTGGCATCACATTCGTTTCTTTCAGGAATTGTGCATTCATCAATGTCTAAGAACAACGAAAAGCAGTTCAAATCGACCTTATCAAAGTTCAAGGTCTTTATATAGCTCGAAGGATTGAATAATATGACGTAATGTCTTCTTTCTTGGGGATTCTAAGTACAAGAATATTTTACGTTCCATCCTGCCAAAGACAAAGATTTACCTGAGCAACTTTTCCCATCACCACTGTACCCTCTTAGACATCGGCAAACATAAGAACCTTCAGTATTGGTGCAAAGTGCGTTGGAATGACAATCGTTATTATCAGGACTTGCACACTCATCAACATCTGCAGCGATCGAACAAAAAGCGGGATCAAACTCAATTAAAGAAGTCAATTTGATTACAGAAAAGTGATTGGACGACACCCCTGTGTCTACCTTTGCATTCGCTGTTGGTATATAGGGCGTTAGGATCACAGTTATTTTCGATTTCATTCGCAAATTCATCAATGTCTAAAATGGAAAATGGAAAATCAAACGAAGTGCAAGCAAAAAGATTATTCGAATCATTTTACTTCTGTTAAAAAAAATTGTTCCACTAACAGAGTATTAAACCCAGTTCACTTCACGTTAAAAACAACTGAATTTGTTACCAGTACCTGCGCAATTCCTGCCGTCCCCTTCATATCCTTTGAAGCAGCGACAGACGTAGGATCCTTCAGTGTTCGTACACAGAGCGTTGGAGTCACACTCGTTGGTTTCAACATTCGCACATTCATCAACATCTACAATATCACCAGCGAGGATTACTTTAATTTTTATGTTATATTACGATAACCTAAAACTACATCGTAGCTTAAACTGATCAGAGAATGTCTCATGTTTGGCAAACAGTTTTAAACGCCTTGAGGTAGCCCCCCCCCTAGACTTACCAGTAAACGTAATAAGCATCCCACTGCAAATAGTTACTTTTCTACATCAACAAGCTCCATTAACTTGCATCAGTTCCCCCACTATACATTACATATCAGCATAAATAACACTGAGCCAGTGATTTGCATTGTACCTGTACACATTGTGCCATTTCCCCAATAACCTCTTAAACAGCGGCAAACGTAAGAGCCCTCCGTATTAGTACATAGGGCTTTCAAATGGCAACTGTTTGTTTCAGAATTCTCGCATTCATTGGAATCTGTAACGGTAAATACAAAAAATTAAAACTTGATGCTTTTATGTGAATGGACAAAACAAAAAAAAATTTCAGTAAATAATCTGAGGGGCAATCACATTCATTTGATTCAGAGCTTGCACACTCGGCAGTATCTCCAAGTTATATCGTGAAAGGATGGCGTAAATAAATATTTCATTGGAAACGTATGTATTTTGATCGAGCTTTCCAGCTCACCAATCGGTACATGGGTAAATGAACGATTGATCGACTGATTTAACTAGCTTAGTCTTTCGTCAAATTAATATGTTCTTAATCTTTTCCAAACAGTGTATTCTAATGATAAGCACATCAAAGAAACATGATAAATCAAGATAAAAATAAGGCGTGTTCAATCGCTCCAATTTCTTTTTTCAAGTCGCCGGATAGAAAACTCCTTTGGCCTCTGTCAGAAGATCTTCATGTAGTGCTTTCTTTTTAAAATTTAATAACACAGTAATATTTATATTATAACCAACCGATACAGTCCAGTCCATCTCCCTCATATCCCTGAATACAGCGGCAGACGTAAGATCCTTTAGTGTTCGTGCACAGGGCATTGGTGTCACAGTCGTTACCATCAGCATTTGCACATTCATCAACATCTGTTGCCGAGTAAAACTGAATTATTCACCACTACTACACTAAAGGGTTATAGTTCGGCAAGACCGCCTGTACAGTTAGACAGGTTAAAAAAAAAAAAAAACTCGATAGGCTAGCTTCGCTAACCGGGTCAACTGATTTGTGATTTTACATTTGATAAATATTTCAAAACAACAGTCACAACAATCACAACAAAAATATACCTATACAACGTTCCCCGTCCCCTTGGTACCCTCTGAGGCAGCGACACACATAAGATCCCTCGGTGTTGGTGCAAAACGAGAGAGGGCCACAGTCGTTTGTATCTGCACTGGCACATTCATCAATATCTATTTTAAATCGAAGAAACACAAGAAAGGTTAATACTAAAAAGAAAAAAAATACAACTTGACTTGCCTAGCAATGTATGTCAATTTTGCCCATCCTACCTACTCAACGAGGGTACTATCATTTTTCTAGCAAACATGCCACTGTCACTCGAAATGCATTTGTTCCTACTGATTGTGAATTTAACTCGACCCAAATGCTACGAAGATTCCTGCCTAGCTTTAGTTTTAAGGAAATAGGGCAAGGGCTCACCTGTGCAGTTATCTTCTCCAGCAAAACCGCCTACACACACGCATTCAGCTACTCCAGTAAAGTTCTGACAAACTCTGTTTTCACCACAAGGCGGGTCGCAAGAGAAATCTTCTGCAGTTGAGTAATACGAGATAATATTATACATAAAGAATATGAAAAATAGGTAGACTCAGTGCAACTGTGTCGAAATCGCAATTTAATTTTAAAATGAAAAAAAGAAGATCCAAACAACTTCTCCATAATTTACTGTGCTATTTCCAGCAAACACGCGGCGAAAAGAGGAGAGGAGAACTTTTAAGACGAATGCCGATAAAGAAGAAGTACAGCGGCTTAAAGAATCGCTGATCAGATCGTTCACGTTACAATAAATGATTAAAGTCACTACTCTACCTGTACACGTTTTACCATCTCCTCTGAAACCTTTAAAGCAGCGACACACATAGGATCCTTCCGTGTTGGTACACAAAGCGTTGGGATCGCAATCGTTAATCGTAGCACTTCTGCATTCATCTAAGTCTGTGAAAAAATTATTTAATGCCCACAATTGTTAACGCATGAGATGTACCTATTTTTAATGAGATCACAGGGGCAAGGGTAGATCACACTTTCCAAATAAATATTTTTTTTGTCTCGATACCTGTACATCTCCTTCCATCCCCTACATAACCCTTTAAACAACGGCAGACATACGAGCCGTATGTGTTGGTGCAAAGAGCGTTTGAGTCACATGCGTTGGTTTCCAATGAAGCACACTCATCTTCATCTAAAGATCAACAATACAAAGAAAACTTTATTTAGGTTTAGGAAGATTTGAATTTGACGAATATGCATTGATATCATTAACCAACAATGTTTTAATGTTGAATCGTAAGCCATTATCCTAAATCGTCTCAGCTCAGCTGAGGTCTACTGACTGCTTAGAGTGTTAAGGCAGTGTACTATCTAGAAAGCGAACTGGTTCTCCCTCGGGTTGCAGAATGACTAACGAAGTAGTGTAAGATGAGGTGAGTAGTAAGGCGACCAAGCAATGGTTTTACACAGGATTGCATATTTTTATATCACAGTGACTTTACTAAGCAGCAATAGCGTTTTAGACAAGAAGGGGTTCACATCACACTAACTACTTTGACGTTTCTAACATTTTCTTTAACGTTTTAACGCTCATTTTTTCTTTGTCCCACGCTCGTGACATGACGAAAATACATCTTTCACTATTACTTTGAAATGACCAAAAATTAATGAGAACTAAAGTTGATCTTCTTGGTTGTATCGAATTCTAAGTTTACTAATACTAAGACCAATGCAGTCGAGATTTCTTTCCTGACACCTACCAGAGCAGTTGTATCCATCCCCTTGGAAACCAATATTACAGACACACGCCCCTCCTAGACACTGAGCGTTTGGCCCACAAGATGGAGAACAGGTTGGTACAACGGCTGATTAGGAAATAAATAAAGAGGGTAAATTTCTAAAGAAACTATGATGCTGCGTCGATGGGAGAGTATAACAGAGTAATTTAGTGTTGTCAACTGAGTTGATAACGTAAATTGGCCACCGTAAAGAGTTACAAGGCTAAGGTTTCGAGCGTTAGCCCTTCGTCAGAGTAATTGGCCAATTACCCTGATTAGGAAATAAATATCAAGTTATAGTTATGGATGAGATACTCAAAAAATAAACAGTTAGAGTATAAAGTTGTAGATACCTGTGCATTTTCTTCCATCTCCCTCGTATCCTCTCAAACAGCGACAAACGTAAGATCCTTCGGTGTTAGTGCAAAGGGCGTTTGGATGACAATCGTTTTTGCCTTCATCAACACATTCGTCGATGTCTGCAAATTGGTAGCTGACGTTATTTTGGGTAACGGGAAAACTATGAAAATCTCAAGTAAGAAAGCATCCTCTAACTTAATATTTTGCTGACCTGAACAATTTTTACCATCTCCAATATAGCCTTTTAGACAGCGACAGATATAGGAACCTTCAGTGTTTGTACAAAGAGAGTTTGGACCACAATCATTTTCGTCTTCGTTAGCGCATTCGTCTACATCTGGAAATGAAATAAGGAATATATAGGACCAAAGGGCAAGGAATCAATATAATCTACTTTAGGTTAAGTGTGTTGTGGTCAAAGATTTATACCTCTACAGTTTCTTCCATCTCCAATGTAGCCCCTTAAACAGCGACAGATATGAGAACCCTCAGTATTTGTGCACAAGGCGTTCACGTCACAGTTATTTAATTCAAAACTTGCACACTCGTCAATGTCTAAAGGGAGAATCAAAGTCAATTTAATAGTGAGAAAAAACTTTTTCAGATGACAAGAAAATTAAAAAAAGCACGAACGGTTATGATATTGTTGTTTCTGAAAACAGGATTTTGTTACAGGAGATGTGCCGGAGTCATTTATCGATAAAGCAATTTACAAGGTATAAAGTCGCCCCCTAAACCAGATGAAGAAGGGACCGCTCTGAATACTTGAAAGGGTGGCATTTCAATGAGACTGGTCCGTAACTGATGGTCAGAAAGAGGTCAGTTGTCGAGATCCCGCCAGATGTTTTTAATTGTTCTTAAATTAATCAACCCATATATTCTGTGTAAACAGTTCTTCCGAAAGGAACACAAAGTTGCAATTCTTAGGAAATAGAGCGGTACAAAGAACGTGACCATGTTCCTAGTATTATCAAAAACTTACCACTGCAGTTATATCCGTCACCAAGGTAACCAGCTCTACAATCACAGAACGCAAATTCACCTCTTCCCTGACAAAAAGCATTTGGGCCGCATGAAGGAGAACAGCCAGGAAACACTGATAAAATATTTGAAACACCTACAGTAAACACGATGCTTAAAGAACAATCAAAGATTGAATCCCTCTGTATCACGAACGTTACATACCTGTGCAATTTCTGCCGTCGCCTTCATATCCCTTTAAACAGCGACATACGTAAGACCCTTCAGTGTTGGTGCAAAGAGCGTTTGGATCACAATCGTTTCGGTCCTTATCGGCACATTCATCGATATCTAAAAGAGCAACAACAATTCAGAATTAAATCATGGATGCAAGGGGCTTTTCGTTCGTGACTTTATTTTGGGTTGGTATCTTGGTAATCTTCTGGGTAGTCGAAGTAATATACCATAGTTATCACTGCGCGACGACAGCGCGCGAGAACTCTATGTTACTTAAGTTTTAACTACACGTGGATACTTATTTGAGAGTTTTTCCCAAGGACTTAAATCCTGTCCTTATTTGAAAATTAGTGTGCAAAAAGGGAAGGACTACACTAAGCGTAAGCGCCAAACTTGCTTTATCGAATGGATTACAAGTGATCTTGTCTGAACGGTTTAATTGAAGCAAAGCCAAAAACTACCTTGGAAGGAGTTGGTTCACAACGATTTTGGAATCATTTTTAAAATACACAATTTATAGTGTGATTCAAACTCCTATTTTTTTGTCATTTGCGCATTCCGCCACAAAGCTCTCTCAATTTGCTAGGTATTATCTACGGATCATGTGAGCTGTGGTTGGTCCAGTTTACCTGTGCAAAAGTCTTCCCCGCTGAAGCCATCTGTACACACACATTCTGGAAATCCTATGTAATTTTGACAAACTTTGTTTCCAGTACAGGGTGGGTCGCAAACGATCTCTTCTATTTCTGTATGAAAGAGTATTTCTTTTATCAATAATACTAATCAAAATTATGCACCATCAGTGCCTAGCTAACGATGTTACTTGAACTATTTCTTATTTGGTACTTGGTTTGTTCTTAAAATAGTCTTTCGGTTCATTATAAACAAAAAAAAAAAAGAATGACAAACCGAAAACAATGTCGTCTTACCTTCACATGTTTTACCATCTCCACTGAAACCTCTAAAGCAGCGACACACGTACGAGCCCTCGGTGTTAGTACACAGCGCGTTGGTGTCACAGTCGTTGTTTTCAGGTCTTTCACACTCGTCAATATCTGAGTTTCATTACAAAATACGAACTGAAGCAGCCATACAAGCAAAGAAATGATTTCTTTCCTATCACAAGTATGAAACAGACGTTAACTAAAACCGTCCACTGTACCTGTGCAGTTTCTTCCATCGCCAACGTATCCTCTTAGACAGCGGCACAGATAAGATCCCTCTGTGTTGGTGCATAGCGCGCGTGAGTGACATGTGCTAGCGGCTTCAGAAAATAAGCATTCATCAACATCTGCAATAGAGAAGAAAAACAGTCATTAGCGAGCGTAACTTGGCCGAGTCAAAGATTGTTGGTTCCGAAAAAACCTTCTGACTTTCCTCTCTTACCACCAAAAGCAACACCTTCAAAGCAACTAAGAGGGTTTATGACTTGGTGTTTCCAAAAATCTTTCAAAAAGCGCGTTCGATTTTAATTTGAGGTCTATAAGAATATTTGAAAGTTAAGTACATCTACGAAATTTAAAGAAACGGTTTCTTTTTGTACAGCATAGAAAGAACGTAACAGCATACCTGTGCACTTGTAGCCATCGCCTTGGTAACCAAAATTACACTCACAGTAAGAGAGTCCATCGTCTTGCTGACAAAAAGCATTCGACCCACATGAAGGAGAACAGCCGGGAACGACAACTAAAAATGGAAATGGAAAACTAATCCACCAATCCAGTCAACCAATGATGGGCACACAAACAAAAACAGCCTCAAAACAAAAACAATAACAAAATCCATCAATAAAAGACAGTAAATACCTGTACAATTTCTTCCATTTCCTTGATATCCTCTCAAGCAGCGGCAAACATAAGATCCACCGGTGTTGGTACAAAGAGCGTTGGGATCACAATCGTTTTGATTTTCCTCGGTGCATTCGTTTACGTCTAGGATTACACAAAATATTTTTAAAATTACAAATAAAAAGCATTACATCTGAAAAAGATGACTTGTTGCATGAGTCACAGTCAAAAAGACCCAAAAATGAGCCATCAGTGTTGGTGCACAAAGCATTTGGGTCGCATTCGTTTGCCCCAATTGTTGCACACTCGTCCACATCTACAAAAATTCAAGCAAAGGCTTACAGATAAAATAGAGCAGTAGGAAAAGCAGCGGCCTTTTAGTTCGTCACCCATGGGAAAGAAAAAAAAGCCTATTGATGAGTTTATAGCACGCTCAACTAGTGTTTTGAAAGTTGCTCCATTTAGCAATAACTGTTAACTCCTTAAAAAGCAAAAACAGCCTCAAAACAAAAACAATAACAAAATCCATCAATAAAAGACAGTAAATACCTGTACAATTTCTTCCATTTCCTTGATATCCTCTCAAGCAGCGGCAAACATAAGATCCCTCGATGTTGGTACAAAGAGCGTTGGGATCGCAATCGTTTTGATTTTCCTCGGTGCATTCGTTTACGTCTAGGATTACACAAAATATTTTTAAAATTACAAATGAAAGGCATTACATCTGAAAAAGATGACTTGTTGCATGAGTCACAGTCAAAAAGACCCAAAAATGAGCCATCAGTGTTGGTGCACAAAGCATTTGGGTCGCATTCGTTTGCCCCAATTGTTGCACACTCGTCCAAATCTACAAAATTCAAGCAAAGGCTTACAGATAAAATAAAGCAGTAGGAAAAGCAGCGGCCTTTTAGTTAGTCACCCATGGGAAAGAAAAAAAAAGCCTATTGATGAGTTAATAGCACGCTCAACTAGTGTTTTGAAAGTTGCTCCATTAATAGCAATAACTGTTAACTCCTTAACGCGCAAAAGTGATTAACATGTAATTTCTCCCTATAATATCTATACACTATCCGGCAAACAGGTATGAGAATACTCAAACATATCAGGGAGAAGTCGTTATCTTGATCTAACACCAGATTCTAATAAGTTATTTACAAGGAAACATGTAGCAGCTAAAGCGGAGAATTAACAATAAGTTTTTGGGGGTTAATAGGTTCAATAGAAATGTTCGAAAAAACCGAGAACTCAGTTTATTGTAAATCAGACGGCTACTAGGTGTGAGGCACCTTAGCCTCCGTATTATTGATAAAAAAACGTTCTCGGCAAGCTGTTGATAAACCTTGGCTTTTGTTGAGAGCTTTGTGTTACAAAATTCCAACAAGATAAAACTCGCACAACTAACAACCTTACCTGTGCAGTTTTTACCGTCGCCAGTAAACCCTTTTAAACAGCGACAGACATAGGAGCCTTCAGTGTTGTTACAAATAGCGTCGGAGTGACAATCGTGTTCAGGACTTGAACATTCATCGGCATCTTTTGGTTAATAATCAGAGGAAACAGAGAATTTCAATTCCCTGACTGAATCATTATAAAAAGAACCTTTGATAATCCTATGGGTTGAATTTAAGGTTGGTGAATGTCCTTACCTGCGCAAAAGCGGCCATCTCCTTGATATCCCTTTAGACAGCGACAGATATAAGATCCTTCAATGTTGGTGCACAGAGCATTACGATCACATCCGTTTGTGTCTGGACTCGCACATTCATTAACATCTGTGAATGTAAAAGAAAACAAAGATTTAGATAGATATGGACACTGATAACAAAAAGAGCATTTTGTTCCACAAACCTTTGCAGTTGTATCCGTCACCTTGAAAACCAGAATCGCACACACACAACCCTTCCTGACAGAACGAGTTTGGACCACAGGGTGGAGAGCATATCGGTGTGACGGCTAAAATTGTTTGTTCATTGTTAGTGGGAAAATCGACTTCTCGAAGGACATTTTATTACCAGTATTGGCTACAATTTGGCTACACACCTACACAGCTTCGGCCATCTCCTTCAAACCCTCTTAGACAGCGACAAACATAAGATCCCTCTGTGTTGGTGCAAAGGGCGTTAGGGTCACACTCGTTGTTGCCTTCTTCTGCACATTCGTCAACATCTAGAGTGAACGAAACATAGGTTTGTTTTAAAATTTAGAAAAGGAAGAATTGGATGAAGACAAAAAACGGGTATAGAGGCTGTTCACGCATTTGCCGAAATATGTTACGTTGTCTACGAATTTCAGCTGGATAGTTTTCCTTCCTGACTATAAGGTTATTCGTGAATTCTTCGGTACAAGGAGAGCTTAAAAAGCTACCGTACAGGGCATTAGTGTACATTAGCATGGCTTGCAGTATGTATACCTGTGCAATTGTCTTCACCACTAAATCCATCAGCACACACGCAGTCTGGAACTCCAATGAAATTTTGACACACTTTGTTTCCGGTACAAGGAGGGTTGCAAACAACCCCTTCTATCCCTAAGGAAAGTAATTAAAAACTTGTCATCGGTTATTGGTCCTGAAGCTAATATACTCCCCACATCATCAAACGAATTGACTTGTTGTGCAAACGCCAAAATCTCTCTTTCTGGTTGAGGCGGGGCAAGGATTGTGCAATTGTTTCAGTTCTTTCATAGTGTACAGACAGGAGGAGTTCTAAATTACATATTATGACTAAAATGGCCAGGCTGTAGGTCGAGATAGCCGTGGTAAAAGTAAATAAGCTCAAGAGGCGAAAGTATTAAAATCTTTCTGTACAATTAGGCAACCGACTTCGAGGAAACTTACGTCTGCAAAATTTCCCATCTCCTGAAAATCCTTTTAGACAGCGACAAACGTAGGAGCCGTCTGTGTTCGTACAAAGTGCATTCAGGTCACAGCTGTTTCTTTCAGTACTTGCACATTCGTCTGTATCTGTAGTTGACGATGGAGAAGACGCACATTTGTCAAGAAATTATTCATTTTTAAGATTCCTTAACCCTTTCACCCCCATAGGTGACCAAGACAGAATTTCTCCTTACAATATCAATACAATATCATGCAGACAAGTGATGAGAATAAATACAAATACCAATCAGGGGATTATTACTCGATCCAAAACCAAATTCCCTATCGTGGAAAAGAAGGAGCGGCATTGAATCATTATCAATTCTGAGAAATGTCCAGAAATGCATGCAGTAACAAAAATGGCGAAAAATCGTCAAAATCGTCAAATTCGCCAAGCTAATTCCGTTTTGAGGAATTTGACTAAAAATTCGTCAAAGTCGTTAATTCCGCCAAGCTGATTTCGCTTCGACGCATTTGACTAAGATTCGCCATGATCGTCAAATCTATAAACATTCACTCGATTTGACGAAATTTCGTCAAATCTGTTGTTTTCGTTTTCGCGTGCTTTTCTGGACAGAAGTGTTAATTTTAACCAATAAAAAGGGAAAATAGGCGTGAAAAAATAGTTACCGTATTTAGGACGGTATCGTCCACCAGTGCCATGCACAATAAGATTTGAATACTGTATTGGCACACAAAAACATTTATACTAACCAATGCATGTGGTTCCATTGCCATCAAACCCCGCCTTACACATGCACTCTGGTTCTCCTGTAGAGTTCTTGCATACAGCATTGACATCGCACAAAGGATCGCATTTGAATGATGGTTCCACCGCTGAAGATAGAGTATAGTGACAGAAGTTATTCCTTTTTACCAATAACTTTACAAATAATAGTCCAAATTTAAAACTATAATAACTATCGAGCCTTTCATTTGTTTGTGGGGGAATATAACGCTCGTTACCTCGTCGTGGTTCGACTGAGAGGTCGTTCATTAACTGAGAATCGAAAGTATTCGAACGGGAGCCACTCTAAGAAACCACATCTTGTAACAATGGCATCTGTTTTCACACAGGAAGCACCACCTAGCTTCAAAGTAGAGTCCAAATTCAAAGACGGGAAAGAAAACGTTATCATTATCTCGAGACTTACGAGTGCAAGTCAGTCCGTCGCCTTTATATCCTTTCTTGCAGCGGCAGACATATGAGCCCTCGGTATTGGTGCACATCGCATTTTTGTGACATTGGTTTAAGTCTGGAGAAACGCACTCATCAACATCTGAGAAGGAAACATAACACCTATCAGGATTGTTTGAAAGAGCTAACTATGTAAATTAGAAACATTTTTACCATCATCTTCTTCTCCACACACTTTTTAGCTCCGCATGAGAGTAGAGATGATTACTAACCTTTACATTTGACACCATCGCCATCAAACCCCGCCTTGCACATGCAGCTAGGAGTTCCTGTAAAGTTCTTGCACTCAGCGTTGACGTCACATACGGGGATACAGGTGAACGGAGGTTCTGTTACTGTAAAAGAACAATAGTACAGTATGGTTTACTCATTTATGGCGGTCAGCACCTTGAGATCAATTTATCAAAGCCCCATTAAAAAACTCTGGTTAACTTACGCGTGCAAGTTACTCCGTCGCCTTTGAATCCTTTCTTGCAGCGGCAGACATATGAGCCCTCGGTATTGGTGCACATCGCATTTACGTTGCATTGATTGGAGCCAGGTGAACTGCATTCGTCGATATCTGAGTAATACAAATACATACTCTTCTACAATCTTCTCTAAAATGAAAAGCATCTGCTTTCTCCCACACAACCCGGTGGGCATATTGTTTACATTACTAATTTCGCTGTGCAGCATATTGTAGACGGTGTCTGCCGCTACCCTGTAACAAAATCGGCCACTGTCCTGTTTTGTAGTGGCAAGTATTCAGGTTTGATACACAGAACATAAAGGTAAAACATGCCTTACCTATGCAGTTGTTTCCGGACTTCTGATATCCCTCCTGACATTGGCAAGTAAAGCTTCCGTTGGAATTAATACATTCACCTCCCGGGCCACAGTTGACTGAACCGACGGAACATTCGTCAATATCTAAGGCAAGATTTACGCGATTAAAAAAAAAAAACTATTACATCAGCCGTACAATATAATTTTTATTGTAGAAGAACTTACCTATGCATTGACTTCCATCTCCTTCGTATCCTTTCTTGCAGCGGCACACATATGAACCTTCTATGTTTGTACAAAGCGCGTTAACATCGCAGTTGTGAGACTCTGGTGTTTGACATTCGTCGATATCTTTATAAAAGTAAAACAACGCAGAGGAGTTTCAAAATTTCATTCCCGAAAATGGAAATTTAGTTAGGTGAGACTAGATTTAACGTCCTTCAGAGGAATTTTGTAGAAGAATTGATCCTCGGAGCACTACTTGGACTTGGGGGGGGGGGGGGGAGGAGGGGGGTTAAATGCCTTGCATTGCAGCTGTGAGAGGGATGTACATACATGTAAATCTCGATTTAAGTTTTGCACACCTGTACAGTTGTCAGCAGTCTTTTGAAATCCCACGGGACATTGACATGTGTAGCTTCCATTTACGTTTATACATTCGGCTCCGTTAACGCAATCCGCCGTTCCTTCGTCACATTCATTAATATCTGCAATCAGAAACAAATTGTAAGAAATAAGCAGAGATCCTGGGTAACGGTCGCTAAATCATACCCGGAAGTTTACCTCCAAGTGTGACTTCTCTATGATTCACGAAAGTTCCATTCCATCAGTATATGAAATGAAGTGAAAGACCTTCTAGCCATATCGTTTAGGGGAAGCTTGCTTCAGAGTTCAGTCTGATTTATCGTTTGTTGTTTCGTCCCACGAGTAATCGTTCATAACAGTCAGTTGCGACTTTGACATGAATGATGTCAAAAAACATCTTTACCTTCGCATGTGCGGCCATCTCCCCGATATCCTTTCAAACAACGGCACACATAACTACTGTAGGTATTCGTGCACAATGCGTAGCCGTGACACTCATTCTGTCCAGTGGCACACTCGTCTATGTCTACAAAGCAGATACTTCGATTCAAAAGTGATGTCCCATTCACAGGATTTAGAACCTAGCTGTTCGTATTTCGCCATAGAATCAAACAATTGAACCAATGATTTATACTTATACTCTTTTACTCATATTAAAATCAAAAATTACTTGGGGAAGCTAAACAACCGATATTTTCTCCAGATTTAAGGCAACCTTAATAACGAACCTTTGAAAATTGTGGCTTCTGAAAGATGTCGTTTTACTTCAAGGTATGGGGATCTAACTACAGGGGCTAGTCAATCCTGCTTCAGTAAGGATGTTATACACACCTGTACAGTTTCCTCCATCTCCAGATAAACCCGGCCTGCACTGACACGCGTAGGATCCTTCGGTGTTCACACACTCGGCTCCGGATAGACATTCAAAACTGCCCTCTGTGCACTCGTTTACATCTAAACGAGAATAATTTCTCTGTTAGCTTTTTACCAGCTGATTAACGGCTAATGAGATTGGAGTAATAAAAGCTGGTAGTTATCTGATAAGGCTTAAAGCTAACTGGCAACTGGTGCGCCCCTATGGCACTGGAGACCTAGGAACCTACCACATACAAATTGTCACATATTTTTAATGATTTTATCTCTGAGAATTTAGTATTAAATCAAATAATATCATTAAGTTTATATATATTTTTAAATAATTGAATGGGTTAAACAATCTTAATGTGAGCAAAACGATGCACACCACTCGCATTGTCCTGGTTTGGGGGAGTTTAAGTGCTAAAGTCGAGAGAAGGTTACCTGCGCAGTTTAAGCCATCACCAGTGAAGCCTCTGTTACATGAGCAGATAAAAGAACCGTCAGTATTATTGCATCCGGCGTTGGAGTCGCAGACACTGGTTCCAGGTAAGTTACATTCGTCAATATCTACAAATTAAAAAAAAAAAGTTCGTCTTTAGTCAATAATTCAGTCGTGTAGAAAAAAATCAACCAGCTTGCCAGACAGCCAGCAGCAAATCAGCCAGTCAGTGCATGAGTCAGCGAATGGGTCAGCCGTCAGTCTCCAGTCAGTCGACCAGTTGGTCAGTGAGCAAGTCAGTCAGTCAACTAGTTGGTCGGTCAGCCAGTCCGCCAATTAGCTGGCTAGCTATCCAGACAACCGGAGCGTCTTTCAGTCATCAGTGAGGTTGACACATCATGAGCAATACCTTCGCAAGTGCTTCCATTTCCAACATATCCATTGTTACATTCACAGTAGAAAGATCCCTCTGTATTTACACACTTGGCGTTTACTGTACAGTTTCCAAACTCTGTCGAACATTCGTCTTGGTCTACAAAGAAGAGCGTAAAGTTCGCGAAAAATCTGGCAAAGTGAAGGCAACTTCCCAGAATTCGTCAAAATCCTTCCAAATTGAAGCAGCACAGGATTAGTACAATAGAGTACATATTCGTTATCTTATTCATGTCATTTAAACGAGTCCTAAGAATACATAATAAGCGAACAGTAATAGGTTAAGTAATAAGTTAAGGAACAGTACGTAAATGAATATGCAATTACATAATCAAATAAATACAGTCAACTTTCTCTTAAGCGACCAGCTAAAGTGCAGGTGAGAGTGGCCGCTTGAGGGAGGAGGTTGCTAAAGTGAATGCATTCAGTTTTCATCGTTACGACAAAAACTGTATGAATCCACGAATTATTACTATTTATTGCCATATAACAATAGATAAATAGAATAAGACAAAGAAAACAGTTTCTTGTAGAGAAAGTGTAATAATAAAATTAGCAATACTATGTAAAGCACTATTCAATCAAGTACTCTTCGTTTTCGATACAGTTTGTTTAAACAAAATTGCAACTTTTTCGTGAAATTCAGAATGGTCGATGGTTTAAATTCATGGAGTAAAAAGCAAAGAACATCAATTGTTTTTCTGGAATGCTGGTATTAGCTTACTGTTGACGAAAAAATGTCAAATTTCTGGCCACGTAAGTGATCGCAGTTGCGCTCAAAATGTGAGCACTGGTATTCTAAGAGAGGCATTTTGAAACATCATTTGACTGAGATACAACACTGTTATTCACCAGATGGTCGCCCAATGAAAGTGATCGTTTTGAAGAATGGTGATGTATATGTTACATGCATGCAGTTCCTGAGTTGACGTGATTCAAAGAATTTATTAATATATTACGACATTTTTATGACGTCTGCACAAGAACTGCTTTTTGACCGGCGCAGCAAGGAGTTCTGAAGTCTACCATATGTCCACCAAATTCTACTGCTGAATGAACATCAAGGTTTAAAAGGTTAACCACTTCTACCATTGGTGTCAAGAAATCCCTGTGTAGGAGGCTTGGCTGTACGTGATACCTTCACCAATTGACACCCGAGATCTGATATGCAATTTTCCCTCTCGGCTGCTGGACATGTGTTAGAAATTGGTTGAGGAGGTTTGATAAGGATGACTTTGGCTGATAAATTTGTGTATTATCAAAAGTTGTTTATGAGGTGAGGAGAAAATGTTAACCAAACACTTGTGGGGTTGATGGGATCACATGTATGTATCTACAGCCTTCTCTTTCCGGACCATCTCGTTGAGGAAAAGAGGCGAGCTTATACAAGCCTTCAAATAAACTTAAATCTCTGAGTATCAACTTAACAATAGTTGTCAGCTTATGCGCCTGTGGCAAGCTTCGAGTGTCAAGAAGTGTCATCAAATTTTAGTATTTAATCTCGGGAACTTAATATCAGCTTTGTTTTGTCTGTTCCTAAATTAAAAACAACTCCAAATCAAATCACAGATATGAGTTCCCTAATCATACCGAAGCAATATAAAAACATGTCAGAACAGCCATGAAGGAAATCCTGAGAGTTGTAGTCGTGCAGTTGTCAAAATATACAGGAGAATGAGTGACCTTTTACAACACAGCAAAATACAGAAAACGGCACTAGTTTCAATAAATCTATTGAACCTTCTTACCAAAACAACGTCGCAGTAAATGGTTATTTTTGGATAACGAGGTCATCAACACAGAGGTAACTTAAGGCTCAGGCAAACATATCAGAATTGTGGTAGAGAGCAATTTCAAGTATACCGTGAGTGATAAATTTAGTTCAGTTTATCGCGCATTGTTCGCGATTTAGGACCTCGGAATATAATATTAAAAACTGCTGTCATCAAGAATTTGTCCATTTTGATATATATTTGAGTTTTAACTAGTTTTCGAGGTCTTGATGAGATCCAATGGTAAGTTTCGTCTTCCATGAAACGAACAGAACTTGGAAGTTCTTCCCAAGGCATTCCAGATGATAAAGACATTTTACAGGCCTTTAATGCTTTTAATGTGATTTGTACATAGATTATTAAAAGCAGGTTTAGCCACTTAGATTTCATCTTCTGTTTTCAATTTTTTTTTCTCTCTCACTATCTCTTTCAACTAACCGATTTATGGAGGATAAAGACAGCACAGATAACGCTGAAACGAGGCCAAAAAGTGTGGTAAAGGGGCTCTCTTCTATCGTAATCTTAACTGGCTGCTTCACGTTTCTACGGAGCAGAACTGTTCATTCAATTCATTAAGGCAAAAGGCCGGCCAACAGCAACGTCTATGGTCGGAGGATTATCGCCTCCATTGATTATGGGCATAGTGGTTGAGGAGAAAAATAAAACAAAATAAAAATAAACAGAAAGAAAGGAAAAGAAAGGGAGGAAAAAAAAGAAAGAGATGAGATGAATTTTTAAGAAAGTACGGCTGATTCGGATTTGGAGGAGAAAACTTTGAGCCATTTTCCATGTAAATGCGCTCCTCCAAACCCAGGACACACGGAGTAGAACGGAAGGAAAAAACGATATGGATGAGATTTTCCTTAAGAAAGTACAACTGATTCGAATTTTGTAGGCGATAATTTTGAAATGTTTTCCTGGTAAACATTTTCCTCCAGATCCAAGCAGAGACCCTGGAAAGGTAAAATTATAATTTCATAACTTAAAGTGCAGGTGGAAAGACAGTAAAAGCATCCGGGAGCTAATCATCTATTTTCAGAGGTGGATCATTGTTCCAAAAGGAGCTCTTATGTTCACAGCCATACCTATGCTTCAAAAGGCTGCCCTGACAAGTGCTTGAGCAAAGCGTGGATTTTTCAGAAAACGATACCTATTGCTCCATGCAGAATTCTTATGTTTATGTTAGCAGGTGTCACAATGATTTTCCATGCAGCTGCGGCAACATTTTTGTATACCTTGGCATGTTTTGCTAACTCCATGATACCCTTCCTTGCAGATATACGAAAACGTACCGATTCGACGTCCCAGTCGACTTTTGACCGGCGCATTCGTTTACATCTGAGGATGAGAAGAAAAAGAAGATAAGCGACTTTATTGTCTCTGTTCATAAGCAGATGAAAAGTATTAAGTGCAAGAGCCAACGCAGATACCAAATAACACATAGGCGTCTCAAAATCTCGGATTTATGAAAATATCTCTGTAATCCGTGTATCGCACATGAGGTCTTCCAAAAGGTCAGTGTTGTTGACAAGCTGACGAACACGCAAACTAAAAATTTTTCAACATGACAGATCCGGAAAATGTCTGTTGATATAACATTATTACTTCCTCATAGGCATGATCAGCGCGATTGAATTCGTTCAATTGCTGTTGATTGACTTCGTCTGCAAAGGAACTTCGATGGGCCTATAATTGCAAACTGTACCAGTTTAAAGAACATGTCCTACTAGTGCAGTTGGTCTCGTGACAAAAGGAAAAAAAACAAACATATATCCAAAACTTAAGTAATCACTCATGGGTCACCGTTTGCTGTATTGAGATCATCAATTATTAGTCGATCCATATCTAAAAACTGACCTGGACTTGTGTCGCTGACACAAAAGACCATTTTCATTTATAACATAACGCGTGTGCTTGCCCTATATAAGTCCTATCGAGCCGCTATGAACAAAATCTTTATTTAAGCACGCCCGTGCGTAAATAAGATGACGTGACATTTTTTTTAAAATTTCCTTCAGTCTGTCTTCTCCAATTGCACCGTGCACGGCAGCGTAAATATTATTTTGAACAATCAAAACCCTTGATAACTTCGGGTCTTTGACTTTTAAAACTTTTTTTAGTGACACGAGTTCATTTAGCTTTGATTTTCTCCATTTTCTCCGTATATTTTGAGCTTTCCATTCACAGTTATCGGTTACGGATGCGCCTCGAGCTACTCTCACGCATTTTTCGTGTTCTCCAAACTTCCCGCGTGCATCCATAACTCGATATACGCACGATAAGCATGAACAAATTCTTAAATTAAACGTAGTTAGAAAATTTGAGAAAAATAAATGAAGACAATCTTGTCGTCGTTTGCTTGGCCTAACCTTTTCAGGCACAATGCTTGAAGAAAAGGTTGTCTTGGTATCATGCAACTAAAGGAGAGGTGTCACTGAACTGAAATGTTGAGAGCCTCAACGCTTTTTGGTTCATTTTTTTCTCCTTACAGAGACTTTCGCGCCACAGAAAATCTATCCATACAGAAAAATGTGGAAGCTAGCAAGAAAATTAGGCAGATCTCCTCGCACAGCCTAAAGTACTATTACTAAAGGCAAAACTTTAAACATATAGCGCCAAGTGAGAACTTCCCTCCTCAGGTCAGAGGGTAGCAAACAAACGCCACAGTCTAAGGGCTATAGGGGTAAACTTTCACATCTTCAGAGTTTACGGGGTTGTTACAGCCCCAAATCATATTTCACATCCACTATCAAATATAGTTTAGGTTTGTTGTTTTTTTCGTGGTTCTAACCTTCGCAGTGCTTTCCTCTTCCAGCAAATCCTTCTTGACAATGACAATAAAAGCTTCCTGGCACATTGACGCAGGATGAGTTGCCATGGCAATCTTTGAATCCGTTCTCACATTCAGTAATGTCTGCAAAAGGCAGAGGAGAACGTAATCTACAAAAAGCATCACATGACAGGGGATGTCATTTACACATATCATGTAACGAGTGTTTCGCAAAAGGCTTTACAGTTTGTATCAGTTTGTTCGAAACTATACGCTACATAACATTTATCGCAAAGTTCTCTAATTATTAATTGTTGGGTTTTTATGGCTCCTTCCAAGCGTGTTTGAATGTTCATTTATACTTTTCAAATAATAGATTCCATGGCTTTTTGGTCTGGGGGCCGATCGTGGATAAACCTGTACCACTGACACGAAAAGAAAAGACAGCACGTCAGAAAAAGTTAACTCACTGCTTTGTATTGGACTGAGGGAGCATAAACAGCTTTTCATGCATTAAAAATGATATTCAATTTCAGAGCTCTTCTGTTCAACAAATGAATGGCAAAGAACTAAAAAAATTCACGCACAAATTCTAGGGACTCCAGAGCCAAGAACAAGCCGTTGTGGACAAAACGAGACACCACCTATACTAAAAGGATGGAAGAAATAAGAGTTACGGTTAACTTATTGTTTTCTTCGACATTTTGCATACCAGTTTTCCATTCCTTGGTTACAAGCACAACAAGTCGCGCTGTCCACCAGCATACACTTTCCATTTAGAGAGCGATCCTGGAAGCCCTTCGAGCACGTGTTTCCATCCTTGGTTGCACCATCAACCGACTCGGTATGTGCAGGTCATTCAGGAACATCGTGAGTATTTATCGAAACAGTCACGCGTCGAGCCTCGGACTTTTCTGTTGATGACGTCCTTAATTCCTTTGTTGCTCCAGAAGTTGGTGCTATCGCCTTGCCTCGTGCTGTAGTCACAAAATCCGCGGAATCTGATTGAAGCTCATCAAATTTTTGTTCGTAAGTTAAAAAATTGAAACAACCTGTTTCATCTGTCAATTCTTTGTTGAGCTCATCAGAAAATTTATTCGTGCTTTCAGCGTCGTAAGTTGTCTCAGTTCGCTTTTCCAGAAAAGTCAGCTGCCATAACTTCATGAGACTCTAACGGCTAACCTGTTACATTTTCTATTTCAAAAGCAATTGCATCGAAGCATATACTTTTTAAAAGAAAAAAATATCTCATAAGTGAATGACAACACGTGAAGAGCATCAATGTGAAAATGGACATGGTGAATTAAATGACAGAAATAAAAAGTAGAGAAGAAGAGAGGGTAAAAAGGTGGCATTATTACATGGTTAAATAAGAACGCATGAGTCACAGCTGACCGGCCCTCTTTTAAGACGTTGCTGACGCATGAAAAAAAAAAAGTCGTTGTTTCAAAAATTGACAACTCTAAAAGTCAGACTATTGTCGTTATAAGAAAATTGACAAGAATCCAACCCGTTCGCACCTTCTGATTAGGTCTAAATTTTGTCGCAGTCATAGATGCAATGCGAAACGTCTGACAGATGGTGAACAAGTTGCAACGAAACATCGAACAAAAGAATAAGGTGTGGTCGGACCCACGACATGAACTCGTGGACATTCTCTTAACACGAACTTCGTCGATTGAGCTACGTTAAGCGCTACCTGTCTCGTGGAATGTCGGAGAAATTTAAGATGTTCTTAAAGCATTAACGACTAAGTATTATTCTGGTTTGCTTTCTGGGAGCCAAACTAACCAGACCGTCCACTGTAACACACACGAGAATGGATTCGGCAAGAAACGATGACGATTGCTGTTAAACGACAGTCCTTTAGAAATGCTGATTACGCTTGGTACGTACGGCACATGTATTGAAATGACAGGCTGTGATATTGGATGGTCAAATCTTTTACTAACCAATCAGGAGAAAAACAAACTTTGAACTCGCGATCCATTTTCATAGTCGATTGAAATAGATATCAGATGTCGTACATTGTTGATAAATCTAAATGAAAGTGAAGCATTTGGTTCAAAAGTCGATTGCCGGAAGAAAAACCGTTCAAAGATTCTTTTTTTTTTCTTTTGCTACTTCTCTTATTATAATCTTTTCTTATTTTTACTCCTACATTATTATGCGAGCTCATCCAGAAATTCATGTAACCTTCAAGCATGACGAATCAAGCATGTCTTCGCATACACATGCTTATCAAATTGAGAAGATAGGTAAGCGACCGAACATAATCTTTCAACTCTTATAATTTGTTTGTGTTAATGGGAGGAGTACAAAAGCGTTTAACATCAATCAAACTTGTCAATACCTTTACAAACCCAAAAATTAACCCACTGTTCATTTCTTTCGTTTGTTCGGCAAATCATTATTTCTCTATTGCTTGGATGATATTTTATATATACGATACACTTCGCTTTTTCGATTAGTTTTTCCACTCGCATCAACTTTATTACCGTCATCATTCATGAATAGTATTCATGGACGAATCCGATTTTTCATAAAAGGCAAGGAGTTGTAGTAGTAAGTACTACACGCCCCTACGTGTTATTTTAGCCACTACAATCTCTGAAGTACTCTCAGAGATTGAGGTCTCTCGACAGTTTGTGAACACTAATAACATTAAAGTGAAACGAGGCTGTTAAGCCGGTTCAGTATTCAAAGATATTTTGACCCTAGGAACATTCGTTCTATGAAACAAACAAGTAACATTATCATAACTTAATGAAATAAAAAAAAAAATTATTATCGACAGACATAATCCCACAAAACAGTATTTGGAATACAGAGCATTACTCGTCCTTCCATGCTGCATTCGCAAGTGTACACGTAGATGTAAGTCTTACGTGTCGCAAAAGACGTTTGGCCTAAGTTATTCGAAAGTGGAAGAACGCTAACCAGTAGATAAATCCCTGTCCGGTGAAAAGCGTGGTACGTTTTTTTAAAACTTATCAACTGGACTTACATTCACACGTTGGATAGCCTCATCTGCCGTTTGAACAACTGAACCCTCAACTTTCATCTACACTAACACTGATGCCGGAGTAATCTCACCTCTCTCGCAGATGAACGACTGTCTTTCCTCACAATCTCTTACTTCCCACGAGTGGAAAATGTCCTCGGAAAGTAGAGTTACACAATCTCTGCCTGTAACCGAGGCATCTTTAGGCTCCCGCTTAGCCCAGTTTGTAAACTCAGATTTGGTACCATCACTCCAGAAAAACTCGCCCCGGTTCCGTTTCAGACCAATCCAGACGCGAGCTTCTGGTCTGGCAACTTGTTCGGCTATAAATGTGTTTTCTGTGACGCTCCTGGATAAGGCCAAGTGCGAGTCCATTTCACGACAAGTTCCGTTTGCTTCTTGCCAAGTCTTTCCGTTAACATAAGGTAAATAACAAGATCCCTTGTGTCCTATCCAACCTTGTGGACATGATCCTGAAAAAACGAAAAAAAAATAGGAATGATTTTAATTTAATCAGCACAATGGGTCCCAATAGTTCATTTTACAGTTGTGTGCTTGGTTGCCAAGCCTTTGAACAGGAGTGAAGCTATGGGTGACCTTTTTATGATACAAACCTTGCTGCTTTTCAAATGTAAATTACTTTGTTGTCATCCTAACTAGATACTGGTCTCTATCACAACATAGTCAACTTCAGCCTCACTCAAATCAAAGGCTTAGCGACTAAGTACACGACTGTAAAATGGCCTATTTTTCAACTTAAAAAGTATACCGACTGCAAGTATATAACCACATCGGAAACAAACAATTATAGCTTTTTTCATTAAAAGTGACACTTTTGAAAGGATAAACTTAAACCCTTTGACTCCCAGAAGTGATTAGCATGTAATTTCTCCCCACCATATCCATACATTTTCCTGCACACAGGTAAGGAGAAGACTCAAAATTATCAGGCGGAAGTAATTACCTTGATCTAACACCAAATTCTCAGAACTAATTCTGAGGAAATGCGTAGCAGCTAGAGGGGAGAATTAACAGTCAGATCTTAGGAGTTAAAGGGTTCATCAACAGATTCAATAAATGTTTCCAAGGGATTGGTGGAGTTACCAGGAATATCAGTTCTTCCCGTGGAAAAAACGTTTTTTGACTGTCAATCAATTCCAGTGTCGAACAATTATACCCGGCGAAAGCCCCAACTGTTAAAACGGTTGTCTCGTCTGAAAGCCGTTACGATTCGCTCCAAGTATTTAAAGTTTTTAACTGGCATATGGAAATTCGCTTTTCATCACCCTTTAAATCCGTTCGGTAATAAGCCATGACTCAAACTGTTTTTGTTTCTTACGCTGCGTGTTTAATAACGTTAAAATCAACTCTATAACCTGGGATATCGAAGAATTCGTCAAGCTGCCTTGCTTTCCTCGGAGCTGTAGTCTGCCCTGAGAGAAGAAAATATGCGTTAGAAAAAAAAAAAAAGCTGCAAAGTTAAAGAAAACTGGATGAGGTGCGTAAGTAAATTATCTCTTATCTCTAATTTGGGTAATACTACTGTGATGCATCGTGTTAGAATAATTCATTCCACTGCAGAAGGCTCTTTCATGCTTACACGATTACAATTGCACCAAAGCTAATCTTTCGAAATCCTCTTCTTGTAAGGAGACACCAGTTCCTAGGACCCATGTAAGAGCTTTACGTTTTCAATCCGCATCTAGTAAATGACAATGTTAACAAGACAGTCGCCAAGGTTTCCACCCGTGAGAAGTATCCGACGGTGATTGAGTGCCAAATAATGTCTGCTTATCTGTTTATCTCGATGTGGCTTAGTCTTTGCATGGATGTATATCTCTATCATATATCCTTGTTAGCTTTATCAATAATCAAAGCTAATAAAGCTATGGCGGTATATGCTTGATTATACTATTAAATTAATGCACCAAGATAGCTTACACAAGTCTGCTTTGATGCGATAAGAAACGAGGTTTTAAAACCGCAAAGGCTGCAGAAGTGACAATTTTTCTGGTATTTCTTTGCGCAGATCGCGCTGTCAAATAAAACAAAGGATAAAAAAGACCATTTTGAGGACATGCACGGGTAATTGAATCTGCTTCCATAGAAAATTGCACTAACACGCAAGGACCCACCCTTTGATTAACAGACTTCACTTGAAGCCTAATTGTGTATTTGGGTCAGAAATATACCAGTAGAAATGAAACTCGAATAATTTGCCTCATTTTGCCATAATTACCATTTCTCTACAGTCAGAGTAGTTACTAACAAGTTCCGATTTCAGTTAACCCTTTAGCTCCCATGAGTGACCAAGAGAGAATTTCTCCTTACAATATCAATACAATAGCACGCATAGAAGTGATGAGAATGAAGTAAAATATCAATTAGGGGATTATTAGTTGTTCCAATGCCAAATTCTCCAAATTTACATCATAACAATCGTATGGTAGATAGTAAGGAGAATTACTGATAAGATCTTGGGAGTTAAAGAGTTAAGTGTTCTACGCGCGATTAACTCTCACTTTAGCACTTTCTTGGTCAACGACATTGTAAGTATTCAACCCTTTCTTCTCTCTTGACATTAATGTGTGATTCAGTGGCGATATTGTAAGGAGAAATTAGATGCTAGTCACTCTTGAGGGTTAAAGGATCAATACCATCCCAAAAGAAAATTTAGCCTCTGTTATCCACAAACAGGCTGGGCTGCTGATATCTTCTATATAAGTAAGAAAAAAAAAAAAAAGACTTTTCACATGTTTTTGGTCACAGTTCGTTTGGACCACACGATGACTATCCGAAAACACAGTTTACTGAATGGTGACAAAAGTTTTGTCTTCAGTTATCGCCCTAAACAACTTTGGAAAATAATTAAATTCCACCAAAACAGGAGACGGTGATATGATGCAGAAAACACATGAACAGTTCACAGTTAGTTTTATCTTTCTTGGACAGCAATTAACCCGAAATTTACCCTCACATTCCAAAGAGTTACTTCATCCCCTGTATTTAACCTTTCGAGAAATTTCTTTGTTGGTAATTCTAGCCATTAGTTGACAGCTCAATGACATTCACTAAAAGCAATAGAGTCTCTCTTTCTTCACAAATGTCAGCACCAAATTTTAAGTACTTTTACGATGTTCCCTTGTGAGGTTTAAATCACGATGGCTTTACCAGTAATTTATGAGTTTTTCTTTTTTCCACAACAGTTCTAATCTGTACTCGACGCTAACTCGTCCTATCTTCACTTTTTTAAAAACCTTTTGAAAAACCATCATCTACTTAACACGTAATTCAAGTTTCCATTGGAGGCAGTCAGAGAGGTGGAGTGACTGAAACGTAGAAAAAAACCGACAAAAGGGAAAAGATCAATCATCAGCCTTCGGATTGGTGTGTCCTCTGTCTGGATCAATGATTTAAAGTTTCTTGGTGTGTCCTCTGTCTGGAAAACTTGATGGCAAACCTGTCTGCTTACGCACCGACGTGGATAAGACCCACTAAAATCTCAAAAGCTACATCGCAAACTCTAACAAACGAAGAGTTTATTGGAAGTAAAAGGCGTCGGATAAACTGATGTAATATGTCAGAGCTTTCCTCTATAAATCCTGATGTGACAATCCTTGTGTCATGAGTTTAGCTCGGGTTAAGACCTCAGTTAGCCGTTTATTTAACTTTCACTTATCTTTCTCGCCACAACAAATTAATTAATTTTAACCTTGCGTTGCCCGACCAAGTACCATTTTAATTTTTCCAGCCTTCGCTGCAATTTCAGAAACAAAGCAGACAAAAAAAGATAACCTAATTCATTCTCGGTGTGTCGTCAAACCAGACTGTCCTACTGCTTGGTTCAAAGAAACCCCACGAGGTTTGGCACGGAAACCAATGGCTAGCATTATAATCCAATAACGAGGATGTCTATGACTAAGAAATCTCACCAACAAAATGTCTTTGATAATCGCGACAGAGTTTTAAAACAGAAAGACGCTAATGAGTTAGCGGCAATGACACCCCTATTATTATTATTTATCATAACATCCCTGTGCTTTTTCTGTTTTTATTGTTCAAATTATGGAGTGAAAGCTTTCAAACCGTGCTGCAAAGTTGTTTTGATAAATAAGTGCCAGGAAACGGCGGATAACGCGGTTCTCAAGCGCTTTAAATTGCGGAACTACATGACCGCAGAATGCTAATAAGGGCATCCGGCTACACAGCCCAAATTCCTTGAAGAATTAACTAAAATCAACGTCTCAAATAATTCCATTTTGCGGAATGACAGTTCACTCTAAACATATCATAGCAAGGATTAGGCGAACATCAAGAGACACGGCACGTCCTTAAAAAGGCAATTAAAGTAAAGCAACATTGCTGCAACCTTACGGTGGACATGGCGAAATAAAATGTCGAGAGGTTTAACAAAACTGCATTTCATTAATTGATTATTCTTCTTTCACTCTATCTAGAACGGTTGCACACTGATGTTGTCCTCAGCATCTAAGTTTCATTTAAAACGAGATAAACAAACACACCGCCCATCAGTCTGGATCTCGCTGATCTGCGCGGCGCAAGACTCTACAATTTTTACGTAACCAACTGAGAAAAGGTCATATCAACATATCAAACCTTGATCCGACCGGATAAAATCTGATAGATGTGAAGATAGAAAAATAACTTTACAAATTCCTTTAAAACTTTAAATTCTTATAACAAATGGCTATACCACAATCAATCAAAGGTAAAGTTAAAAAAAAATAATAGAAAACAATACGATAGGATTTTTCTTGACACCATCGCAAAAATGCGAATGCAATTTAATTAAATTAGCTTTAAATTTTTTCCAAAATTTATTGGCAAGTTGATGGTAAATTTCTTCATTAAAATTTATATTTCAATTTTAAAATTGAACTTCAATGGCGTAACATTACAAAGAATAAAACCAAGGTCTGAAGAACATCGCATGATAACGAAGTGATGAATTTGCAGTCGTAACCAGTTAGAAAAATCCAGCGCAACCAGAAAATATGAGTGTTACCGGGAGCGATCAAATTGGCTGAGAACCTGTTTAAGGTAGCAATGCATGATGTTTACTGATTCTTCCGCTACTGAATGCCACGGGATGAGTTTAGCCACTCAACCCACTATTTCCCTTCGCAAAACAGGCATCTAAAGACAATTCACATGTCAATCGTAACAGAGGGGGCTCCAGAATATCAAACACATGGCCACAATACGCAATTTCCACCTTTTACGTAAAATCACATTAGTGTGTTTAGTGGGTGGTTTCAGGTTTGCACAGTTCTCATTCGATCTGTACGGTATACGCGAACATATTGCGATAAGAATTTTTGACCGAGCCCAACACGAAATAATATTGTTTCTTGCCCGTCTGCTGCCACCAGATATATCTTTCCGGGTTAAGTTAAACTCGATATTGAACAAGTGGACAAGAGCAAGAGAAAAATCGAAAAAAAGGCAAGTGGCATGTGGCAAGTGGCAAGTGGTGGCCAGCAGTCTTAGTTGTGTGACACTCGCTCGCAGTGGGAAGGGGTCAGAGCCCACCTATGTACATGAATACACATGGTTTCGTAACTGAAAAAACGCTGATATCAGTTTTTCTAATCATATATAAAAAAGGTCAATATTAGAGACTCCATTTATGACTTGGGCTTGAGTCGATACTCTCGTGTAAAGGTTTTAAATCATCTCTATATGCTCAAACCTGAGAACGAAAACGAGACAGCTAGATCGAATCTAAACATTAAATGTTGTGCAGTTATTATTTTCAAGATGATCAGCTATTGAAAATGTCTATTTCGGTTTAATCAGTGGAGAGCTTTACTCTTGCACTGTCAACAGCAAATGGAAGGAGCTTGCAGATAGCTGTTGTAACGAGTAGATGATGATCTAAAGAATGAGTAGAATTTGCGGTCTATATGATAGCCATCGATGCGAGGTGCCACGTTCTTTATTATAGCTCATGTTTGAGATAAGAATGAGATAAAGCCTCTTTTAACGTTGGTGAGTTTACATTATGGCAGTTTGTAGTCCTCTTTTCTAATACCCAAATCGGTTCTAAGGATGGTGCATGGCTTGAAAACACGTAAAAAGGGTAGTGCAAAAACAGATTAAACAGCAATTAACTGCCGAGTTTTCATCAATGTCTGGATTTGCGTTATGTCGTTCACGAGAGGTCAAAGGAGCACGGATTCGAAGAAAATATGCCACGGGAGCGGCAGCGCTCGAGAAAAAGCAGTGAGTGGTATCTTTATAATGCTGTAATTTAAGGTATGCTGAAAAAAAGGCCTTAAATTCTTTGGTTTAATCTCGCTTAGGCGACACCAAACTTCTGTTGTTAAAGATAAAGCGAATGACTAATTTTTAAATGAAGTAACCTTGACACAGTGCTTCTTACACATGTGTTTGGCAAAAGCCGCGGAATAGAAATCGGAGATCCTCGTTTCAGAGTGAACTATGCCTGAGAAACAACAAGAGTCGACTTATCAATCGCCTAATAAGCATCTGTGTTGCGATTTAGCGTTTCACGGATCAACGATAAAGCAGGAACGACATTAATAAAATATTTCTTCGGTTTCCTTACCTTCGTTCGCTGTAATTAACAGAAGGCCTCCAACCAACAGCTGATAGCACAGAAAGTTCATTCCGTACCAGCGAGAAACTCGCAAGAGGCGACTTTGTCCACTCCTATCGAAGGAATATCGCAAAAACAAGAAGCATTAGTCTCTATATGCTTCCAAAAATTAACATTTGAATCACTAAATGGTTTATGTTTCAGCCATAGTTGATGTTTACACTTACTAGAATGTCAATCTTCTCTCGCACTGAGAGCGGCAAAAGAAATTTACACACGTTTCGAGTTGCAGATACCTCCAGGGGGTCAGCATGAGTAACGCATTAATTTTCAAGGTTGATCCTTATCCGGTTTCTCTCAACGAGTTCTAAACAATGACCTTGAGTCACTAAGTAGAATATACAATTCTAGATGTAGTGTGAAATTCTCATCATGTAAAAAATAACAAAGTTCAGCATTGTTTACTTCTAATTTCCTCCAGACTTATTTTTGAGCCAAGTTATCAACAGTTTAATTTCATCCAGACACTTTGCCTGCCTTGAGATCTTTATTCCAGTGATGAAAGAGATATACTACTTTTCCATGTTTGATAGGCCCAAGAAATTTAGTGGAGTCACCAAGGAATATTGGGAAGAAATTCCTCAGGAGATATTGCTCGTGATGAAATGGAGTATTGATTATTTTTGTGATCCGGTTTATATGCTATTTATCGAACAGAGGTCAGCGAGAAAAAATTCAAATATGGTGGGGAGTGTCCGTTACGTAAGCAATATCATGTTTGTCAATACCTCTTTGTCATTAGCGGATTGCAGCCACATAAACTCGTATCGGTTTTCAAAACATATCTTGAACGATCTGTGCACCAAACTAACAAATTTAATTCCAATTGAAAGTAAGTCCTTCACAACTAATCGCTAAACGGTATATACGCTGTAGAAAGGCATATTTTCATCCATATTCAGACATTTCTTTTGGCCTACAACCAGCATAGAAAAATATTTTCCGGTAACGACTTGCCACCTTTCACTTCCGGAAATTTCCAAATATTCGGCAGGTATCATGAAGGGGTTACTCAGCACCCAATCAACCCCTTTTTAATTTTATCATAGTTCGTTTTCTGTCTGATTGTGCAATCTATTGGCCACTTGGGATAACATAAATTCATTGTAAATGTGCATGTCTAGACATGGCTTGATGCTACTCTGGTTTACAGATTTAATGAATATGACCGAAGAAGTGACAATTCATAGACCTAACGTTTCGACACTCCTGTCTAGTGCCTTCATCAGGGGTGATCTAAACGCTGCAACAAGAGGTCCTTTTATATGATCACTAATTAGCGGCCTTTTTTCTGACGAGGTGTAAATAGGCGTCAGGAAGCAAACCGCTATGTCTGATCGTCCACATGGTTGCCGTGTGAACTTTAATATGTGTCCATGTCTACTTTGAAGTCGACTAACTATTGGAGGCTACTGTTAATTGGTGCGAAGATCAGACTAATTAAATTTTTGAAACCTTTTTTTTTTTTTTTTTAGAATGGCATCCCCGTCCCTTTCCGGTTTCAGCTGAAGGAACCCAGGGAGAATTGGCGGGAAAACGCCAAAAAAGGGATCTTATTCATTTCTAGCTTGAGAAAACAGTCTTTCGTGTCAAGTTTTGTCTCCTTCGCTGAGAAAACATACAGCCGAAAATGGCGCAAGCTACCTAATTGCAATCCATCCTGGTTTGACTTCCTGCAGAAATAACTCTTAGAGCGACTAAAGTGACCTCTCAAGTCTTTCCTGTGTAACATACAAATTACGTTACATCTATTCACCAACCATGCCGTTCCAGCACATGACCTTTCTTTTTCTCCAACGAAAATCTAATGGTAAGCTGTTCTGTAGTCTGATATTGCCTATGAGCGATCGCTTGGACCGGGTTTTGATTATTTTAAAAAGTAATTAATCTCTATCAATAAGAGTGCGCTGGTGAACTCTAGTATCACTTGTAAGGTGAATGGATTGACAATGCACCGATTCTAAAAAGTAGTCCAGTGAGAATTGACTGGTTGTACTGTACTTCACGTTATCATTGTTCTCCAAAATTTGCGCCATTCTCTCAGTTTTTCATGTTCCACACTAAAGTTTCAAATCATGACTTGGTCAGCGGCGGTCACATTTTTTATGTATTTTTCTGATTCCCTTAAATTTGTTCCTATCATTTTTTTCACCTGCTTTGTCTTTGCGACACATAATCGCCAAAGCGTTCTGAAGCTATCTACTCCTTAGAGAAGGATGTTTTCCGTCTTGTCACGAAGAAAAAATTCTGAGTCTCCACGAGGAATCGAACCTCAGACCTTCATATTCCGCGTTTCGATTAAAAAAAAAAAATTGCCATCTCTCTTATTCTATTTATCTACTCCTTGTCTGAAAATTAAAAAAAAAAAAAAACCAAGAAACGCGTGTGTAGCTTGTTGAGGTTCATGGAAAGTCCTTGTTTGCTAGGGTTGTGTAAGAAACGTGTTTTCTATGACTGTTTTTAATTGTTTTCGAATGCGTTCTACCAGAAAGAGCTGCTGAAATAATTCCCTGATCTTCAGTATTATCACCGATTTCAAAGGACAGAAAGAGTCCACAGGCTGTGGGATTTGGTATCCCGGCTGAAAGATTGCGATAAATCGTGGGCGCAATAATAAGATCACGAAGGAGCATCTACACCTGTCACAGGTGTAGATGCTCCTTGACAGACCTCCTTGAATTCAACAACAAAAGCGAGACGTTTCTCTTTAAATAAATACCTTTAAAATTAGCCTCCTGGAGACTACAAAGATGTTTTGTAAAGGCCCAGACAGAAATGCGTAACTTGCTTCTTTACATTGGAAACTAAATTATTTATCTAAAAAAAAATAAGTGATTAGTAACAGAGATGGAACAAAAACAAAATTCTGAATTATTAACCTCGCAAGTTTTCTGAACACAAGAGATCGTAAAGCCATCGTTGCCAGGTGAAAAGAGACAGTCTTGATCTTTGAACCAAAAACAGTCTCGTCTGTCATCACGAAAGGTTTAGATTTGACCTTTTAGACAAAAACGCTTTATATATGTAAGATTAATCTGCTAAACAAGACAGATGTTTGCAAAATCGTAAGACATAAACATTTTTCCATTGACATTTTCGTGGCATTAAACCGCGAGTAGTTCATACAACGATTAGGGACCTGTAAAATTAAACTCAGGTACATGTATCTCGAATTTTCCTGCCATTTTGTCTTATAAAAACTTTAACCTGTGACACTAAGCGAACAAGGCCTCTTGCGCCCTTTACATCAGCAGGAAACAGCCTAACATGCTGTACACCGTCTGTAAAATAACTTGCAATAACTACAATATGACACACAAACTGAAAAGTAAATTTTTTCTCCAAGCACAAAAAATAACGATTAAAGTATCCATTCAGCTCAGATATGTACTGTGGATTTTTTGGGTGACAACCGAATGAAAGACATCTAAAATCTACTAAGTATGGAGGATGACCTTATTTTGTTTTCAAACTGTTCATCTAACAGGTCTCACCTCCGTCAGTTTAGCAAAATTGGGCTTACTTTTTTTCAGCCTTGATACCACCCGATTCAGATCAGAAGATGATTCCTTTAGCAGCTTGCCGTCTTGTGCACTTTTTTACACTCAGCTGAGTGCAAGGAATTCGAAGGTACAAACAGAAAAATAGCAGCCTCTCTCATGAATTATCAAGTGATCTCAATTCGATTGGGAATACTGAAGTAGACATGAAGCCGTCTTTTATGCCAAGGGGGAGAACCATTCAGATATCTGCGAATCGTAGCCAGGAATATGTTTAAGGAAATCCAGGATTGAATTGTTTTGTTTTCAATTCGCCGCAGAGGCTTTGTAACTGGTTTAAAAACAATCTTGCACTGCTTCAAGAAATCAATCAAGCGCAAAACCAAAACCAACCCCCGTCTTTTTCCGGCTCGCGTTTTCCCGCGCTTCAGGCAGTGTGCTTGCTGCATGTTACTTTGAGGGGGACATGGGGGTTTGCGGTGTTGCGGTGTTGACTCTTTTTTTGATGCGGTATTGTGGTGAAGAACAATTGGTATCGCGGTGTTGCGATGATCTCAAAGCTTACGGTTTACGATGTTTGTAGCTTCAAACCGACGGTGTTCGGTGAAATAAACCATTTCTGGTGTTGCAGTTTATCCTTCAACGACGACCATGGCAAAGCATGGCACTCTCCCTGAGTTTATATGCCAACCACAGTTATTGCTAAACCAATGAATGACAGCGGACCACCCAGTTCTTTATAAGATGAAGCACAACTAGTCGACATCATCGTAGACCACATAGATAGACAAACGATAAACTTAGCTGCTATAGTGTTAGTCCCCACGATGACTAACTGTATAAAATTCTTTATGAAATAGAAAATGGATTTGAAACAAAAAAAACTAGACAAAGGAAGTCGTGAGATCAAAGGAAGCAAACTGTGAACTTCACTTTTTGCGGGAATATGTTATAACTTCAAAGGACGGAAGACTGACCCAACGGAAACACTGTCGTATCACTTGGCAACAGTAACTTCTTTGGCTCATCTTAGTGTCGCCTACACTTCATTCATAATCAAGTGTAGGCGACAGCAAGGAATTTTACATGCGTAGAAGGCGGTAGGATTGTCTTGTGATGTGTTTCTTGTGTTTGAAAAGTAGAAGTAACGGTAATTACGTTTTTTTAAAAAAAAAAAAAACATTTAGACCAAGTAAATCTTGCGGTGTCGGCGTGTTGATAATATTTCTTGTGGTGATGCGGTGTTTGTTCTATTTTGTTGCGGTGTTGCGGTATTCAGAACCCCCCATGTCCCCCTCTACTTTGAATTCTCACTGGCTACCTCCAACGTTTTCCTTAATTGTGATTGGCTCTTGTTATTACTCTGATGTTGCTTCTATAATGCTCGATAGAAAAGCGCTCTAAAACGACCTGGTCTTGTCCAAAACTCTACAAGTTCTACGTCGTAGAACATCTCCTCCTTCCCCCCCCCCCCCCCCCCCCCCATTAATTGTATTGAAACCATTAATCCGCAAATACTCATGGTTTCCGTTACAGGGTTTAGAAAGCCGTGACTTAACAACTACAACTTAAATTGGACTGAAGCAAATATTTCACAAGTAACAATAAAACAAGGTGCTTAATTTTGCGGGCACTCCTCGATATTCATAACACAGGGGCCGCGCAGCAAGTTTTCGAGTGGGGGGGCTAAAGAGGAATGCGTGAAGGAAAATTTTTTTGTTAAATTATTTTTTGTTTAATTTATTTTTATTCTTGCAAAAAAGTGGGGGGCTAAAGTCCCCCCAGCCCCTCCCTCTGCGCGGTCCCTGTAACAGTTTACTGCATTATGGTATTTCATAATGCTACACTCACAGTCCCCCTTCACATAACTTAAGGGAATAATGGATTCAAAAGTGTTTTGTAGACCCATCTTGAGTTGTATTGTTTTGGTGTCTATAAAATCATGAATACTAATCGTGTCCCGGTGATAAATATTTTTGAAGATAGTGAATCATTCTTAAACCAATTCAAACAAAACTATAATTATTTGACTTTTCACAGACAATTTCCTTTACATTGCACCAAAATAAATACCACTGGAAGTATTTAGAGGCCTTTCATGAATCAAAATTCTATGAAACCTTGGTTTCCCGAGGGACGCGTCAGACATGCATCACTGCGGACCGAGGGCCCAAAATTTGCAAGTTCCAGAAGGTCAGTCGGTATTCAAGCGTCACTTCGTTTTATTTCATGGAGATGTGAACGCAACTTCGAGCGTTTCAACATGTGCCTTTGCCCCGAGGAATTTGCTTTCCGTCGTCTCAAATTGAGTCATCCTTATGCAAGTGCGTTTGCGACATCGCCGGTGAGTACCTCGGCTTTTTAAGGCAAGGAACATTTCCCTTTTAGATTCACGATCTGATCAAAGACGGATTACTTTAGGGTCTTTCATTTGTTCCTTGCACGGATCATGTTTATCAAAGATTGTTTAAAGAATTTCTGAAAATGAAGAGAAGTTTAGTTTTCTTCCCACAATGAATGAAAGTCCTTGTAAATGGCAAAGAGCACTGAATTCTTTGTAAATCAAGCCTTTATCTGCCAGTGAATTCATTATATAGAAGGCATAAATAAGACGTGAGTTACTGGATCACGAATTTTGTCAAGCCATTTATGAAACTGACATTTGTAACAAATGCATTCTCTTAAAATTGGTGAGAGACCCCCATTTCAAGAAAAGTAAAAGATCGTTGTGGTTCTGTAATGGCGCCAAAATCTTTGGATCAACGTTTACTGTTCATGGGAAGAGTAATAATTATGAAGTGGCGCGCTTCGACAGTCGCCCTTCAAGGGATTTCAGTGAGTTATCAATATAGTCAAATACTTTCTAGAAATACTGCGATAACAGGTATGTTAAGTCCATTAAAACTTCGTGTTCATAAAACTGACGGTATCAAAAGATTACATTACGAACAAAATCGGTTAAAATCTTTACCTTTTTAAAAAATTACCTTGTATGATTTTCATTCGCTTAAATGATGCTACTTGATCTAATTATTAAAACACGGTTTCCGCGCACGAACTTAAGGTTCCATAGCCAACAGCGTAATTATCTTTCAACTTTAAAAAAGTTACACAGCAGCAGAAGTTTCATGGAGTCCCGCAGGACTTCAGGAGAGTTACATCATGGGAATGGAGCCTCTTTGAGCTCCCACTAATTCGCAATTATCTGTAAAATAAACAAATATTGACTAAAATATTTTATGCAACGCTAACAACTTGCACAGCCGAAAACTGTTTTAAATTATCACACTTGGTAGACTTCATGAATCAGATACTCATTGCTCTTATATGGTACGTTCACCATATGCAGTTTAATGAGATTAAGAGCGAACAAGACTTTCTGATTGTTTAACAAATGTATTTGAAACACACCACAGAAGATTGTCATAATTATTCATAACCGTTTATTAGTTCTGCTTATATTTCTATTTCATCAAATTAGGAATTTTAAAATTACTCCTAAGACAATAACAAGAGAAGGTAACTTATGCTGAGAAGCACTATAAAAATTTTCGTTCATAAATGACTTCGGTCGCGAAACAGTATTGACATACGATTGTTTTCATAACAAAAACCTCGCTTTACTCGCGACAAAAAATATCGGGCTCCAGTAGTTTCAGATTGTATTGGTATAGCCCGCGCAGAAATCGCAATCACTCAACGGTGCAAAACGTGTATTTCGTGTCAAGTACATGTGGCGCCTAAAATCGAAGATAGCGCAAGTGATTGTGCTGGTCGTGTAGAACCTGTATGTTCTAAAATCCTACGATAAAAAAATTAATATCGTAATTTTTTCTAGCATGGAAACCAACGACCTTTCCTTCGAATTGTGAGCGAAGTATAAGTATCCATGACCCGTAAGGACCCGTGCGCGCAATCACATAGAACCTTGTGGAAATACAGTTCAGAAACATACGTTAATGATCCAGCACATCTTAATAACACGACCCAACACTAACTGTCGATCAACAATTCACATTCTCTTTCAACCAAGTGCCTTTCCCAGGCGAACTTTTCACTCAGGATGTGTAAAGAATATACGTATGCTTCAAAAACCATATAATTTTCATCTCCCCTTTAAAAATTTTGAACGAAAATTTGCTTCTCACCGCGGTTTTGAGTCTCAATGTGTAATCTAACAGCTCGATATTGTTTTCAAATGGGCAACTGAAAAATTTGACCATGGACGCCGTTATATTTAAATAAATCAGTGCACCTGCCTTCTACGCAAAACTACAACGCGCGGTCATTATACAAGGGAAGCATGCCTGCCTGTGTAGCATGCAGTTTGTTTTAAGGAAAGGTACTACAGGGATGGGAAAGAGAGGAGAGAGACTGACAAGTCAGAGTAAGAGGCCAGGTTACTGACTTAAAGTATGTAGTCGAATTTTTCTTAAATCTAAAAACAGTTTTTACAAGGTTTGGTTAGTCTGTGGATTCTCAATCTGCGGTAAATCAGTTCCCGGCGGATTTATAAATTGTATGTTACAGATTGGGAGGGTGATGTAAGAAGATTATCTTTGCTCTCGGTATCGACTGACTGGCAGTATTTTGTCTCAACAGTGGCTACCCCTTCCTTTGTTCCTCATTTACCGCCTCATCGCCGCCTTCTACTTTCTGTCATGGTTGATCTACAGTGGCTTTAGCGATGGTAACTACTGGTTCATTTTCCTTAGTAACTGGGTCCTTACCTTTGTAACCGCTTACTTTCTGCTTGCCATGTTCATTACTACCCACTATTGCTGCGGATCTGGAGTCGAAGATGACCCGGCTGGCTACGGACCTCGTCGTTTCAAGTCGGAAACCTACATCGTGGGATTGTCTTCCGAAGATGAAAACGAGACCGAAGACGAAGGGACATCCTATGCCACTAAAGAAGATGATGAAGACGGGCTGAGCTGGCCACAGAAGGTATTGTGGGTACTTTTCGACATAGGAAGTGTTACTTCGCTGGTAGTCACCATTTTCTATTGGTCAACGCTGTACCCTGTAAAAGGTGGAGCAATCGATGGTTTGAACATAAACGAACATATTTTAGCTGCCGTTTTTATGCTGATAGAAGTCGTATTTAGTAATATTCCCATCCGTCTCCTGCATTTTTTCTATCCTCATGCGTTTTCTTCGATCTACGTGCTTTTCAGCGTGATTTACTGGGGCGCTGGGGGAAAGAATAAGGAAGGCCTGAATTACATATACCAGATCATTGATTACGAAAAAGAACCAGGTCGTGCCATTTTTATGGTGTTCTTCTTGTTAATTGTAACGCAAACAATGGTGCATTTGTTCCTCTTCATATTGTTCAGATTTAGGGCGTGGCTTATATCTAAACTCCAATGAACCCAAGTAAAGTATGGTTATCATTGAACGTTAAGAGGACTTGCAAAACGTAAAGAACGTTGTTAAGCTCAGTGAGACGCAAAGTCTGCCATATGTTAAGTTGCTAAAAATACAACCACTTTTAAGAGAAGAACTGTCCAGAGAATAATCTCTCGAGAACTGTATAATAAACTCATAAGTCTCTCACCCGAGGAAAATTGATCAAGAAAATGTTGGTCGCATTATTTTCCCTTGAATGAATTCATAAATTCTGCCAAAAGTGGGACGATAAAGTATCTTGCTTACTAGCGGGTTCTCTAAGGTGATATAAAGTTGTTCTTAATCCTTTAAATCCTAAGAGTGATTAGCATCTAATTTCTCCCTACAATATCACCCCTGAATCACACATCAAGGTCATGAGAGTAAAGGAAATGATCACCAGGGAAGGATCCTTCTGATTGGCAAACAAATTCTCTCTGTCAGCACCTTAGGAATGTATAAAGAACAGTGTGGAGAATATGCATTCTGATGTTGGGGCGTTAAAGGTTAAGTTAGTGTGCTGCTCCCTTACAAGCACTGCAATAGCTCCCCTGTATCACGGGTCTTAATCAATTTCTGCCGAAAAAAAATTAACCTTGCATGCAAAATCAGTAAGTGGATTAAATAGGAAATATTTGTTAACTTGTTTTTTCAAACGTTGTCAAGCTTTTTATCGCTTTTTTTAGTCAATTAAACATGCATTTTATTCCGAGTAAGAAATTTTCGTAAGCATTTTTTCGCTGTAACACTTTAACTCCCAAGATCTTATTAGTAATTCTCCTTACCGTCTGCCATACAGTTAATGTGATGCTTGTTTGGAGAATTTGGTATTGGATCAACTTATAATCCCCTCATTGAGGGGATTATAAGTTGATAGTTATTTTTCTATATTCTCATCACTTGTGTGGTTGATATTGTATTGATATTGTAAGGAGAAATTCTGTCTTGGTCACTCATGGGAGCTGAAGGGTTAAATATGACACTCTATTTAGTGATAAGAGTAGCATTTTAGCCAAACGCTGTTTGTCTACGTTTTCATGCGCTTTTAATTAAGGGAAAAAAAGTTAGAAAAAAGTAGCTCAGTAAACGTGGGTTTTAAGATAGTTGGGATATGGAAGACCCAAAAGCCAGTTGTTGGAAAAAAAATGCATTTATAGTTAGCCAGTTTTCCTTGTTTATGACGAAAGGCCTCATTTTTAAACAAAAAATTGGCTAAAAAAAAAGTACAATGCAATGTATCTATCTCAATTTCATTAAAGCATTTATAAACTTCTCACGTGATATTATGTAACTGCGATGGTTACTGATCTGTCTCTGAACAGTTTCGATTATTTTGGCTGTAGTGGGGAAACAGGAAAAACTATCCTCCGATTTTCTTAAAAAGTTCACCGATTCTGGACCTATTAAGTGCCAATGTGCTATGTATGATTAAATCTCTGCGGGGCGGTTGCTAATTTTTTAACACGGCAATTAAAGTTCAAACAACAAAATCAATTATTGCATATTTTGGTGACGTTTACATTTTCAGCTTCAGTGAAAAGAGTCTGAGATAAATAAAATGTAAGTGAGTTTCAAAAAACGCTATCTTATGAGCATCATGAAAAAGAGCTATAGCGCTTTCAACCTGTTTCTTAGGAGAAATAAATCAGCTTGAATGGAAGACTACACAACGTTAAGTAGTTACTTCTAACTAAAATCATTCTCTTTCCACCAAAATTCCGATTCCCAGACCAACCTATTCGAGTATATGAGCAATCATCAATCCTCAAGCAATACACCGAGTCAATTAAGTCTTCTTTGCAAAACGTTTAAGTCGCCTGAATTACAGCAAGCTGAGGTGAATTTGATCGTGATCACTTCTAGACATTTACCATACCTTGATAGCGTTTCGCTGATTTTTTCCACGACATTTCCATCGGTCACCCCAAAGAAGATGACTACAACCTTATTTCGATAGTTCAGCAGATTACTGAACATTTTGAAGTATCATATTCCTCTCAATGGGACCATTTTTTAGAAAATCATGCAGGGTTGTGCGTAAACAAACAATCTGAAGAGCATAATCTGCAAACTGTCAGCGGTAGTACTGCATGTAAAAAAAAACTGGTGCCACAGTGAAGATTTGCAACTCTGTTCTGCACGAAGGAGGTATTAATATTTCTCGAGATTGTTCGATTCATCTGAAAATTTATGGACTCAAAAAATCAAGGGTTGGACTCATATTCTATAGAGCAGGTGAGTGAAATCAAAGTTTTATTCCTAAGTCTTTTACACAATAAAATGAATCATGATCGTGACGATGAGTGTAGGTCTCTAATTGAGATTTATCGTTTTAGATAATAATAAGTGTTCTTAAGGCTTTAAAGCTTTTCCTTCAGATTAGAGCATGCATATCAAGGCGTATAGATTTAAATTTTTTTGCTGCTGACCGCAATCGCTTGGGAATTTACTAGAAAGGCAGACGCTGAAGAATTGTCTAATAGTTCCCGAGCGCTTATTTAGATTTCGGCCAAAAGGAGGGGCGCTTTTTGGAAGGAGGGCGCTTGATCGAGAGAGGTGCTTATTAAGAAATTAGTGACCGTTTTAGTGAAGCTTAAAAATTTATAAATAAAGTAGCAATAGAAACAGGTGTTTTCTTGTATCCTTGCTTCTTAACAAAGTGAGGGGGGAGGGGGGTATATGTTTCATATTATGGCCGAGGGGGTGAGCGATTATTCGAGGGATGGCGCTTATCAGAGCGTGGGCGTTTATTCGAGGAAATACGGTGTTTGAGAGGACCGGGCCTACGCGGTGTTGTGCATGCCTGTTACCCAAAGTAACGTATGTTAAGATAGTCTGGTGCAATTCAGCCGATTTAAACATAAAAGTGACGATGAACGGTACGGCCAAACGATTCAGGATTGTTCAATTACTCAGGAAGGAAGGTCTGGGATCGGAATTGCGCAGAGCGCAACAGCACAAGTGGCCAAAAGTGTGACTAAATGAACTATCAATTCCTTTGTTTATGTCAGCTGTCAGGGAAAATTGAATGCATAAAGGTAAGGAAGAGTGGTGTCTCTAAATATGCTGGAAGCTTTAGCGTGTTACGATTAATGAATTAACACCCCTTATCGTTGCTAAGGCGATAAGAGTGTTGCACCCCTTATAAAGAGAAATTTGTGCGTTCTCATAGGGTACCCACATTCCAGAAAAATTTTAATAGGGGTCGAACGTTTTCATTTCCCTGTTTGTTTGATTCTCGTACACCCAATTCTTAAAGCTATAACTTCTTCACCACTTTTTCGTGAAAGCTATAGTCAGCAAAAAAACAAAAGAAAGAAGCAAAATCTGATCAAGCTAAAAATAAAAGGGCCTTCGATGAGGTATTTCCATGAAATAAATGTTGGAATACGTGAATCAAAAATTCGCACTACAAGTTAATCTAACTGGACTAACGCAATTGTTTCTGTGTCCCATACGGCAGACAAATTTTCAAGATCTTTCTTCAATATTCAATTGGCTCTCCGGCCGAGATTATCCTCATCGGTAGCTCGTGTTTCTTTCCGATTGTTTGTCCATTTGCCATCTCTGACTGGGGCGAACGAAAAAAAAGAAATTCAAATATTTACGAGAAATAGGCAACTGTGACCACGTTTGTGTGAATCTAACACAAGTCGGCTTTGTGAAAGGGGTTTCACCCTCAAGTACAGCTTTTCACATCTCTACGAGAAGTACTAATAACAATGGCCACAGTCTAGATTCTCCCGACTAAGACCGACGTCTTAATAATGCAAAGTTATTATGTTTATTTTGATGAAATCGAACTGCAAACATTACCAAAACAATTGGGAGCTCAGATTCAGTCAGAAAAAAATTCACGCAGCCTTATCATCTCTAAGTAGCATCCAGAAAATAAAGTCGGTTGTGCGAAGTTTGCCATGAGAAAATAAACACATTTCTTTTATAATTAAATCATTCCAAACTAAAAAATGTGTTATTTCCGGATAAGATGAATTCATTTTCACCCTCGTCAGTAAAATGAATGTTCATCACGCAAGAAATACTGATGAGCTTTCAAAATCATTTGACTCACATTTTGTTTGCTATTTTCCTAACAAGTGAAACGCAATTTTTCGATTGTATTTTTTATTAAAAAAGAATGATTTCAGATTAAGCGAGAAGAATCATCTCGACAAAATATTTTTTTTCTTGGTTTGATTCATGGATTGATGTGAGGAAAAAGTCAACAACGTGCACGTGAATCTCTTTTATATCATGTTTTAGTCCTAGAAGATAATCTTTATACGCACAACAACTGGCTTCAATAGCATTCTGCGGAGAATTTCTAACTTTAGTTATTTAAACGGACATAACCTTCAAACAAATTAAAGAAAAGCTGAAAATGAATGAGTATACTTTTCAAGATTTGACTTGAAAAGAAATTATTTTAGTACAAAGCCAATGGCTTGAGAATCCACTGTGTTCTCTTCCTAAATTTATGATTAGCATGAGTGGTGAAGATTGTTAACAAAATATGTTTGAGTAACCACATAAGGCTGTTACAGAAGGGTAAAAGTGGGAATGAACGAAAAAATCGTTTTGAATAGCGAGATCGTTTAATTGATCCTCTGATCTTGCGTAAAAGGTAAGAATATTAAGTCTAGCTGTACACGGCTGTAATGTGTGCACTGTAAGAGAAAAGTTACTTAACCTTTCGCCACCAGTGAATAAAGGGGGTAAGTTTCTAAAGAAACAGTGGTGCTGCGTCGGTGGGAGAGTGTAACATTCGCTCTGACGAGAAGCTAACGCTCGAAACGTCAGCTCTTAAACTCTTTATAGTGGCCAATTCTCAGTTGATAATACTAAATTACTCTTTCCCCACCAGCTCTCGTGAAAACTTGAGCCAGCGTTTCAGAAATTTATATGACATACTCAATACAATCCTTTTATGCTTTAAGGCTCGGCGTAAACTAACCAGAAAGAGAGTTTGAGCATAAGTATCTCTGAACACTAGAAAATTGCACAATGAAAGCATATCGTCACTCTATAAAAATTTGACCTTGACTAAAAGTGTGATTGCGACAAGGAACCGGTTTGATTCTGCGCGCCGCTGTCTCGCAGCTACGTACAACTTTTGCCCTCCAACAATGGAATTTCCATCCACCAGTTTGTGTTTAAGCAAATTTATTAGATTGAGCCTTTTGAATTCACAATATCTATTTCGCCTTGAGAATGAATCTAAACTTCCTTGAAAGTAGATATGAGGCGAGTTGTCTTGTAGTGAATAATTTTTTAAACTCAATTTGAGTTATTTTGATCCAGTCAAAGTTAAGCAAGGTTTGATCATATCAGCGGCAAAAACATCTGCAGAAAAACATAAATTTGTTTCACTTAAGTGACCGAAACACCTTTAACTACATCTTCCAATTCAATTCTGATGAGGGAAAAAAAAGGAACTCAAACATTAAACTTGTTCCATTTGGACTGAGTGTTTCTGATCTTTTCATCTCATTGAGAGCTACATTGTCAGTAGTCTTAAATGAAAATGCTACAGACTCTCAATACCTCAAAACAAATAATTACTTTTAACTCTGGTTCAAAATATTCTAGGCTCGAATTGCCAGAGAGAAGAGACAACGATCCACATGAAACGGCTAATCTCAGTTTTTCGATAACGAGGAGTTTGAGTGAGCCTGTACGATTCGAGAAAACAGAACCAATCTGCGTTCAATATTTTGATAGCTTGGTTCATTTTATCACACGAAGAGTTAGGAAAGTTTCTTTTCATTATTTGTGAATGTAAATCCCATTAGTGTTCATATCAGTTATGGTTCGAAGCTTACATGGATGAAAAAAGAAAGCTGGGAAGTGGGAAAAGTGGGAAGTGGTTTCAAGTAGCTCGCATATTGCTAAATGTAAATAGAGGGGAACTTGAATCGGAAAGCGTTAAATTTGTAAAATCAATCGGAACTGATTTTTTTCATTGCTTCATGAAGCACGTATCTCATGAAACAACTCGGAAATGTTAAAGTGAGATAGGACACATCGAAACCAATTTTTTGTTATCTGTATTTAATGTTGTGTTTTACGAAGGCATGCACGGACATAATATAGACTTCAAGCTATGACTTGTCATAACAATACCAGCACTTTACATTTACAAACAAAGAGGCTTTGTGTATTTTAAGGATTGTTTACGATAAAACAATTTCATCAACTTTTTATCTGCGATATCGTATCATTATCCACGATCTGCTTGGACGACAATGTTTTGTCGCGAGAAGCTTGGTTTTGTTTTAACTGTTTGCTGTTTAAAACTGTTACGTCAGAACAGCGACTTCAAATTTGTTTGCAAAAGTCGTTACTGAGGTCAGTCAAACAGTTTACTTTCAAAATACTTGCTATAGCAATATTTTGCTCTTAGTTAGGTAAGATTCTAATGTTAACGGAATTTCTTCGGAGTGAAAGCGACCGATCTTCTGTCAAGACCATCAGCACAATGGAAGAGCCGCATCGATTTCACTTAAATTATCATATCAAAGAAGAACGCGTCAGTAATATGGAGGTTCAATAAACTGCGTGATTAACAGAAAGCAGTAAATAACATAGGACTCGACTTATTAACCCTTCATTATCATAACAGAGCCTTTAGAAAGTAATATAGTTTAGCAAGTTTCGGTAAACAAAGGTGCCCACAATCATAGGCTGATTAAAGAAAGAATTTTATGATCAAAGTGCCGAAAATACTTCCTTCGGGCTCCTCGGTGGCCGCCTTCCCTTCCATATCAACAAGGTAGCCTGACTTAACACAAAGACAGTATAAATGACACTCACCAGCTTGTTCTCTTCTGGCTCATAAATTATTTCGTCTCGCACGTTTTAATGGCTTTGGAGATTGAAGAGTTTTTATTAATCTTTTTCAATCTCGACTTGCTATTGTTGCCCAAATTTACACCACAGTGTTAAAAACAAAGGTCAAATTAATTGAATATGCGCTTGAAAAAGCGCCGCAATGTGCCTGAGTGATGCCGCCTTGAAAAGAAGAGAAATGTAATCAAACCAGAAAACAATGTTAGCGGCAAACGAAGAGAGTGTTCTACTTCTCCTTGGAAGGAACTTTTTAATGCTTTTAATTTTATACTGCATTGTTTTTTGCGTGTTCCAATTTCGTCACTTTTGAGAAAAAAAACATCACAGCGAGTTACAAAAATTGTGGTATACATATAAAACACAGAGACAATTTTCGTCCACACTTCTATGCTGTTGTGTCCTTGGAGTCGCATGAAAGTGTGAAAGGAGTCGCGAACTGAACTTTTTTTTCGCTCTCTCACGAGTAGTTAGCACAAACACGAAAGTACCATTGGAGAGTCCATGGTCCTTTGGAAAGCCTTTTATAGCAACAACACGCCCCTGTTTTCATTAGTAAGATGTTCCGAAGCGCCGTGGAAAATGAACTTCTCGTTTGGAAGTAATTTCTTTTCTCAAAGGCAGGCGTTAACTTTGCGAAATATGCCGCGCAATTTGATTGAATTCACCTGTTCTGTTCAAAACTTTTTCTGAAGTCAATTAACAAAATTAACATTCTGATGGTCCATAGCCGGAAATATATCGTTTTGAACTGGCCGGAGGTAAATAAGTTAATGTATATCTGCCAGATACCGGGAAAACCTGGAAGGGACGAAGATGTTTAATTAAGACGCTGATATTTGAATTTCCCGTCTTGGTTTATTTTATTTAAGCTACAGAGTTATCTTTACAAGTCTAATACAAGGGATATCAAACCAACATCGCCACTTGAATATCTCAGATATGTAAGCGATATCAGAACACACCGAATTTGTTAAATAACAACTTTCACTTTGATGTGAAGTATGGCCCGCGTTTCTTAATTTTTCATGCATAAACATCAACTGCTTGTATACAAACGCTATTTACAAGACTATAGTTCTAATCATAACGAAGATTTCCTTCAAATAACGTTAATCATCTTTATCTTAATAAATATTTCTCTTGCTTGATTTTACCAACTATATTAATCTTAATCAATAATTTTTCAGGTTTTATGTACATATTCATATTATCGCTTAAGCTATTTCCTCTTGGGTTGTTTTCGGATATCGAGACCAGGAAATATCGTGTTAATAATGAGCAAGTTGTGCTTTTGAGCTTAGGGATCTGTGTACTTTGATGTGAGCGATAATTCTTACAATACTGTAAAAAATCTCTGGATTAAATCCTAAAATATGATGATTCCCTTAAAAGCTATCAGCTGCACTTTCTTAAGCTGTTCGTTACGTTTTAAACCTTATTTCCCCGGATTTGTGACGGTCGGCTTTCAAGGGACGTAAAAAATGTAAGGAAAAAGAGTCATGTAAGTAGAAGTCGTACCTGGCCGGCGAAGGGGTTAGTTAAAAATGAGAGCTTTCCGTTATGCTCAGGATAATTTCATCAAAAATCTAAAAACTTACTTATCTGGCCACTTAGTTCCGAGTACTTAAGCAAAATTCTCTTTTCACTGAAATACACCGGCATAGATAGATACCCTAGTTCGGACTCCTTCAAAAAATTAAAAGAAATACAGGTAAATAAATAAATAAATTCAAAATCTTGATTGAAGCTCAATAGAAAAAAAAGAATTAATAAACCCGGTTTCAGTTCGGATCATTTTCCCTAAAGTTGGGCTTGACTAAATAAAAATATTTCTTTTTGAAGTTGTATTTTTTAACGATATAGGAGGAACAGTTTGGGTAAATTACGACGTTGCCTAATTATATCTAAATCCAACTATAAAAAACGCCGGAGGAAATAATTTTCGGAAATGACATGTTTTTGAATTCATATTCTAAATAACCTATCGTTGGAAGCATTATGCCAAAAACTTTGGCATGTCAGTCAAAAATCAAATAGTTGGTTTTTTCGTTACTCCTTTCAGTTCAGTGCTAGAAGTCTAAATGTCCTCTCATGATGATAAATTTTCTTTCAGAAGCGAGGAAACTTTGAAGAGGAGTTATCCTATTTTTGAAACAAACTGTCGTAGTTTTCCTTTTTAAGCCTTTCTTTTCGAATTATTTACATCTTTTCTGAAGTTAATGATTTTTGTTTAGGGAGGAAAAGAAGTCCTTACAGAGTTTAAGCTTGTCCAAGTGTGTTCCATGATGGATGAAGTGAAATCCCTGGCGCCTGAATGCACTTTGATCGATCATTTTCCTTGTGAGTCAAGTCCATATCGAGACTCCCTCTCGAAGTCGTGTTGTAAGACGAATTGCTCATGAACGGGCTTAAGCCGGGATGAAGCTGGTGCGGGCCTGCTGGAGTGTGATGCGAGTGTGCGAGGGACACAGAAGGCATGGAAATGTTTTCGAGCGCCGTTGGGCCAGGAAGAAGTAATTGATTAGACTCTGTTGGAAAGTACTGCGGTGCATGAGTTACTGAGAAAGAAGAAAAAACGACACTTGAATAAAATGAAAGGCTGACGAGATTAGTTCTAAATCAACAAAAGCCGAATCAAAATCTTAATGATTTATCAACCCGATTGAAATGTGTTCCCAATGTTTCACATCGTGTGAGACTAAAATTTCGTCTCCTAGACGCCTCTCTCTTCGCAGCTTTTTTGTCAATAGTTTCCAACGCTTTTAATCTGCAGGCCTGGGAGAGTTTTTAAAGTTTTTGTGCCGAAAGAAAGGATCCCAAAAGAAACCATTTTAGCGCGTCCGTGTTAGATGATTATCGCTGGTTGCCAGAGGTTACAACTTGCGCCAAAAGAAATCTTAATTCCTCTTAATACCTCTTCTTCAAAGTTGCTATTGATGCCACTTTCATGAAATTACACGAGAAAGAAAATCTTGGATACTGCGATGCTGAGGCGCATTTAGACTAATAATGCTTCAGTTACATCTCCAACCTTCTTGATTTTGCACTTCTAGAAGACACAAAACTCTCATTTCGACGGGTTTTAATATCTTTTGTTCTGCTCTTCTCGTGCTATGTCGCAAATTTTTTCTTTTGATGAACGAACGGCTTTGAAATTTAACTGGACGTTAACCAGAACACGCTCAAAAACGGACAGTCGTTGGTCAAAACAACATAAACAAGAACAGCAGACGTACGGGGAGGTTTGTTTAGCTCGACCTAAACGCCTTTGATGGCTAAGAACGAGTTTAGAAGCAGTATGTGCGCCATTTGGTCGATTGGCCCATTGTGTATAGTGTCCAAGTATATTCTTTTCTCAACAATGAAAAAGCCCAGCTGCGCAAACCGCGCAAGATACAAAGGTTTTAAAACAATTTCAATAACTTTAGTCTCTTCGTGTAACAAACGGATATTACCTGAAGTTATAACAGAATAATGCCAAATTTAGATTTTCCCAGGGAAGCCATATGAATGGTTAGAGTTTTATTTTCCTGCTAGTGCCTGATGTGCCTACTTTCTTCCTAGCAAATTTCAAAGAAACTTTTCGACTTTTTGTCTTTCAATATTATTTCAGCTTGGGATATATTTTGATTGAAAAAATTAGAATAAGAAGCGGTTTGAATTTCATTTCTGTTGACACTGAAAATTTGACGACCAGGAAAATTGAATAAAATTCCCGTCAAAGTCAGCTCTCAAAACTGACACAAAATTTACATTGCGCCAAGTGTATGTCCGGTTTAGGAAATACCAGCAGCGGGCAGGTATTGAATGAATCACAAAGTAATAAAAAATGAAGGCTGAAAAAGAAATTAAATGATGCTTTTTACCTTGGGTGGGTAGATCTGTTCTCTTGTGGTAGGGATTAGGATACGGAGAGGGGCGATGCCCTCTTATTCCTAAGCGCTCATATGGCGAGGAAGGAATGTGTGCGTAAGGCCTCGAGTGATGGTGGTGTTGGTATACGGGTGCAGGACCAGCACAAAACCAGCCGTCTGTGAAAAGATAGAAGAAGTAGGAAAACTTAGTATCAACAAATCGAATTAATGAATAACGAAGAAGTTATAAAACAAAAATCACGTCGGAGGTGAAAATATACGCGCGATAAGGCGTATAGCGTGAAAGATGTGTGAACAGAATCGAGACAAATTTCTCACGTATTCTTGCTTTCTTTTGAGCAACAATGAACTCCTCAAGTAAAATGCACGCTGTTTCGTGGAGGGAAATCGGACCTCCGCGCAACAATTTGAGACGTGGCTTCATTGAAAAGGTGCGAAGTGCGAGCGCAAAATTGAACCAAGTGCCATCCTCTGTGCGATGCTAAATCGAACATTGAAGTGTCGAATACTCGAAAAATTTCTCGTCTCAAAACCACGAGCGTAAACAATTTTCGACAATTTGCTGATACGCGCACATAAGCGCAAGATCATACTTGAGCAAGGACTCTCTAATCGGTAGGACAGTTTGAACGTGCTCTCAAAAAGCAACACACAACATTCGATTTACCAAGTTTCAAGTGTATAATTCACAAACATCTCTTAAGATAACAAATCAATTTGTTGTGAAATAACAAACTCACATTGCGAATACGCCGAATGCGACTCTACAGCTTGCTCCAACGCCTCTTTCTGTTCTTGTCTAAATGAAAAAAAAAATTAGGAATCTTGCGAAAGTTGAAGAAAGTGAAAGATTCAACAGTCCGCTTTCTCAAATGACAACTTACCGCTCTTTTGCGTCCAGAAAGGCTTTAGCGAACGGATTGTATTTTATCTTTAGACTAGTGATCTGCTCAAAAATAAGAAGAAAAGAAAGCAATTCTCTTTAGTTTATCATATTTCCTTGGATACTGTTCAAAAAGCGACCCCCAAGGAACGAAATCTAATATTCAGTACAATGCAGTTCACCTCCTCGTTTTGATAAGCCGTCACGGCAATAAACTGCGTCTCTGGAAATGAGTGCGAAACCACTGTCCTGTTGCTTTCTGGAGCACCAACACGAATAATGTGAATTCTCGGCTCGTACTTGTGTAAGGAATTCAACATGATCTGAATTGAAAAAGAAAGTAATTCAATAATTGCTCCGTTTTTGTATTGCCAATATGTAAGACAAAACGTGTGTTATTTAACTTCGCGTGTGTTCTTCACGAGTTAATTTCTTTGTAGGCCGAATCAAACACAATCACTTGGTATCTGGACTTTATTGAATTTTATCCACGCAAGTGGTACTAAAAAAAAGGATACTTTTTTTCTTTGTTCGTGATCATTTCATTTCAGTCTAGGACACTAAAAGGTAAAATAAAACTCATATCACAGAAAAATATAATAAGCGTACCTGCCCATTGCCATTTTGTTTGTTGGTCAGTTTTACTTTGGAAAAGACCACAGGTTGTTTCATCCAATGTGCGCCAAAGTTTGGTGAATCAGGGTGAATATAAACGCAACTTGGTGTCGGGGGCTCGGGTTTTCCACCCGAGACCCATTCTCCGTTCACATATTTCCAACGATGACCCTCGACGGACACGAAATCGAGCAGGAAGGAGTACATAGCTTTGGGCTCCAGTCCAGTGACGTTTATTTTAAGAACGGGAAACATCCGCCTGAGAATTGAATCATGGTATTAAAATTGTCTCAGAATAACTTTTTAAAAGTTTTTAGGAGTTGCTCACCTTCCATTTTTAGTGACTATCATCTCGTTTGTCAGCGACTTGAATCGCCGCCACAGGTCATTCTCTTCCAGAGAGATCTTGACATTGGTATCTTCACTGGAATCGTCCGTGCTTGCGACCTCTGTCTCTCGTGGTCTTTCACTAGACATTGTGTTCTCAGCAGCTTGAAGGATGTGGTTGACGGAGAATGACGACGGTTGTTTTTTCTCTTCTGAGTGCATAGCGTGTGTTGACTCGTTGTGCTTTTGCTCTCAATGACAGGACGTCCACGCAGCGAGAGGTACTAATAAAACATCACAAGAACAGATGATCGAACCGAAATGAAATTATTACTCCGTCGATCCAAGCAGCTTCCTAATTAGCCGTCAATGAATAAAAGTCACACCTCGTTCTGATATGTCAGAAAAGTAATTAACCATAGATATTTAAATCGAAGCGCATGGACCAATCAGGAAGCGCGCACTTCGAAAAGTAATTGAAATGCACAAGCAAGGAAATTTAGCAATAAACAGAGGCCGATCGAGCTTGACTCAGTGTAAAGAAACCGACCAATCACGATGCCGCTCAATAAACTCTTCTTTGCTTAGAGCATATTAATAATTATTGGACCGCTCTCAAAGTTAAACATACCGTACAGAGTGTGAAATAATAAGACAGCGAAAGTGACTTTGCACTGGAATAGTTTAACCTCGAGGTCAAATCACTTAAGTTGGATCAGTTAATAAGCCTTGTCACAGACAAGGGCAGATTTATTTTGTGCGTGTCTGGTCTGTTTTGTTGAGAAAACGCGTTTAATGCGATTGTTGTTCTTTGTGGTGCCCCAGATAGCTCCATAATTTATTATCGGCTCCTGCAATAACCTTAATTAAAGGCAATGCTTGAAGTACTTATATTATTAAACCTGACATTCTAACGCTATTTTAGTAACTATATGCCATTCCCTGGCCGAGTTGGTCGGCAATAAGATACGCTGTCTTTTCATGATAAGCAAGTGTAAATTTATAAAATGACTTATATGACGCTTGAGTACCATCTCTAAGTAAAGGTTTGTGACCCCTATTCATGCAATTGTGTTTAACATACGCTGCCCTAATTTTCACTCATTTATAAATGTCAATAACTTTGCGAAGCGCTTGTCGACACTGTTCGCACGGACAATCTGTTTGGGAAACAATCACCTTCAGGTCGTTTAATATAAGGGGGCGAAAAAAGCTGTGATGCAAAGTGCACCGCCTCGAGGTTGCCAAATAATGGCGGCTTCTTCTCTGAAGCGGTAAATTACGATTCGTAATCCACAATAGATCACTTATATTGATCTCCGTTGGTTTTTGTTTATGGTAATTTTTAACACAATGTGTTTATCCGACCGTCGTTTGACAATGAAGGACGATTTGGATGATTTTGAAAAAGGAAAAAAGCCGCCCACGGGAGAGAATACTGGTGCTTGATTGAAAATGAAAGCCCAGCAGACAACGAAAACAGGCCGTCTTATAGTAATTATCAGAGCCTTGAAAACCGCGAAAAGTGCATGTTTGGATACGCTAACACGCGTCCGCCTTAGTCTAACCTTTGGAATAATTGAATTAAGATTACTCAACTATATATAAATATCGAAAGAGCAATGCTGAAGGTTATCGAGGACATTCGAGTTTTATCGTTTGTATTACAAAGCATGTCTTACACTCTGCTGCCCTTCCGTTCGGATTAGCGTCGTAAAACCACAGATACATAGGGATTAGAAAAATCGTTTAGTTTAAGTTATGCAAACAGCATTAGTGGTAAGAAAATCTGTAAGACGCTGGCCAACACGAGCGCCAGAAAAGGGCAACATATAGTTTAACGAAGGTGTTGTCTGAGATTCTGAATCATTGATACGTATATGAGAGTTTGAATAATTCACTTTCTGAAATTAAGTGATTATGGAGGCTTTCATTTATATTCTACATATTGAAAATGGTGAAAGTTTGCCTTTCGTCGGAAACATCAAAGAAATACCTGGAATTGATTGCCTGGAAACAATTATCGAATTTAGCGTCAGGGTTTGCAATGAGTTCTCGTAGAAATTTTTTATTCCAATGAATAAAAGGAATATCAATTTTTTTCATGATTACGTATCCAATTAGAAAAGTCCACATTAAAAGTTTTAAGATCTTTTAAATTGTATTCACAGTTCGTGAAATTGCAAATCCCACCAAAAATTGATTGCTATTTTTTTCTGGCTGCTTTGCACCTAGCCACCAGAAAATATTCGTCTGATTGCAAGTTTGTTTGTAACATAAGACAACTTACTGCAACTAGTTAGCCCGCAGCTAATGTTTTCTTTTTTCTTTTGCGCTTAAACAAAAGGAAGATGGCCAGAAATGGCTAAGAAGTATAAAGAACACTCCGTAGCTCACGCTAGTTGTTTAATTTAAGATCTCTGATCTGAAGGTTTTTTTTATTATCAGAATAGTTTATGAAAAGGGAAACTGAAATGATTTGGAAGGAGCAATCAGTAGTAAAAGCAATTTACTTCCTTATTTGCAGTTTTCTTTCACACTCGTTCCTCAACTTAAAAGAGAAGCATACGCATAACTGCGATGTATTGTTGAGTCAAATTCGTCATGCCTTAACACAATACTCATGTATCGTGAATACAGATTTAAAATCAATAATCTTTCTGTTCTTCCACCATCAGAATAGTTTATGAAAAGGGATACTGAAATGATTTAGAAGGAACAATCTGTAGTAAAAGCAATTCACTTCCTTCTTTGCAGTTTTATTTTTCACATTCGTTTCTTGACTTTAAAAAGTAGCGTACGCATCATCTCGATGTATTGTTGAGTTAAACTCGTCATGCCTTAACACGATACGCAGGTCACTCGTACTTATGAAATGTTTTCGAGCGTAAAATCTCAAGGATCAATTGACACCCTAGGAAGTATCAAGTCCCAGAAAAAAAAGGAAAAGGCATTTTTCCTTATTTCTAGTTTTGTTATATTAATTTCCAAAAACTCCTAGCGATAAGAGGATTTACATGTGGGGTATCCAGTTGCATTTCCCATTAAAAAAAAAAAAATTGAGAATTTTATACTTTAATTTCTTAGTTTAAAAGTTTTTATTTACAAGAAAATATATATTAAAGTGCAATGTTTATCCACTGTATTACTTTTTTAATATTCTGGATGAAATGAACTAAATAAAATAGTAAACATTTGTAGAAAACACCAACATGTGATTATCAGCGCCGGAGGGGCGTTTTAGAGACAGTTACCTGATCTGTTCTCGTTACTACTTGTTATTACTTGTTTGAAGTTATTGAAAAAGGGACTCACAAATAGCGTAAATTTTACAAATATAATCACAAGAACTTCTCAAAATAAATCTCTCGGTGCAATAATTGGTTTTTGCTTCATTTAACTTGACAAGGAAAATCAAAAGAAAAACAATGTTCGAGATCCGTTTCCGGCGACAAAAAGTCCTGGGATTGCAGCCGGCTGTTATCAGGCAAAGTCGTAATTCAATGTTCTTCTGTGTTGGAAAATAGAACATCTTTAAGAAAAGTACAAACAAAGAATAAACAAAAAAAGAGAAAGCCTTAAAAAGGTGGAATTCCCCCGGCGCCAAAAAGACTGAGTGCTTTGTTCAAACAACCGGAACATTACATCTTTTCCTATTCAAAATGGTTCTTTTTCTTTTTTTAGAGCCTGGATCTTAAAAATTGGAAATAATACATTAGACAATGGCAAATTAGTTATGTTCAGCTCTCTAAACCATTTTCATGTTCAAACCTTTTACCAAATTAACAAGTTTGTCGGATTTTCCAGGGCAACGGAAGAGCAAGATAAGAAGGGCAGTCAGAAGTGCTAATTAAAGGGTACCATTTTCTAATTTAAGTTTTTTCTCAAAAATAAACTAAGTTTAATAAGTATATTAAATATTGGAAACACTCGTCTTGAAACAAACTGTGGTCGAGAAACATATAGTATTAGTCGCTTTCAATTAGCTTGTCCAAACATCGTTTCTAAGTTTCAAAATTAACCTAAAGATAATACAACTTAACGAGCGGGTTTTTGAAAAGCTTGCTTTTTAATGAGGCTTCTGGCAACATTCACATCAAATTACACCCGACGCGTCCAGAGAATACGCTGGTTGAAGACCTGGCCTATAATGGCGACAAATGACACAGGCATTACAGTTTACCACCGGTAATTACCGGCAGTCAAATAAACAAAGCGTTCGTACTATTAAAAATATTAAAATGGCCAGCAAGAGGGATAGAGTAATTATATCCACTTAGCCATTAGTGTTAAGAGGCCATCTTAAAATCGTAATTCGGAGACGATTTTTCTTCTATAGCCGAAGAAAACAAAAAGAATACTTTGTGTTCTCTTTTGGGCACATTTTAATTAAAACTCTTTCAATTTCAAACAAAATTGTTAACAAAGCGCCACGTGCAAAAGACGTAACAAAATCAATCCTTTTCTATGAAAGATTTCACTTATTCGCTTTCAAAAAACTATAATAATAGAAGTATCAGTCGATAATTTCTTTTAAATCAATGCCCTCGATGGACCCTGTTCGAAAACATCTTCGTATTAGAGCGTTGTCTATCATACGTTTCGTTTGTTGTTGCCCCAATCAATTTTATAACAATGGTAAATTTGAAACCCGTAGAGGAGTACGAAATCAGTAAAACGCCTTATTTACAAGAAAAGTTAAGCGGATTCATGATGAAAGGACTACATTAGGATAACTAAACCACTTGTATGCTCATTTCATTTGTATGCCCAACTTACCAGGTGAAATTTAACAGTTAATTTCTTGAACGCTAAAGGAAAATGGAAACTTTTTCGCAGGCATTTGCCTTGCGTTGTGCATCAAAATGCAAATAATATAGCGTTCCCAATTTCGGGTAATGGAACAACACACCTCACACAATTGCTAGATTTATACGGAATTGAAGGTCATTTTGAGCGGAGACAAGATGTCTGAAAATGCCCAATTTCTTTCGTAATAATCTCTTTCATCGCCTCTACCCGTGGGGGACAAGTTGACAGGGAAACGAGATGTCTGTAAACCCCCCTGAGCGATACTGGAAAGTGCCAAAATGGTCATAAATAAAGAGTAAGAACTTCGTATTCACTTACACCAAGAGCTCAAGTAATGGGCTCATGCTTACACCTTTTGTACAAACTTCAAACCGCTCTCTGAGTCAACATCATTGGCCTAAAATGTCCTCCTGGTATTGAAATGTTCTTTACTTTAATGAAATGATTGATGAGTGTCAAGAAATTGAATGAAATGAAATTAAAAATTAGACACTGAAACATCGCGTAGACCATTCGAAGATTTTGGATAAACAATTGCCTAACGCTATTGTTAGGGTTGCTATTGAAACTTTGCCTAAGTTTGTAAACTTTACAGTAAGTAATAACGAGAGAAAATGATGGTCTCCTAATTTTCTCTTGGTTGTACAGTTTTCGAAATAGTTCGCGTTAGGTACTTCGAAATTGTAGCAACACGAGTTACACGGTCCTAACGCATCGGAACAGAAGAAAGTCGAATATCGTTCTATTTACAATAACAACAAGGATATTTCAACCTTACCAAAATATTACCAGGCTGTCCAGGGAACAGATTAGCTACCTTAGAGTCAGAAACAGTCATTAAGTTGTGCTTTGAAGTAACGGCTTTATTCATGAGTTTCTTGTTATTACCACTGCTCTCTGATATTTTCAACAACCCTTCAAGGCCTTCTTTATCAAAACCTGCCAGTGGAAATGTCAACATATCATAAAATGCCACAAGCCGAAAGATATTCTGTTCACAGATGAATAAAATAGACAGTGTAACTTTAAGCCTTGGAGAAGACGTCTCCCAGTTCCCCACATCTTTTTTAAGGAATGCAACGCTTATTCAGTCAGAATATCTATTTACATTTGAAAACACATTTATATGAAACTTTTACATCATTTCAATTTTGATGCATTTTTTTTGAAAAATCACATACAATCATTTTGAATCAAAACAAGCAATCAGTCCCCAGGAAGTGTATCAGCTTAGATCGTTTCGGAAAATTCAGCATGATTCCACGTTGCTTTTATAACATGGTTTAATAATTATAGACCTAGTTTAAGTCTCGAAAAGCTTTGATTATTTGAAAGATAAAGATTGGCACAATGAAGACTGCATTCTCAAATTAAGACTAACTCTGTCAAATTAACGTTGGTCCGAGTCGATGAATATTGGACTATGTAAGGAAAAGTACTCGGATGCTCAGATTTTTTCGTTATTATTGTTATCGTTATTATTAGTTTAAATGAAAATAAAACTGCCTGGGAGGTCAATTTAATATAGCTTCCTGGAATCGCACAAATGGTTCGTGTAAGACAAAGAAAAAAAATATGCCTAAAAATCATCATTAAGATGTAAAGAAAAAAATTCGATAGGATATTTGATTTAAACGAGGATAGCCGAACGGAAGAACATTACAAATAATAATTAGCTGATAAAGCAGAGGAAAGGCGCCTCCTTAAGGCGAAAAAAAAAAAGAACTTTCAACTCATATTTTTCCATTTGACCTCCTGAAAAACAGCTTTAGTGTGTTTTAATCTTAAGGAGTCGATTGGGTCTTCAAAAACTCAGTCATTTTATTTATTTATCTATTTATTTTTTTGTGAGGGGAGGGTGAGAGTGTTGCAGAGATTTAGCGGTGGATCACGCTTATATCTCTCTATGTAAAAAAAAAGATTTCTACCTTGACACCAGACTGCATTACTGATAAAGTAAAAACTGCTACTTTTAAAAGATCCTGCAAAGCAACGTGAGAGTTAAAAATAAATATTCATGGTCAGAAGGGAGTTTTAGAAAAGAAGCTTGAACCTTTCCGCGCTTTTCGGGGTCCGCGGCAATGAGCGGGGGCTGATTGCTTAGACGTACTCCTCCTTAGGTTATTGCTTTGAGGGTCTCAATGGGGTTAACGGTTAGCCGTAAAATGGCTAAAAAGTTTAGTTGTTGGACGCAAAAATTGACGGATTTTAACCGTTAGCCGTAAAAGGGTCAAGCGAAATTTTTTTAAACAACAATAGAAAGAAAGTAACCATTAGCCGTTAAATAGCCAGAATTTCAACCTGTAGCCCTAAAAGCCATCATCTCATTGACCCTCTTGCTTTAAACAAACAACTGATCAATATGTAAATGGTGATTTCTTTCCTTTCTGTCTTGATAATGTCCATACTCTTTCTTTAGATTTCCTTTGGTACTGAACTGACATGAATAATTTTTTTTAACAATAAGGAGCTTAGCTTCTTCGAGATGATGTTGATCAGTTTCTCGTTCACATGACCTTTATGTTTCATTCATGGCAGGAGCCCATAACCGGGCTCCTGTCATGGGTGATTCTGTTAAAACAAATTAGATAAAGTCGCTCATGGAGGTCAACCCTTTACGCCCTAACATCAGAATGCATATTCTCCAGACTGTTTTCTATACATCTCCTAAGGTGCTGATAAGGAGAATTTGTTCAACAACAGGAGCCCATTACTCCTGTTCAACAATCAAGAGCCTGTTTAGTTGGTGATCATTTCTTTTATTCTCGTGTAAATTAAAGCTCTCTTTGTTGAAAAAAGGCTCAGTAAATGCATTTATAAGAATGTTAATGCAGAAAAATTTTCGGTGACTCTTTCAGTTTCTCCTCGTTGATTCTTTTTATGATTTGCCTGAGCGACAATGCAACGATAGAGCCTGGGGGCCACTCTGTGAACGTGACAGCTTTTATTCTAATTCTTTGTAATTTATTCAAATATTAGTGATTGCGTGATACTTATGAGTTATAATATACACAAACCCTATCCTGCCTGTATAAACAATATCCATCAACCATCGCGAGTAATATATGTTTCCGGGAAGCATATCAGCTATATTGCATACCACCACAGTAAAACACAACATGGAACATGGGAACAGAAGTGGCACCGCAGATGAAACTACGGTAAGGAGGCTTTTGTCTTGGGTGATGTCTGAAATCTTCATTGAGACAGACAGTTCTAGAAACTGATATGAAATTGATCTTCGCAGTAATGAATAATACCTGAGCAGTAATGAAAGTAAGGCCTGTAAGGGATTTGCGGCATCTGTAATATCTTTTCTTAATCCGCGTTGACATATAATATTTTTATAAATTCACAGTCATTTATTGTAGAAGCGTCGATCGATATGGTCAATATTGAGACGAACACTCACTGAAGTCTTACTCAGTTACCTCAGATACCACACAACCGTCATTATGTAGTGGGTTGTTTAACTGCCACTTGCAAAGTTGGAGGAAATCTGTAATAGCTTCTGAAATAGTGTAAAAACAGAGCACTGTCAAAAAACTAATTCACGACTTAGATAGGTGTCTAAACTCTCAGTATCTCCTTCTGAAACTGATCACCGTGAGCATTTTCGGTCAAGAGCTAAGAGCGTAGAGGAGACTATGTCCGCTAGAAAGGTTTTTATCGGGCAGAGAGAGAGAGAGAGGGGGGGGAGAGGGGGAGAGAGAGAGAGAGAGGGAGAGAGGGGGGGAGAGGGGGGGAGAGGGGGGGGGGAGAGAGGGAGAGAGAGAGATAAAAAGTAAAAATCAAGGAAAAGAATGAACCATACATGTAGGCGATAAACAACCTGCAGTTGAATTGTTTAGTTTCCTTCTTAATCGGTTGCGTCACGTAACGCTCTTCGACAGTGGCGTGACGACTCTACTTGTTCATTTCCAGGTTCCTCATTCATATATTCCTTATGGAGGAAGAAGATCTGGGTTTTATTCTTCCAAAGTCGTAGATACGTTACCCTGCATTAACGAACTGGTTCCCATAGCATTGGAATCTGTAAGATCTTACCCGGTGTGTCCTGGCTTTGTATTTACCACAGCTGACTATGGCTGTGCTGATGGAGGGACCTCGATGTCTCTTATTTATGCGTGTGTTGAAGAGCTCAGAAAGTTGCATGGCAATGAGCTGGAAATCCTTGTTTATTACGAGGATCAGCCGCTTAATGACTTCACTTCCCTTTTTTCATACGTCCAAGGTATTTGCTTTGTTTAATATTATATAAAGCTTATCTTAAATATGTCCAAACGAGCTCCATTTTCACAAGAACAGAGATAAATAGTTCTTCCCAGTTTATATGACAAGAAAAAAAAGTGTTTCTTTCGCTCTGACGAAGGGCTAACGCTGGAGCCGTCAGCTTTACAAACTCTTTACGGTGTCCAATTTACGCTATCAACTCCGTTGATAATACCAAATTACCTAGTTACACTCTCCCAGCGACGCAGCACCCAGCTTCTTTAGAAACTTACCCCCTTTATTCATATGTTGCTTTGAAATATCTTTTTTACATTCATCATTGTTTCAACACTGACATTCACATAAGAAACCTTAAAAGATTTTTAAACTTAAACTCTGTCGTACCTCTCTTACCTTTTGATTTTTCCTGGTGCATTGTCTCTCCTTTCTCTGTTTCTTTTTATTTTTTGGTCATTTTTCTTCCTTTTTTCTTTTGCTTAGGCCTTATCTCAGGACCTCAGAGTTATTTGACCTCATTTCCAAACGTTTACGTGGCAGCGAGTGAGACTCAGTTTTACAAACAGTGTTTCCCTCGTGGTTCAATACAACTCGGTTTGTTCAGCGTGGCCCTTCATTGGCTGAGCAAAAAACCATGCAGCGTAACTGGAGGTCTACTTTGTCTCCAGTCCCAAAACCAGGAGGAGAGGGAACTTTTTACAAGACAGGCAGCAATGAATTGGGAAACGTTCCTTCTGGCTAAAGCAAAGGAATTGTCATTAGGTATGTGGCAGCTTATTCAGCTGGCGTGTTTTGAAGCTGCCGGTAAGCAAATGAAGCCGATGGAGCTGCGAGTCATTGGCTGTTTTTGGAATTGGGAAACTTCACGCTTACAATGAATGGACCCATTCTTTTCTTTGGAGGAGAAAGGTAGCTTAAAATCCTGACAAATTAAGTGTATTATGAGTTACATGAAAGCAACTACTTTTCTTCGGATCTTTACATCGTGTTCAGTGCACATAGCAATTAGATTTCTGTGGCATCTTAACTCTGTATTTGGGAAAGGCATGATTAATATTATGAGGGAGGGCAAAATAAGAAGAGAGATGGAGAGATCTTTCCCTTCCTTCGTTGTAACTGATAAACAATAAACCTTTCTTAGCCTTGGCAGTTTTAGCTGTGGATGACGATGGACACTTTACTGGAGACACAAAGAACACCAAATTCTCCTTTTCCCAAATAATGTACGATGTGTGGAAGAGCTTGGCAGAGGATTATCTAATCACTGTGATAAGATTAAAAAAAGAAACAAAGAAAAGAAAAAGTAAAACTGCTCTCAGAAGTTATGGCTGCTGGCGTTTATATCCTGTGTATGAGACTTGAAGTATTTTCATTTCTCTTACAAGTATATCAATGGTCAATTAAGCCCCAAAATTGGTATCAAAACAGCTCCATGGATAAATTGGCTCCAGAGCTAAGACAAACTCACCCGTTCGAGTTCCATTTTTGGGGCAAATCAGGCCTTTTCATTTTACAGTGAATTAGATACGATGTTAGTCCATCGCAGGCAGCCCCTACCATTTCCTTTGGTTAATCCTGGGGACATGAACCCGCACTTTTTGACATGGAGTTAAGTGCTTCTCTCGATTACGATGATTTGACTCACAACGAAGACCTATAAGAAAATTGAAATGAAGACCACCACTCTTGGTTCCGTATCCATACCGTTTCTAATCGTGGTTTATCTGTTTTTGCATTCATTATCCTCTTGATTATTTGACAATCTGGATAATGCTTAGATGGTGTTAAAAGAATTCGAAGACAAGAAAGGAACGGAATGAAATAATAACAGGAGGAATAATTTAAGGAATTAATTGAATATAAAGAACATACATGACAAAACTGATTAGTAAAAATGAGTACCAAATGTCACAATGTCTTCACAGGATGAGGTTAATAAGATCACGCTTCTTAGTTACATGCGGACACGACAAGAGCTGCAGTCGCCATTTATGTCAGCGGAGAGTCCTGTGAGGAGGGTCGGACTGTCACTTGTGTTACTAGATATCAAAACATTTCCTTGTCCCTATACAAAAATGCGCCTAGAGACTGGAGACACAGAGAAGGTTGCAAAATCATTAACGGAAGAAACGCGTGCTTGGGGCAACTTCACCTTCTTGTCAGGTGTGTTGGCAGTAACTCTTTCACTCTCAAGATCTCATTAGTAATTCTCCTTATTGTCTTTCAATAAGTTCCGAAGAATTTTCCATTGGATCAACAAATAATCCCCTTATTGATAATTCCTTTATTCTCATAACTTCCTTCTTAACCGGTTGCGTCACGCAACGCTCTTCGACAGTGGCGTGACGACTCTGCTTGTTCATTTCCAGGTTCCTCATTCATATATTCCTTATGGAGGAAGAAGATCTGGCTTTTATTCTTCCAAAGTCGTAGATACGTTACCCTGCATTAACGAACTGGTTCCCATAGCATTGGAATCTGTAAGATCTTACCCGGTGTGTCCTGGCTTTGTATTTACCACTGCTGACTATGGCTGTGCTGTTTTTGTTGTTAGGAGAAATTCTGTCTTGGTCACTCATAAGAGTTAAAAGTCTAAGTTTGCTTACCAAATGTCGGAACTAATAGACCAGATTAGTCAGAATAAAAGTGAATAATTAAAAGCAGAATTTTCCTTTTTCAACGACACGTTATCTTCAATTGTTATTATTTCATTTATTATCTTCTTAATAATTTTAAAATTACTGGTTTTTTGTGGCTAGGAATTTATCCGGCACAAGTGACAGAAGAGTCATGAGAATATAAAATCTGCGTATTTTTTATTTTTTGAGAGTATCAAGGCTCGAGCTTTGATTGAATATTGAATGCAATAATGGCCAATAATGGATCCCACTGAAGAACTGACTCACCTATTCAGCCGCGTAGACTGTATTTCTTAAAGAAGTCTAACGTTACCATCTGCTCCTGTACATCCTGCAAGGCAAGCTGAAGAAAGTATTATTAGCATCTTTTTGGTACTCAGGTCTCTCCGATGAGCGAACAGTGGAAGAGAAAACCACAATTGTCGATGAATTTTTCCTCCATTTGGAAGCAGAATTTGCAAGAGTGATGCACGATTACAGATCCGAGCTTGTCGCTGCAATCATGAAAGTGGAAAAGAATTGAAATATACACTTTCTTTGCAAATATGAAATAAAGCGCTGTACGAACTATTATTAAGAGATGTCCGTGCCAGGCATAACTTGGCCGCCTATATGAATTCTAAAAGGGCAATTGAAACGTGATTTATTAAAGGCACCAAGCTGGCTGGGTAACAACGAAAAATCCTTCATAGTTATTTTTTTAAGCTTTAAAATTTCAGTACAACATACAACACATTATTTCAATACAATGTTGTGAACCGCTTCGGAGCGGAATAGACATTATCATATAGTAAAAAAGAAAAAGCTTAACATTCAGTCTACGTTTTTTTCGAAGAAATAAATTAATGCTACGAATTGTCGGAGGGAAGTCTCCTATGTATTTTAGGTAATGAAGGCCTCAGATGCAAAGAGACCGAAATGAAAACTCCATAAAATGGCGAACTATGAATCTGGTTTTGACTTAACGCACGTCCTTGGTAAGGGTGTGAATCATGAAGTTTTTAAGTGCCTCAATCTGTTTTTTTTAGTTTTGTAATTATTTCACAAAAACATTTAACGTAGTTTATCTATGTTTTTTTTGCTCTTGCCATATAATAAAAGTAACATCTCCTTTTCAAAACATTGGCCCTGATTTCGATTCGGAAATCGAAACAAATTAAAGTTTATCTTTTACCAGCTCTTTCCGTCTTCCGAAAAGCCTTAACTGACCTTTACTAGCGGCTGGTTTAAATTGATCACTTGGAGCGGTTTCTGAGAAAGCTTGAATTTATCAGTAAATTTGCATTTTGTCGTCGAATAGTCATCTCGATTGGCCAGTCGTAAGACGGAGGGTATTCTTTAGTTCAGTAAACGGTTTTTCCCCCTATGTGTAAAACACTTATAAGAATGCCCGTGTCTTCAATAACTTTGACTGTCAACCCTAAGGGAGCCAATCAGATTCGCCAATCGTGTGACAAATATCGATAAATTTTCACTGTTGTTGCAACAAGTAAAAAATGAATTCTGTATAGTAGCTGAGATAACAGCGAACTTCATTTGCAGCTTCGAGGATCTGAAAAGCACTCACCAGGTACTTAAGAATATGACAGCGTCCAGTCGTTTTTAAATTAAACTTTTCGATAGGAGCTGAGGAGCAGATGGCAAAAAATCAAGACTTTCTGATTGGCTATTCCCTTAACATTTAAAATATCTAATCACTGCAAATTATGGAATGAAATTTGTGTTTCTGTTTTTAAAGTTCTTTCGGCAAAGAAACTGTCCCTCGATTAAAACAATCTCGCAATGGCTGTTTGAGGAAAACGAGATAGGTGGTTGACTTATCATGCAACTATGTCATACGTTATGCAGATATATCATGTTTTGTATGGTAAACTCATTCAATAATTGGAATCCAAACCCGGAGAATTATACGTGTACAGTTACAATCGCAATCGATAAAACGTTATTGTTCGTAGTGTTTATTGTATTAGTATTAAGTTTGCAAAGCAGTGTGCTCGTGTCAAGTATTTAAATAGTTTTGTATTTAGGAAACAAATTGGAATTTGTTGCCATTTTATTCGACGACCCACTGAGCTTTTGTTTCCCCACGCAACGTAAGCCAGTCGTACCAGTGGAAAACACGAATGGCGCTGTCATGTCGCGCTGTACGGCTCACGGATTTCGCATCTTTTTCGCTTCTGCCGTTGTTTTCTACGCCTTTTGCAGGGTTCAAGGTATGTATAAAGGATTCAGTATGAGTATTGGAGATTTAGGATGCGATTTAAAGGTTATACAGCTAGAATTTTTACGGGTTAGGCGATCGTAAGCACAAGAACGTTACCTCTGCCGGTTCATCAGTGTTACGCCATGGTACAGCTATTAGTCAAAGAAAACGAACTTCAAAACTCTTGCGAGGAATATTGCTGAGATGGCCCTCAAAATAAATATTCAAATGCTGTAAATAATTCTAATGCAATCGAAACTATACCGAAGAGCGTGAAGTCGAGAATATCGACCCAGATTTCATGCGTAGTTTACATGATTATGCGTGTTCTCATTGTTACCAATTCAATTTTAGCTTTAGCTTGTCTGTAAAGAGGTTTTTCCTAGAGGTTTACGCTCCGTGTAAAACTATGGATTTGCCATGCTTCTTGCCAACGTATTTGATAGAATGAAGTACTTAATCCAGAAAGAAGGTAGTGTTCGCGAAATATGTTTTGTAACTAGTTTGCAAATAAGCTTGAACAGGTGGCTGGAGATACACACATTATCATGAATATCGCGCAGAATTATCACACAATCTTGTTCGGCAAATGTTACTGTATGAGTTAATTTTCGAGAAAACGAATTTATCGAAAAAAAAAATTTTTGATCAAACCGGACAACGTCACACAACCAATTACCGTCTCAATTCTTGAAATTTAATTAAATGCAGAACATGAAAACACAAACACTAGGTTGTGAATGTCATCGCCAAATGTTATCGCTGGAGAAGTAACCGTAACATTTAGACTTAAATTGACTCGGTCGATCTGAAACTCTTTCAAATTTATTAAGAAATTCTGGTAAATTTTATGGATCTATTGGGAAGTTTATGTGGTTTGTGCCAGTAATTAGCTGTATTGATTGGGCTGCTCATAAAAAACAATCTAAGCTTTTATGGAGTCCGCTTTACTAATTGTTCTTTCGCCTTCGTCGTCAATACGCGAGAACAGGCTTAGCTTGGGTTAATGGCACCCTTTTGTCTTATCTTTGAAATACTCCTAGGGTAAAAGGCGAGGTTTAAGGGTTTTACGTTTAATTAGACCCTAGGGTTTTCTGTGTTAAAATACAGAAGCAAACGCTTCGAATTAAGAGAAATGAGCTCAATTTTCTATTGACATGAAAATCGATTTATACTAATCATCTAAATACGCGAGCGCTAAATGAAAATCTCGGCGATGCTGTTTCCGAAAATCAAGACTTAGAAAACAGCGAATCACTCGGTCGACTCGAGACGATTTCCCATTTGTTGATTAGCTTACATCTGTTGCGTTTCTTCCAGAATTTGGGAGTAAAACTGGGTGCTAAAAGGAGCAGAAATAGAATGATTTGTAAAGAGATTTTTTTTGGGCAGCTGTGTTGAGCATATAGATAACTTGTGGCTATCCCTAATCACATTCACCATTAAGTATTTAGCTATTTCCACCTGGGAAATTCAATTCCTTTCTTTTTTAAAAGATTTGCAATTTCCGAGCATACAATTTGTCAAAATTAATCATGGAAAACCGAAGCTAATTAAGATTGCCTCATGGTTCACCGCAGTATTGAAAATTTTATATATCCAAGTCATTCATTCTTCTGTACCGCGATTGCGTTACGACTCCGCGTTATCTGCTGTTCGGGTGGTGTTTTTCTTTACTGCAATTTATGGCTTAACTGCGAGTTAACGACGATAATATGCATTCATGGGTTTGAAAAATGTCTGCAAAAACAAAGCAAAACGAGACAAAAGACGACGAACATAAACTAAAATATAAGACATGTTCTCTGTTTCTGCTGCTATACTACACATTTGATGTAAAATCATAATGAAAAATATGGAGAACGTAATTCCGAATAATTGTAGTGTGTTGGCGCTTATATCTAAGAGCCTCTCTTGAAATATTTGACGAGTGCACTTAAGAGCAGATGCAGACCAAATGGTGCCACAAAATTGAATTTCCTTTCACGTTTTGCAAATTGAAAATGTAATTCTTTCAAACAAGTACTGTTTCCTAGCGCGAGCCTATTCTTGAAATTTCCTTTTTTGTTAATGACGTAGGGCTTCCTCGATGTACAATTTTTTTCAGTTTTCAGTTTTGTAAAAGTCGAGGGGTGTTTATAGAAGGCGAGAAAGTACTGAGTGAGAATGAAATAGCAAATGAAAAATTATCTATTTTCAACCTTTAACAAAACCACCTCCCTTCTTTACAAATAATTATCTTCTCGTAATATGTAAAGTTTTAATTTCTGAGTCTGATCCATTAAAACTCTTAACTTCACAGAAATTTCTTCGTGAACTGAAGTTTAAAAAAAAGGAAAATCAGTCATGTTAACAGAATGAAAAAGTGACACACAATTATTTGAAATAGCGGAGAGGACCTGAAGTCAAATCAGCCACATTGTTTGACTTAGCTTTATCTTGATAAGTAAGCGTATCACAGCATGAACAAAACCACATACATGATGGAAATCATTTCCCTATTTACCACCCGCAGGCAAAGAGGAATGAAAATATTTTCAATGTAAATATTTTTAGCTTATCTTTCGGAGAAAGCCTGCCATTCAGTTGAATTTTTTTTTGGTGATGGCTGATGGCTCCTCACTTAAAATGAAATTGTTCAAAACAGAAGAACAGCTAGGGTTGAAATTCACGTCCCACATGTAGGCCTTCTCTGGTCAATTTTCAATGTAATGAAGTCTTTCAAAGGCACATTGCTTATAAATTCTTTACCAAAATAGTTCAGGTATATTTACTAAAAAAAGTTTTTAAAAAAATATTTAGTCATGTACTTCAAACTATAAGGTCATTGCATTTATTTTTTTCGTTGACCACATAAACATTTTCTTCTTCTTAGGAAACGTTTGTCCAAAACGTTGGTCGTATTTAGCGGGCTACTGCTATTTCTTCTCCAACAGTACTGCTACTTGGTCCAACGCTCGGCAACGCTGTATAGAGACTGGGGCAGATCTCGTGAAAGTAACTTCGGACGAGCAAAACGCTTTTGTCGCTTCACGTTATTCGAGCTCACGTTGCTTGACGGAAGGAACCTGGATAGGACTCCGTCGAAATCCCAAGAATTTGTCCCAATGGGTGTGGCGGGATGATTTCAATGTGAAGCCTCAGTACACAAAATGGCACAGGAAGGAGCCAATGAACGAACGTTTAGACAAAAACTGCACAGAAATACACCCGAGTAAAAGTATATACTGGTATGGAAGAGAGTGCTCTGCTCGAGGATGCTATATTTGCGTAAAAGGTAAACTATGAGTTATAATGGTTTTCTTAAGGTTTTGGACTTTTAACTCTTTCCTTGTTCCTTGGTCTCCTTGGCGATCAAACTGATTTTTCTTTCAGATGCCAACGAGTGTAACAATAATAATATCTGTAGCGGCCAACGTTGTGCCAATGTCCCTGGAAGTTATAAATGTTCTTGCGGGACAGGCTATACAGCGACCAAAGAAAAACGAAAATGTCAAGGTACTAATCACCTGCCCACCACCTACTACTAAAATTCTTTGAAGTTTCAAATCTCCTTGGCAAAGGATTTCGTTTCCTGAGATACTACTGAGCATATATGTGATACATCCCACTCACTATATTCAAATTTGCCTGGGTGAAATTCACATCTAGGCAAGATACATTTATACGATATTAACAATAATAATAATATTATGATTTAATGACATATAGCGTAATTATCAGTGTGAAATTTTCAACTGTGCACTACAATATTAAAAATTAAACTAAAAATGTTTGTTATTGACCTAAATACAACGCTTGACTGCATTTACGATGTGCTCAAAGACATTTGATATCCTTGCGGGTAACAGAGCCTCTTTAAAAACCTTCTCCGGCTTTTGAAGAGTCAAAACTTCAAGTAGTCTTTGTTCACATAAGCATGAGTAGTGTAACTCAGCTGTGATAATCCGCTTTCAAATCCATACAAATACAAGTTTATAAACCTTAAACTTACCCAGACGGTATTCACTCGTATTTCACACAACATAAAATATGTCGCACAAATATTATTTTATCCTTTTTTCTTGTTGTTGTTGTTGTTGTTGTTGTTGTTGTTGTTTTGTTCTTTATCTCTTCTCTATTTATCCCTTTCTCAGACATTGACGAGTGTAAAGATGAAAATGGTGGATGCCCTCATTTCTGTGTTAATACTCCTGGAAGTTACATTTGTCATTGTAGAGATGGATACGTGACTGAGAATAATGGCACAGTTTGTAGACCACGTGAGTATAAGTTAAATAAAATCGCATGTTTGTCTTTATCTCGATGGCATCGTCAAAGTAATTCACAAAACTGGCGCGTTATCCTTAAAACTTACAGTTTCGCGCTAATGTTGCATTGATTTTACATAAAATAGATAATTGCCTTCTGTTTTCGATGATCCGCAAGATCCGCAGCAAAACAATCATGTTAAATTCCCAGTGTTAGAACTAATTATGGCAGATATAATAAAAGACATTGAGTTTTCTATGATCTGGAATTTAATCGAGGAACGGACTAAAACTGTTTATTTGATAAAATTTCAGTCACGTCCTGAGGTGCGCCATCGTTCATTGTACTGATGATACTCTCTGTAACTAGTTTTATCTTGTAATGTTATTGTCCATGTATGTAACTGTAGGGTAGGGTTTGATACTGGCCATACTATACCTCCGCTTTAACAATTAAAAATTCAATTCAATTTTCATCCAGCTCCTTGTCATTTTTAACTTCTAAATTATTCCAGGGTTCTGATACCCTCTAATTATCATAATTAGAATTAATTGTCATTTTCTATTCAAAACATTGCTAAAAACTTGATTACGGGCACGCTTAAGTTGTTGTTGTTCTTATGTTAATGATTGCAGCAGAATTTTCGACGGCTAGAACCGAAATTAAAAGTAGAGAAGAGACTAGAATTACAAGCACAAAGGACACGAATGACACAAAGCTATTTACCAAGCCTCCTGCTGCTAAACCACCTGGTGAGTGTGTGACGACAGATTTTTAACTCAAAAGTGATTCTTTTGTAACTCAATAAATTAAGAAACACCCTAAGGAACAGTCGTTATTTATCGCCTAGAAAGAGTAAGTGGGGGGGGGGGGGGGGGGGGAAATTAGAGGATTTTCGTTGTGTCGCGATTAAGTTTACTTGATCCCCCATTAGGTTCTGTAATATTCTCACTCAGTTAATTATCTACTGTTCCCCATTCATACTCTGTTGGTGACGACTGTTCCCCTTCTCCGTTTCCCCTGAAAACCACGTTATCCGCCCCTCCCCACGAAAAATCCTTCATTCTTCTTCCCCAGTCGATAAGCAATGACTTTTCAATTATCCACTTTCACCATTTTTTTCTCAGATCCAGGAATAGAACCCGAAAAACCTTCGCCATTAACAAAGTTTGGAGTTCTATTCACCATGGCAATCCCTCTATGTTTCATTGTATGTTTCCTCGTCCTGTGTTATATCAAGGGACCTGGAAAGGAAAAGAAGGAGGGTGGAATATCAGGACGCCTGATAGAGTCAGTGTCGCCCTTTTTAGACACTGCTTTTATGGAGCCCTCGGAGAAAAATGGGAAATCAAAGAGGTCGACCGGTGTATCATTATCCGAAGAAGAGCCTATGGTATAGATGACGATGTCAAAAAAACATCAACGTGAATGCTGTCATGGAAGGACCTCTTTCACCTCAGGAAGTACATCATTAAGACTTTAACGTATGATGGAGAATACTCGTACAAGCTCAGACAGACACAAACATTATATTGTGATGTTGGGATAGGAGAAAATTTTTTGTAAGGTTGAGTAGTAGTAATAACGTCATGAGCTACGATTCGCCTTTAAAAGGTGTTAATTTATCATTTTTTTCGCAAAAACCAAGAAAAGAAAAGAAAAGACAGAGAGACGAAGTAAAACCGTAATCCACACTTCCAATCACATTTTTGGGACCCTGATCTCCGTCTCAAAGTTATTCTGTGAGAAACTATTCACATACTGGCAATGGACAACCTTTAAAGGGGGGAGGGGAGGGAGAGCAGGAAGGGTGAGAGAACTGCGCCAGTGGTGTTCCAAAAGAGTTGTCACTGCCAGTATGTGTGACAATGATATGACTACTTAATTTGAAATGCTGGCATTCTCTAACTGGGTTAAGATGGAAAAAATGGCAACATCAAGCAAATATCAAATACTTACTGTTCCTTTTGGGTATTTTATTGCAATTATGTGTACAACACTCAAATAAGAGATAAGCTATATGGATGGATAAAAAAAAAACAATACATTCCGGATCTAATTTTCCTTACATTGACATCCACAATGAAAGGAAGTCATTTGAAACCTGAAAAGTCATGACAGACTAATATACTGACCTACAAAGCTTGCTTTTCAGTCCAAAGGGAATGATGTTTAACGAATATTCACCGAACTGGAGGTTGCTAATAGTTGTTATTTACCGTGCCGCGAAGTGGCTAGGTAAATATCCACCGTTAGCCATCGACGCTGGGGTGAATAATCGTTTTAGTATATACTAAAACAGTAAGATAATATGGCATAATTAGATGATTTAACTCATTTTTTTCTGAAACGATTACAATCATTTCAGGCGCAAAAATCGCACGAGTTGCTCGGAGGTGAATACCAGAGGAGTAGCCAACCACAGCGCGCCTTCAACGCTATTCTCTGTTTTAGTATGTACTAAATATCGATATCAGAATTACAGTTATAATAAGCAATTTACCCTGTGTCCTTAATCATAAAACAAAGTTATTTTACTTAATATCAGTAACAGTGGTAGCAGCAAAAATGAAACACTACTTTGCTCTGTTTCGTTATTAACAAAATAAAATTATTTTACCCCTCTTTGAATATGTTTATTTAGCTATGATTCTGGCATAATTATACTCTTGTCGTTTCTGATGTAAATATCGTCTGAGGCACAAAAGTACACACTGTCACCCAGTGTCATCCTGGTCATAAAAAGGAGGTCAACGGTCCCTTAAATAAATAGCCCAACAACACAGGTTGAAACAAAATTGAAAGCTCTTTCACCCAGACGTTTGTTTGGGCCAAAAGCTGTTCCTTGGATACCGTTAAAAACACATATTAGCTCCACCCCCTCCCACCTTGAGATAGGAACTCTATTTATTATGACATTTTGAAGCTTAATTAAAAAAACCAGTAATTGCAAAACGCGTTTTGATCATTTTGAAGCATTTTCTTTATTCTGGTTATAAGCCTCCCTCGGATATAAGCCCTCCCGTGCGAAGTTGTGTGAGCCTAAGTCTTATAAGCGAGAGTTCACGGTATGTGTTTCAGTTTTGAGCAACGTGAGAAGTTTGCTTATCCTGCAATTTCTCTGATACGAATGTTGCGTCATGGAGAGGAAGGTCGTCCATCCCACCTCAGCACCAGTTCCTTTCCGGTGCCAAAGCCACTTCGCTGATTTCAATAAGTTTTTCAATTAATTTCTAATCAATTTGTTTTCAGTTCAAGTACTTCATTATCATAATAAAGAAATGTCAACTGAGGGCGTCGAAACATAAAAGCTTAAAATGTGTTACTTGATTTCAAGTTTACTGGAAATACTCTCTCAGTCGCTTTTTTATTTTTTTTTTTGCCTCGAATATTGTATTCATCTGAAAAAAGGAAAATAACTATGGAGTAGAAATAACACATTTTTAATTAAACATAATGTGATTATGTTTACCCCATACCGTCTTCAAGAAATTAATTCAGGGATAGCTCGTTTTGCGACGCCGGGCAAAGGAGATTTTTTGTTGGGTCTTTATTATTATTTTATCCCCCCCCATAAGGCTCCATGATGCTCTTTGTATCCCCCCTCCCCCCGATATTGACTGTTGACTGTTAATCAGCTGTCAATCTTTTATAGTTCCCCCCTTATACTCTGTTGGTGACAGCTGATTCCCACCCCCCATGTGCCCCCTGAAAGTATGTGATCCCCAAATCCTGCCCCCTCAAGGCGGCTTTTAAGATGTAATTTCCATTTGTCTTACCAAATAACAGCGTTGTCGGTCCACTTATATCTTGGTTTGATGTCTCCACTTTTAATTGAATAAATGAAATACAAGACCGCAGTAATATAAAATGTAGTAATCATTTAGTGGAAAAAGGACATACCTAAGTGAATGATTTGTGGGGGTGTTAAGTGTTTCCGTAAACGTCAAAGGACTTGTCGATGAAATTAAACATTATGTAGCAGAGGCTCTCTAGAAAGTCGCGAGCCTCATGAAACAATGCACACGGTCGGAAAAAAAAACCTCCCTAACCAGCTGTTTCCATGCTGCCTGTAGAGCAAGGAAAATTTATTGCCGCCCCCAATTTTATTTAAACTTCATAACAAATACTGACTGGTAGTGTAATTTACATATGAAAAGCTTCTGTAAAATGTCTCGCTGTAGTTTTTTAAATGTCAAAAGTTTTTCGAACCCTCAATCTGTAGCGGAAGTAGTACCGCTACAGAATCCTACAGCCATATTTTAATTTTGATTTCCAACTAACGCAGTGATGACAGTTTCGGACGCAATTAAAAATGCAAATGTGACACTTTTTCAGCTGGATGGCATCAGCCGAAGCGAATCTGTTTCCACACGCTAAGTCGATCGTCGAGACCAGCAGAAAAGGAAAGTAGGACCGGGGTGCTATCCCATTAAAATATAGAGGATGTTGCGAATTAAAAATGCAACGATGAATGGCACACAGTCATCGAACTGCTTCGATCCTACAGCAAGAAAAGTCGGTTACACCGTCACTTACTTCCTCTTACTCGTGGTTTCGTTGGCTGGAAATATTCTCGTTGGGATAATTGTCTTCAAGACGAAACGCATGAGAAAGCCCATAAACTTTTTTATTGTAAACATGGCTATTTCCGATCTTCTCTTCCCGATTTTCTTTTTCACCCCAAAGCTTATGGTGCTGCTTAACAACGGTCCTTGGATAATCAGCGGTGTTGTTGGTCAGATGTCATGCAAGCTGCCTCATTTTCTTACAGATGTCTCCTCGTTTGTATCCATCCAGAGTCTGATTCTGATAGCAGTGGATCGATTTGGAGCTGTGATGTTTCCTCTTCGTTCTCCACTCATCGGTTCAAAACTGTGCCGTCTCTTCATTCTGGGCACTTGGATCGTTGCGATGGCTATTCAGTCTCCGTTCCTCTTCGCCCTAAAACTCGTTGACAACAAAGAACGAGTACGGTGCGCTTTGAGATGGGAAGAAACCTTTGGAAATTCGTCGTCTTTCGAAAACTACGCTTTAGCAGTTATAATTTTAATGTTCTGTCTTCCTTTGGTTTTGATCACCTTACTTTATCTCTCCATTCTCCTTAAACTCAAGACCCAGGCGATTCCTGGCGAGGGATCAGACAATGCGAGAGAACAACGTGAAAAAAGAGAGCGGAATGTGCTGAAGATGTCCATCGCTATCTTGACAGCGTTTACAATATGCTGGCTACCACATAATATCTACTGGTTCATGGACTTATTTCCGCCGGAAAAAATCGTTTTAACGTCATGTAGTTTCCGTCACTTCGGGTCGATTGCGTTCCTTCTGGGTAGCGCAAATTGTGCTATAAACCCTTGCGTATGTTTCATTTTCAGTGAAAATTATCGGCGTGGTCTCAAGAATCTTTTTTGTTGCGCGACTACATCTCAGGCGTAATCTAGTAGCACCGTAGTGGCACTTTGAATTAGACGGGATTGGTTGCTGAACGAGTCACTTAAACATGAAATACCCAGCAACGCTCAGCGTCATCGGTAGGAACTGTTAAAAAAACTGATCGCTTTTAACTTGTGCCTTCGAAAACAGAACCTGCACTAAAAATCTTAAAAAAATTTACCTGTTGTCTGTTATCTTAACCGCAGATGCTTCACTTTTTTGTTTGAACTGTGTGGTCACTTAAAGTATTAGTTTACCTAAGGAACAGCAGCATCTTGGAATTATACAATGAGAGATTATTCTTTATTAGCAAAATTTAATGATACTGATCTATCAGCTAAATTCACAATTCTAACGGGATTTCTGTTTTTATGCTCTGATAATTGCTCTATATTTATTTTTCGGAGAGAAATTCAACAGAATGAAAAACTATGACTTCCGTTTCTGGCAAGCTCGACCAAAATGTCATAGCCCGGCTGTCAGAGCCCGGCTGTCAGAGCCCGGCTGTCAGAGCCCGGCTGTCAGAGCATCGGTCTAAGCTGTTAAAAAATGAGCTTAACAGTACCATACAATTACCTCTTTTTTAAAAATGAAAAACAGGGCAATATCACACGAAAGGTATTTCAGTATCTTTGCAACGGCACATTCAATTGTAGAGAGCAAGGCCTAATTTCACATATTTTGAGAGTGTAATTCGTTATTAAAATAGTCTTCATTATGTTTTACTCCAGATAAAAATTTGTCATACAATCGGTCGAGAACATCTTGACTGTATCAGTTAGTATTTGGGAAATTTTTACAACGGTGTTAAACCTTTGATTAAAATTTGCGGTCATGACGACCTCTTTCGTAAATAACCATTTCAAAAGGTAAGTTGTTTATGTTGGTTTATTGAAAACGAAAAATAAATAATTGAGTTAAAATGGCATCATGTATCCTTTTCAATATGCGTCGATCAATTAGAAGCTTCAGCATTCCCCCTGGGCAACCCCAGGGCAACCGGGTTCGTTCAAATTCCCACCCCCCGAGGCAAAACTTGTGTCCATATGCCCTACCCAAGCGCCGGGTTGATGGTCAATTGTTTTGTAAAGGGCAAATTCAGCGGCCGTTATATACGTTACTTTCTTCTCATTGACCAAGCTTAAAAACCCAGACCTTGTGGAACCTTTCTTCTGAGCCATCGGCTCACGAAAGTGAACTTTTTAACTTTAAACGCTCTAAAAACACGTGCGCTCCATGTACGGGTCTTTTGCAATTTTTTCTACTTTGCCTTCAGGTTAAGGAAAAAGTAAACATCTTTCGCTCAGAAATGCTGCTAAAGTCAGTTTCGTCCTGTTAAACCACAATTTTACATTTCTTTTACCTTTTTTATACTTTCCACGGAAAAATGAGCAAAATAAAGACGTTCTCAATTGACCCTCGGCTTGGGTATGTTCTTGGTATGTTTTTAGTATTTTGGTTAGTCTCAGCCTGAACGTTCTTATAAGAAGGGAAAAGCAGTTCTTATTAAAAAAAAAAAAAAAAAAAAAAAAAAGGGTGCAGCAACATTTCCCTACCTGGGATTTAAAAATCTCCGTGTTAACTTCCTTTGAAGTAACCTGAGCATT